AATACCTTGTTTCATTAAAACCAGCATGTACGTACGCCGGCGTCTCGCCAGGCCATACACAGCCAATCGAGCCAGGGCCCTTGTACCGGCTAAACCACGAAGGCGGACGAGTCAGGGAAGTAGACTAGGGGAGTCCATCTTCTCATGCTCCCACTTGAGAATCGCAATAAGCTTTTCTAGAGTTGAGAAAGGATTCCCAGAGAACGATTGTGAGCCATTCTCGGTGGACTTCCGCGCAAGTGAGGAGACGAGCTATTCCAAATCAGGCTAGCTGTTCCGGCTCTATCAAACACTAAATCTCTTCCAGTTGATCCCCGAGGTCCTCTGGATTCCAAGGTTGGCACCCTAGAACTTTTGTTCATTTCTATAGACTTGCCTATTTGAATTGCCCCTGAACCTTAACAATGCGAAACACTGTGGTAGACAGGGCAGATGGGATAAATCATTACCCCTTTTCGTCTTCTCAACCGAAGAACCAACTTTCCCCTGAGTCTCGACTCTTCAACAGCCCGCTTTTTTCGTGGCCAGCGATCTCGACCTACTATGTAGGGCTGACTCGCATTAGTGTAGAGTGACCGCGTGCATAGAGGCTGAGTTAATTCTGCCCCTCAGTCCACAACAACCGCACTACTAGCAGGCAGTAGTTTTTTGCTTCTTAAAAATAGACACTGGAAGATCTTCAGGTACGGCATTTCACTAAGGTCGACAATGCCGACGCATAAACGATTATAACTAACTTCGACTCAAACTATTTACATTTTCGAAGTTTCTGCAAGAACGTCTCTTGTGCGGATCTTTAATCAAACTGTTCCGAGTCTCGAACAGTGGATCTAGGCCACTGGCTCGATCTCTATCTACGCCCCGGCAATTACTCCCTTGTCGACGATCATATTTGCCCGAGGATCCATATTATTGATTCTCGTGGCATGGGCAGGTACGAAAGGTGACTCTGCCATGTGTGCCCCCGCGCATTACTTACGTATGTTACCTACGCCTCGGTGTTTCCTAATCCAATTACATAGGTCTAGACTACACATCTTCCCTCAGCCCAGTTGTCTGGTTGTCTGACGCCTCCTGCTATCAAGACCCGCCATGCCTTGATATCCCGGCTCCAAGCCTCAAGACCCTTCACCATAAACCCTGGCAATTGATCCGTTTTCTGGTTGTCTGACGACTCATCGCAGGCCCACTCAATTTGAAATAAGCGTGAGCGTGTTCGAGACTCTCGATCGCTTCGGTGGAGATGTAAAGATTAAGGTCTAGATTTAGACCACACTTCATCGTAGACAATGAGTAGAATTTTGGTTGTGTCGCAACTCCGGTGCTCGACTGAGATCTTGATCGATCGATCTAGACTTTGCTTGTATGAGTATTCGAGGACTCGCCCTGTTCTTCCCCGGTCTTCTAGAATCTGGAGTAGAATCGAGCACATACATGTGTCGCTATGGACTTTTACTTTCCATTTTGCTGGCATTGGGGCGAGATAGCGTTGATGACATGGTATCATGATATAGGGCTAGCCCTCAAGAATCTAGATCTAGACGTTCTCCGAGGTGAGGGAGCAACAGGATATAGATCCTACCATATTGTTTTGGGAACTCTGGATGCCAACGCTGTTCGCTAAATGGATGATTGTACTGCATCCTTTCTGAAACTATATCTAAAGAACGAACTATATCTTGTGCTTAAAACCCGATATATTTGTTTTGTATGGAGTTTCACTTTGTTTCTTCTTTTGGATTTCTTGTGGTGCAGAGATGCACTGTTCCCTCGATATATATTTTCGGTTTGGTTGGATCAAGCACAATAACACACAGAATCCAAGAACTATGAGTCACTGTGAGACTAACAACACTCAGATACGTATAGCTACGACTTCTCATAATTTCCCGACTGGATAAGTAGCAAAATGCGAGCACAATGATACAAAAAGGGACTCGGCCAAGGAAACTGTAACTGCCTCAGGCACCGAACCATTCCTCTTTCGGACCCCGACCCCAGAACGGCCGCCAAGCAGCATCCAATTTGTCCATATTGGATTCGATGACTCGGGGAATGAGAAGTTTAATGGGATCATAGTGGCGCTTTTTGATTCTGCAAAGGGCCTTGAGTGTCGTGGCTGCTCTTGCTGATTATTTTATATGAAGAACCACCCTCGGGAACTACTTCATATATCTAACACTTGGACGCTGCCGAAATCATCCAAAGACCAAGTACCCTGATCATTTCCCAAAACAATGACCTCCGCCCAAACAATTCTGGCAACGTGCAAGCAGACACGATTTCATCTGCTAGATGATAATCCTTCGCAGGAGGTATGACTAGCCACAACAAGCATTCAGATGGCCACTAACGCTAGAATGTGTCCTGTTGACAGATTGATGTGGATGGACTGAACATTATGGTCACATCATCTGCACCTGAATCCACCGAAGATGCATCAAAATCAAAGACCAAAGGGAAAGCAAAGGCCAAGGCTGCAGGCAGAGAGCTCATCTCAGACGGGCATCTACGACTTAAGGCAGGCATTCACTATGGGTTGATAGGTCGCAACGGGACTGGGAAGTCAAGTGAGACAGACCACTGCAAGTACCATTACAAAGCTTAGTATATTGATCCATGGATGTTACCAGCGCTCCTCCGGGCAATGGCAGAGAAACTTATCCCTGGCATCCCACATACGACACGCATGGCGATCTTGCAGCAGACGGACGAACAGGATGACAAAAGTTTCGGCGAAGACCTTAATCAGGACAAAACCGTTTTGGAAGCCGTTCTCAGTAGCGATGAAACTAGGAACGAGGCTGTTCGGATGGCGGAATGTTAGTATGCCTATTCAATTGGAATTGTACTTGACTGACTTTCCAAGTTCTATCGAAGAGTTTTGAGACTGAGGATTCAATGCAACCCGTGTGGGCGATGCGCAAAATCCGACACCAGAAAGCAGAAAAGCATCTCTTCCTGGCACACAAGAATGCAAGCTTGAAAAGCGGTGCTCGGGGTCTGCAAGCAAGAAAAGACCTGAAGGCTGCCGAGGTGAAGTTCGAGGCTACGTCGGAGATGTCAGTTACATTATCCACCCTAGAGACTATATCTGACTTCTGCCAGGTTGGCCCAGGACGTAGACGCCGTCGATGCGGAGACAGTCCAGGCGGATACCCAAGCTGCCGTCGAGACACTACAAAATTTACAGTCTCGACTTGAAGATGTAAGTCTTTGTACGGTGACTATTTACCCGCTTCGTTAACATGAAACCAGATGAAACTTGCCGACATGGAGCAACAAGCTCGTCGTATTCTCCTTGGTCTCGGTTTCAAAGAAGACGGATTCGAGAAGAAAGTCTCTACGCTCTCAGGTGGTTGGCGTATGCGATGTATGCTAGCCAGCGTTCTGGTCCAAGATCCTGACATCATGATCCTCGACGAGCCGACCAACTTCCTGGATCTTCTGGGAGTAGTGTGGCTGGAGAACTACCTGAAACAACTCCGCGACACATCAGAGACAACCATCGTATTGGTCTCGCACGACAGAGATTTCATTAATGCTGTCTGCGAGGAAATTGTCATCCTCCGAGATCAGAAACTGACGTATTTCCGAGGGAATCTGTCCGCGTATGAGCAAGATTTCGAGGAACAGAAGCTCTACCTGGGGCGCATGAAGGAGGCTCAAGAGCGGCAGGTTGCCCATATGGAAGCTAGTATCCGAGAGAATATGAAGGTCGGGAAGAAGACTAATGACGAAAACAAGCTGCGACAAGCTAAGTCGCGGCAGAAGAAAGTCGATGATCGGATGGGTCTTCAAGTTAGCGCGAACGGGGGGCGTTTCAAGCTGAACCGCGATCTAGTCGGATGGCATTTCCACAATCGGGCTGAGATCGAGGTTCCGACAGATGAAAAGGGCGCGACTATGGCCTTGCCCGATGCCACGGAGTTACGGTTCCCTGGACCGTTGGTATCGCTTGAAGGTATTGTTTTCCAGTACAAGAAAACCGACCGCGTCATACTGGACGACGTGAACTTGGTGGTCCACCTAGGTGACCGTGTCGGGATTATGGGACTCAATGGTTCGGGAAAGACAACTCTGCTCCGTGTTCTAACGGGACAGGTATCTCCTTCCAAGGGCAAGGTGTCGACTCACTCCCGATTGAAAGTGGGCTGCTATAGCCAGCATTCTGTGGAAGAGCTGCAAGAGCGTGGCCGAGGTGAGCCTAGTTTAACTGCGCTGGGCTTATTGACCATTGAGACGGAAGGCTCCCTGAATGAGGGCGCTATCAGAGGTCTACTCGCTTCAATGGGGTTAGCAGGTCGTATTGCATCTGATGTCCCTGTTGCCAAACTATCAGGTGGACAATTGGTATGTGAAATGTGAAAGATCGGCATGGAACAATTGAAGTAAGCTAATAATATTGCCAAATTTAGGTCCGCCTTGCATTAGCTCGAATCGTCTGGAGTGCACCACAGCTTCTCATTCTCGATGAAATCACCACGCATTTGGACTTCCACACTGTCACTGCATTAGCCACGGCTCTCTCCTCCTTCAATGGCGCCGTGCTGCTAATTTCACACGATCGTTTCCTTGTTCGATCTGTAATCGAGGGCAAGCGAGACACCGAGCACAAGCTTGATGAAGACTTCGAAGGCCTGGAGCAGGAAGAGACCGAAGAAACGCCAAGACGTCGGTCGGTCTATGTGATTAAACAAGGCAAGATGAACGAACAGAAGGATGGGTTGGAGCAGTTCGAAAAGAGTTTGGTGAAGCGGGTGCAGAAGTTGTTAGGGACTATAGATTAGTTGATGTAGGTGGTTGACTCTTATGACCAATTGAAGTGATAAAATGATCAAATCCGCCCATGGATTGATTCATCGATTCATGACTCAGCACGGAGCCCGCCGACCGGCATGTGCGATAAGAGACCTTCCCCTCATTCCTCCGCGGAGTACCGCGCTGGATATATATTTGCCTCCAACATGCAACATTTTACCCCTTGAACGAACTTCCTTATGGCTGGCTTGTGCAAGCGAATCGTGTCTTGCCCTAGGCTTGCCTGCCAGTGGGCCACACAAACTCGACCCCAGAGCACTCGTGCCGCATCAAGACCCGACGCCACCGTCGCCCCTGGATTTCCCCCTCCACACCCCTCAACTGAACCCTCTAGACTCTCAACACTCAAGTCCGCAAAGCCCTTTTCCGAATTCCTCACCGATACCTTCAATCGCCAACATGACTATCTCCGCATTAGCGTCACGGAACGGTGCAATCTTCGGTGTCTGTACTGCATGCCCGAGGAAGGCATAGACCTCTCGCCATCCGCGAAACTGCTTACCTCCCCGGAGATCTTATACCTGTCCTCACTATTCGTCTCACAGGGCGTGACCAAAATCCGATTGACCGGTGGGGAACCGACGGTCCGCAAAGACATCGTGCCGTTGATGCAGGACATTGGCAAGCTGCGACAAAATGGGCTTCGGGAACTGTGTCTGACAACCAACGGGATCTCCTTACATCGGAAATTGGACCCAATGGTGGAGGCCGGGCTGACGGGAGTCAATCTCAGCCTCGACACGCTCGATCCATTCCAATTCCAGATCATGACAAGACGTAAAGGATTCGATGCTGTGATGAAGAGCGTTGACCGCATACTGGAAATGAATAAAGTCGGTGCGGGGATCAAGCTGAAGATCAATTGCGTTGTTATGAGGGGAATGAATGACCGAGAGATCCTCCCGTTCGTGGAGCTGGGCCGCGAGAAACCGATCGAAGTACGCTTCATCGAGTATATGCCTTTCGGCGGGAACAAATGGAACCAGGGAAAGATGTTCTCATATCAGGAGATGCTGGCTGTCATCCGAGACAAGTATCCCACATTCGAAAAAGTGGCCGACCACAAGAATGACACGAGTAAGACATACCGTGTTCCTGGGTTCGAAGGCCGCGTGGGATTCATAACGAGCATGACACACAACTTCTGTGGTACCTGCAACCGGTTACGCATTACTAGCGACGGGAATCTCAAAGTTTGCCTGTTCGGTAACTCCGAGGTCTCCTTGCGGGATATCATTCGTAAGGAGAACGGTGGGAGCCCAATTGACGTGGATGCAATGAACAACCTGCAGCTGTTGGAAACAGTGCAAAAAGCAGCGCGCCTTAGTGACGAAGGCGGCTTGGTAAATGAGCGAGAACGCGAGATTCTTGACATTATCGGCATGGCGGTGAAACGAAAGAAGGCGAAACACGCCGGCATGGAGCAACTAAAGGACATGAAGAACCGCCCTATGATCCTGATTGGTGGGTAGCCATCTTCTTTCTTTTTCATGATTGGAAACGCTTTACGACTTGTAGATCACTTCGGATGAACATTTCTCTTGGATTTCATGAAATTGGCGAGATCTTACTTGATACCATGTATACATGCAATTGATCTATTTGGACATTGTCTATTGAATCATCAGAGCTGATAGATGAACTAGATAATAAACTGAAACCATGGGGTTCAGGGTCTCACTCCTGGTCAACCATACCAGTACATATGCTTTCGCATCTCCCTGCAGCTTCCCAAAGCCGTCTCTACCACTCTGGGCGCTCTAAACCAGAGACCGAAGACTGTATTCCTCGCCCATCTCCCTCTCTACCCACCACCTCAGACGCCGACCTCCCTCACCTCACACCATCCAAGACCGTACACATGACCCAAATCACCGAAAAGCCGGAAACAAAGCGTGTCGCCACAGCCGCCTGCACCGTCTTCTTCTCAAACCAACGACCCTGGGAAATCCTCCGTGAAGGCCAGACCACGCACAAAGGTGACGTTTTCAGCGTCGCCCGGATCGCGGGTATCATGGCCGCAAAAAGAACACCCGACATTGTGCCCCTTTGTCATCCCGGAATTGGCATCACTGGGGTCGAGGTCAGCGTGGAACTGGCTGAGCCAGGGCAGAACGATCATGGCGCCATGCATGTTGTGGCGTCGGTCAGCTGCTTTGGTCGCACGGGGGTGGAAATGGAGGCTATGACGGCTACTATGGGTGCGGCTTTGACTGTTTATGATATGCTCAAGGCTGTGGATAAGGGGATGGTTATTGACTCTGTCAGATTGCTGGAGAAAAAGGGTGGGAAGAGTGGGCATTGGGTACGGGAATAGAGCTTTCTATAGAGTAGTTTGAGTCTTTTAGGCATTCGATATGTAGTAAATGGGATTTACTATATCATCTTCTTTAATAGCCCTAATACCCTTGCCTAGGCTAGGGGATCTACCTATCCGTGATCAGCCCTATGGGCTAACCGTTTAAATTCTCCGAGTACTCGGATGTTTCAGTTGAGGTTTCACTTTTTCCCTCTTTTCTTCGTTCAACTATATAATAATTCTTATGATTCCTTCTGTTTGAGGATGTCAGTCGTGTCAACTCGAGACCTCTCGTGTTGTGTGGGTTTTCCTGAAAATTTCGTTTTCATTACATCAACGCCTCAACGGCAAAGAATTTAGCACACAACACGGACTGCGCTTTATCAACGACCTGGCGAATTATGCCGTCAAATTAAAATGCTCGCACTGCTAACCCGTATGTGCAACTAGGCTACTATCATATGATTTAACTAACCGCTTTACACAGTCCGCCGCTGGCGGAGGAAGACTGGGAACGCCGTAAGGGCAGTGTGCCCGCCCTTGAATTTCTTGACGCTGCACTATTTCTATTTCATTGCTACAAGCATCATTGCCAGTATCATTTTCTACATGACCTCGACGTCATGGCGCAGCGTTGCCTACGTGGACTCGATTTTCATGTGCGTCAGTGCTATGACCGGTGCTGGATTGAATACGGTATGGACTGAATCCCCATGTATGGCTATATTGTAGGCTAATAACCGATGATTAGGTGGATCTATCGGCTCTGAACAGCTTCCAACAAGCAGTTTTGTTCACCCTGCTTATGCTGGGCCATGCCGTTCTCATCTCCCTCACTGTACTTCTAGTACGTAAGAGGGCATTCGAGGCAAAGTTCAAGGGTGTCTCCGATGAGCGGGAAAGAGAGCGGTCTACTCGTCACCACTCGGAAGTGGAACTGGAGGTCAGGGACCGGCAACCTGCCAATGAAAGCACCGCAACTGATCTCCCCGGCCAGAGCACCGAAGGACATGGCTGTGAACCACGTCCAAAGAAATCTAGGCTGGTCCAAGTGACCCCGGGAGAGTCATCCTCCCGCGATAAACAGCCGTGGGTGGACGACGACCAAATAACCATCGGCGGCACACCCCATCATCATCATCACCACCACCGAGTTTTCCCCATGGCTGGCATCGGGGCGAGACCGGATCTGAATAACCACCCCCGCGACGCAGTGCCCAATGTACGCTTGGTCACAAAGGATTCGGTGTCTGGCTTCAAGGGAATTCTCCGCGGTACACAGAAGTACATGGCCTCTAAGGGTCTTGTGTCCCGCAACTCCCAGTTCCACGATCTCACTCCTGCTGAGCGTGACGAACTAGGTGGTGTGGAGTATAGGGCCGTCTCGCTTCTATCCGTGGTCGTGTTCCTTTACTTCATCTTGTTCATTGTGTTCGGCATGGTCGGTGTCGGCGGTTGGCTGGAAGCTAATGATCCCGCCGTGACGCGCACGAACGGCCTATCGCCTTTCTGGACGGGTGCTTTCTTTGCTGTTTCTGCTTTCGTAAACAGTGGCATGTCGCTCCTGGATGCTAATATGACTGCTTTGCAGTTGAGGTACGTGGTCTAGACCCCTCATGTTTCATAGTCAAGCTTGCTGACCTTCTCCAGGGCTTACCCTCTTCTCACAATGGGATTGCTGATCCTCGCTGGGAACACCCTCTTCCCATGTTTCCTGCGGTTCATTATCTGGGCTATGAGGGTCATGCTTCCGGATCGGCCAAAGTGGCGGTCGTGGCGCATAACCCTTGATTTCATCCTGGAGCATCCTCGAAGGGTAAGGTTGCATTACTCTAATGGTCTGCGGAATATAGACGCTTATTATGAAGCTAGGTCTATACAAATCTCTTCCCTGCTCGCCATACTTGGTATCTACTCGGCACGATTATAATTCTGAACGGTATCGACTGGGCAGCATTTGAGCTGCTATCTATTGGAAATAAGGACATCGAGAGTCTTCCTACCGAGTACCGTGTGTTGGATGGACTGTTTCAAGCCCTAGGTTTGTCAACCAGTATCAGAAACAGCGTTATATTTGACCCAGGCTAACAGATTATTTCGAGTAAAGCGGTGCGCGCTGGTGGATTCTATGTTGTGACCATTGCCGATCTTCACCAAGGTCTCTTGGTTCTCTATGGTAAGAGATTTCAATATCATCGCCGGACTGGAATATCAGCAAGCTAACAGAAGCTATAGTACTCATGATGGTCTGACATCAGTCTCATACCCCATATATCAAACCCAAAACTAACAACTCACCCAGTACGTCTCCGCCTACCCAGTAACGCTCACGATGCGGTAAGTAAACCTGAACTCAACCCGTGTCAGAGAAATCGCAATCTAATACCGCCACAGCAACACGAACGTCTACGAAGAACGCTCGCTAGGGATCTATGCCCACGACGAATCCCCCGACTCACCAGCAAACACAAGCCGCAGCAACATAGCAATGGACCTGATCCGACACCACCTCGGCCGCCCAGGCCTGTCCGAGACTTCGCGCGGCTACTTCGTTCACCAGCAGCTCCGCTCCCAGCTCAGCCATGACCTGTGGTGGATTGCGCTGGCGGTGTTCTTTATCGCCATCGCTGAGTCAGACCACTATGAGTCCCAGCCCGTGGCTTTCTCCACCTTCAATATTATCTTCGAGGTTGTCTCTGCTTACGGCTGTGTGGGTGTTAGTCTTGGGTTCCCCGGGAAGAATTACTCCTTCTGTGGTGCGTGGCATACTATTAGCAAGCTGATTCTTGCTGCTGTGGCTTTGCGTGGTAGGCATCGTGGTTTGCCGGTGGCTATTGACAAGGCTATTATGTTGCCCAGTGAGTCTTTGGCCTGGGCGGAGGAGGAGGATGCTGCTATGCGGAGGGATAGGTCTAGGGCTTGGGCTCAGGAGCGTGGGCCTGTTGGGTCTGTTTAGATATTTAGATGGTGGTTTTGATATATACCCCTTTTGCATGCTAGTTTATTGTTTAGACTGTTTTACAGAGCGTGGATTTATGAACCCTATGTGATATGAAGTTTTCAAGAATGATTCTTTTGTAGGACTGAGTGACTACCCATGGTGTATCCTGGTTCAAAAAAGTAGACATATGCAATAACCGTGCGAAGTAGATGGACGTGGACGTGGGACAAGGAGATATACAAATTAACAAAAAATTAGACGATCTACTCGTCCTCCATCTCCATCTCATCCTCATCTTCACTCTCGATCTCAGCTTCCTCCTCGCTCTCCAATTCCTCCTCATCCTCATCCTCGCTGCCATCATCACTGCCAGCAACACCACCCATATCCTCATCGTCTCCACCGTCATTCTTCGCCTCCTGTCTCCGCTTCTCCTCCTCAATACGGCCTTCTTCGAGGACAGCAGCACGCTCCGCACGCAGCTTGCGCTGCGTCTTAACGAACGCACCCACAGGAGTAGTCTCCCAGTCAACATCTTTGAGGAAAGAATCAACGCCAGAGCGATTGCGGGGAGCATACGTGACGTTCAAACGGCGCTCCTCGATCCAGCGGGCATTGGTCTCAACCTTCTGCACAAGCAGCAATATCATCTGGTTAATCTTGGCGTTCTTGTTCCCACCGCTGCGGGCAGAGACCTGCTTCAGCCAGCGCTTGAGGGAGACAATGACGGGCACGGACAGTTCCGGGAACGCAATGTGCTTGGACCAAAGAACGAAGAATTCGGAGAGGAGCTCGGCGACCTGCTCACCGACGCCGTCCTGGTAAGTGCGCGAGCGCAGGTAAGATTTGGGTGCGCGGATCGCTGTGTTGAAGTCCAGGGGCTTAAGCGTGCTAGACTTAGGGTGCTTGCGCATCTCCGCTGAGGTCAGGACCTCGAGAAGTGAAGCTGAGAGTGGGATATAGGTGCCTGTGGCGCGGGAGATGCGGAGCAGGGAGCGCGTCAATTGGAAGCGCAAAGGGAAGTACGTGGCGGTTGGGATGAGGCGCATAGCACCCAGGGTGATTTGCACGACGGGGTAAATAAGGGGACGGAGAGCGGACTGCTTGCCGACTTGAGCCTCGACAAGGCCATCGCAGTGCTGTGAAAGCACTCGGGACCAGAAGTCCAGCGAGTGCACGTATTGCCAGTTGTAAATGGTCTTGTAGGATTCCTTGGAGGTGTTGGTGATGCTCTTGCGCAGGTGCATAGCAAGCTGACGGATGAAGGAGAATCCTGCTGTGTATGAGACGTTCTGGTCAATGCCCCAGATTTCGGCTGCGGAGTTCTTCATCAAGTTCACGCCTGCTAGCGTGTGCACCGTTGTGTTGCGGCTACCCTTGACAACACCCTCGTAGGTGGCCTTGAGCACACTCTCTCTAATACCTGCGTCTCCCAGGACCATAAGGCGGCGCAGAATCAAGAAACCCGTGATACGGGTGGCGTCGGCAGTCGACACATCAGCCCAAATTCCGACCACAATCTTGACGAGTGTCTTCAGCACCTTACGGAACTGAAGAAGGTAAGGCAGCATGGGCTCAATTGACGCGAGGGTCAACTTGAGCGTGGATGCATCGGACAAGTTAACCAGAAGCTGGTGAACTGAAGCAGTGTGCGATTTGATCAGAGGTGTAAGGGTCTTGAACTTTTTCGAATCCAATGACACTCTGATCTTGCCAGAAGCGCTCTCCTTGACGGGAAGATGATGGGCCAGGACCTTGGGAATAGTGTTGAGAGCCGTGACAAGAACCTGGTGGTACACGTTCTTGTCGGAGATGGTGTATTTTTGCTCGGGGGCCTCGGGGTCATTGACATAGGCGGCCGCGCGGAAAGCGAGAACGGCCTGGCGCATGGCTCGGATCGAGTTTTGCTCCTCCATCAACTTCTGCCACTTCTTGACCATCTCAATAGTCAAGGTCTCATCTTCGGGCTCCTCCTCTTCCTTCTTCGACTTCTTCTTCTTCTTAGCTGGTCCCTCATCTTTGGGTTCGTCGCTTTCGCTTAGAGCGTCAACCTCTGAAAGATCGCCTTGCTCGCCGAAATCGAGCAGTTCAGAATCGTTTTCCTTGAGATATTTATAGAACTCAGGGTCCTTCTCTTTCAATGACTCCAGCTGGTCCTTGTGCTCGTCATAAGCATCGACGCTTTCTGCGTCATCACTGTCACCCTCACCTTCAGAAGCCTCAGCGTCTGCCTGTGCCTTCTCTTCTGAGCGCTTGCGCTTGCCGATCTTGGGGGTGGTATCCTTCTTGCTCGCCTTCTTTTCCTTCTCTTCGGCAATATCGAAGCCGCCAGCGAAGAAATCGTCGACGTTCATTTCGGAAAAGGCATTCTGTTTCTTCAGATCCTCCGGGTCCTTCTCTGCGGCGGCTTCGGCTTCGGCGCGGCGAGCAGCATTTTTTTCCTTGCGCTTGTCGTTCATTTGGTGTCTCTGCTTGATCTTGGCATTCGCTCTGCGTCGCTCAAGAACATCCGGCAGACGGTTCTGCACGAACTTCTTGGTCGATTTTTTGCCGCCAACCATTTCTAGAAATTGATGCAGAAAAGAGTCTGCAAGTGTAGCTTGGTCTGAAAATGGCTGGTCAAAAAAAAAAAATTAGGGAGAAAATCGGTGGGTCCGCCATTCAGACCGCCTTTGGCATCGGGCGATAACAATCTACAAGAAGACAACAGACAACATTCGAACTTACTATTGGCGATTGATGATTTTGACGACTGACGACTGACGATTATTGTACATAGTGAGAATTTGCCAAAAATGTACTCACAGCGCCCACTTTCTTATGCGCCAACCCCATACAGCTACACACCCAATCCCGCCCGGTCAGCCACAATCAATCTCGATGAAGTATGGATCCTTGTCCCCGCATTCATAGTCATATTGACTAATGCCCCTTGTCTTAGGAAGTCAAACTGGCATCCAGCTCAATCGAACGTGACTTATATGAATCACTAGCTGAAATCTACAGCATCATCGTCACCCTCGATGGACTCGAGAAAGCATACATCAAGGACGTGGTTACTGAGGCAGAATATACCGAGACATGCACACGATTGTTGAAGCAATACAAGTCCAGTCTTGGAGATGAGACGGTGTCGCGAGAGTTCGTGGATCTGGAAACCTTCAAACGGACGTGGGGGGTGAGTGTTCCCCTCCATTTTACCCCGCAAACTGTCAGGCGTCTCTAACGCCAGGTACACAATATAGCTAGAATGCCCACGAGCCACAGAGCGATTACGCATTGGTCTTCCAGCCACAGTTGAGCAAGCTTCTCACGGCGGAGCAACCTCTAGTATGGGCGCAACGGCGGCGGGTCCGGCTGGCGGTGCCTCGGGTAGTCTTATTCTGGCAGCAACTGAAAACTTCATTACCTTCCTTGACGCATTGAAACTCAACATGGTGTCCAAGGATGCACTGCATCCACTTTTATCGGAGGTTATTCAGTCTGTGAACAAGGTAACCGATACCGATTTCGAAGACCGCGGCAAGATCATTCAATGGTTGATCTCGTTGAATCAAATGCGAGCTACTGAGGAATTGAGTGAGGACCAAGCGCGTGAACTTGCATTTGATATTGAACAGGCTTATCAGGGCTTCAAGGCCACGTTGAACTGATTTGGGGAACCGTTTACTTGGTGCACCGGCAAGGCGTTCATATGGACAGTAGAGATACCATTATGCTTTTATGTATTAACACGATTATCAGTCATTGCTAGCTAAATGTACGCACTCTGGCTTGGTTTTGATTGAATGTCCTCGTATAATTACAGATGGGCATCGACTGTATGTCTCGAGCAGCATCCAACTTAGCGGTATGTATACGCTGTTCGGCCCAGTCTGCTCACCTTTTCCCATCCGATATCATCGGTTTGTTTCTCATAAGCAGCAGTCTTCATTTTTACCATGCCTGTTCTTCTGTTAATATATTGATGCCTTATAATCTAGGCGACAGTCAACCCGCGGAACGGCAGCGCCAGCCTTTCCTCTTTGGGAATATTTTCATTTTCTCCGCCACATTTCGTCCGATTCTCGTGGCTGTGAGGCCAAATTGTTGCTTTACATTCTTTGCGAGCAACGCCTCGAGAGTATACAGTTATCGCCATGATCAGTGCTACAGATGAGCCTCTACATGGTTAGTTCACAACCTACCCCTCTGGTCCATCCGGTCCACAAAAGATAATGGAACTGATAAGCGCAGTGCTTGACCTCCCGCAGCTCTACCAGAAGCCCTCGGGAACCGATCTCGTGAAAGCTTTGGCTTTGTTAAGCTTACAGCCACGCACATTTGGCACCACCGCCGACGTGGTCAAAGGCCCCGCGGTCCAGCCTGCAGGAGTGACTCGGTATCTCACATCCATTATCGCCAGTCAACTGGCATGGCTCGACACCGACGAACTCCGGGAGGCAATCTGGGACGCGGCCGCCGCACGACTAAGTGAACGGTCTGGTCGAACCGGTAAGCATGTCACCATCTGTCCAGCTATGTTCTGTTGTCCCGCTGACCGTGACTCATTTGACACCAGCTATGCCGGCAATGTCTCGAATCTTCAACGTGCCCACCTCCTCCGGCGAAGAATATACACTAACCCTCCACGAACCGTCAATCACGGCGGACAACCTCGGTATGAAGACTTGGGTATCTTCTTATCTTCTGTCACGCCGACTTCACGACCTTGGATCGCCACCAGCACTTGTCCCCTCGGCGTCGGCTCCCTCCGCATTCAGCCAGAAACCTCTACGGGCACTCGAACTCGGTGCCGGAACAGGCTTGGTCGGGCTTTCCTTTGCGGCCCTGCAAGGTGAGTCTGCCACCGTCCACCTTACCGACTTGCCCGAGATTGTCCCCAATCTCGCCCACAACGCTGCCTTGAACGTAGAACTCCTGACCAGAACTGGAGCGAAGGTTACCACTGGCTTGCTTGATTGGTCGGTCACGCCGTCGCCCCTTCCAACTGCGGAAGAGCAGTTTGATGTGATTCTCGCTGCGGATCCATTGTACTCGCCCAATCACCCCAAATGGTTGGTGGACACCATTAAGCCCTGGCTTAGCCGTGGGCTTGATGCGCGAGTCGTGGTGGAGATGCCGTTACGAGATGCATATCTGCCGCAGGTAAAGGAGTTCCGGCGGCGAATGGGCGAGTTGGGTTTGGCTGTGATTGAGGAGGGCGAGGAGGTCGGTTACGATGACTGGGAGAGTGCAGATGGAGGCGCACTGGCGGTCAACTGTTGGTGGTCGATTTGGGGATGGAGTGAAAAGGTGTAATGGCAGGTACTGCCAGGTCATATTGGGAATGGTGACCAAACGAAATGACGAATAATAAACGATACACGATAGATTAGAATAGGGCTCCTAGACGTCGGTTATTGAGCAATGCGAGCAACACCTCAGCGTTGGGCCATAGAAATGAACTTCTCGCATCATTCTTCTCGGTAGAAATCAACTTGATGAATGAGGAACATCGTTGGTCGACAGAAAAGAGGAGCATGTCCATCACGTGGCGATGACGTCGGTGTCACCGGGATTTCTACCTTGTCCTGTGAATCCTAACAAGAAGAATGACTTGTATCTATAGATTTACGGAGGAAGAGCATTCCCTGCCTCCATGTGGTCAGTCAACGGCTTGACATGATTCAAATATCAAGCAAATCATCCTAATGCGACAACAAACCTGAGTCCAGACCAAAACTCCGTATGGATGCCGACTGCAAATTCCTGAAATCCGATATGTCAGGGTGCTATGCATAGCAGACCATATCTAAGGACATAAAGTGCGATATAATTGCATATTCTATCAACTATATACCGACCGTGATACATTCCTTCACCCGGGACCTCTCGAACCGTGCATTACAGAAAACATCGCATAGCTATTATCGCATATCCCACCAAACACCTGCAGAATGATCGGGCTTCTCGCCATTACCTCCATCCCAACGGTGACAGGTGTATCCCTCGCTACCAGCGAGCAGCGCAAAGCAAACCAGCGCAAAGAGGAGGCCCGTCGCATGGTGAAGTTCAACATCGTAGCAGAATGCGATGGTGACACAGATGATGACCGCGAGTTAAACGAGATGAGTGTTGTTGTAAGAAACGAGAAGGTAAGGAGAGCCAATTCAAACAACATTAAGAGTCTAGAAACGTCCCAGTCTCTCTGAACATCATCAGAGCCCAATTGCAGACCAGACTAACACTACCACCCCTGCAGGTCTATCTCGCCGATCCAGATCCCTCCAAACGATCCCCGCCAGCTTTCACGGCCCTGGCCTTCTATATTGAGTATCCGGAACCAGAAGAATTGAAATATCTCAAGCGCGAGCGCGGCCTCGGCCTCCCAACTTACGTTCAAGACGACCCGCCCCTTCTCAATTGGATCTACGCAGATACCGAAACGCATGAGTTACGGTACGGAAACCGATCGCAGAGTGTGGAGCAGCTGGTCGAGCCGTGGGACTGGTGTAAAAATGAAAGGATCATTTCGCTCAAGGGAAAACAGAATGCTTTCATTGCGGTTGAAGAGGAGGAGGGTCAATGGGCGCTTTATTATGATTTTGATGGTGATGAGCTTGCGCGCGTTCTTGAGGAGCAGGGAATGTTAGATTACGCTTTTGTGCCTGTCAAGCTGGTGAGGAAGGTCGTTGAGGAGAAGCCGCCGTCGCCGCCACCTGCTGCTCAGGGCCAGGGGAATGGTCAGAGTCAGAAGTAGATGGACAAATATTATGATTGAGATGAAGGACCTTAATGCGTCTATGATATGATCACATTATGGGGAATACTGCGGTAGCAACCTTGGAATAGTATATTGTACAAAGAAACTTGAATCTTTAACCATCCAATCCATTCCAACTACCAGTATCGCTGACGTCGCCGCTAGCCGCTGTGGCAGCCTTCCTGTTGCGGCTGGCCGCGATAGCACCCCTTTTCTTATTCTCCATCCGGCGTTCAAAGCCACTCTTAGTACTGATTCTCATACCACGAGAGCCCTTTCCATCATCCTCTTTATCGGTCAATCTTGGGGCCTGGCGCGCCTTGACACCATACCTCTTCATATCCTTCTTGCTGTTCTTGCTCAGGTTGGGCAGAGCATCGAGCAGCCATTTCTGGATGGATTTGTCGCCTTCTTCGCCGCCGCGTAGCTTCTCGCTGACGTCGATAATGTTGGCAATGCTCTTCACATAGGGGATGTCTTCCTTGGTGTAGTAGGTGACGGCGATACCGCCCTCGCGACCAGCACGACCGGTTCGACCCACGCGGTGGACATAGACGGCGGCGGAGTTGGGGATATCGTAGTTGACCACGCCGTTGATACCGCGGAAGTCGACACCGCGGGCTAGCAGATCCGTTGTAACCAAAATCCAGATCTCGCCTTTGCGAAAGTCGCGCATGATATCGGACCTTTGGCCATCTGAGAGATCGGAGTGGAGAACGGCAATACGTGAGGATCCACCTGCTTCGGCAGGGATATCATATTTGAGTTCAGAGTGTAGAGCCACCGCACGAGGGATGGTCTGTGTGAAAATGAGGAAGGGAGGCCGAAGGCGGATATCTGATGCTGAAGCTGCAGCTGGGCGAAGAAGTTGGCGAAGTCCCATCAGTTTACCCTGCTCTGTTGCTGCGTATACGAGTTTATGGTCGATGTTGGGGATTGCAGAGTCTTTCAATCCTACAACCAGACGAAGTAGTGCATGTGGTTCGCTTGGCTTTTGTCCGAGTTCTTCCAGTCGCTCTTTAATAGTCGACTTAGTGAGGTCCTCGATATTCGATCCCATGGTTGCTGACCAAAGGCCGACACGCAAGTCGGAGTGTGAGCATGCTTTCCAGATATCGAGTGTCTGCTCCCGGAACAACGGGTCCAGGAGGACATCGGCTTCGTCCATAACCAAACTCCGCACTAGAGGTAATGTTGCCATGGTGGCTGTCCTATTCGCAGATAGAGCATTGACCAGCATCAGAGGCGTAGTGACCAGAATATCACTCTTGGTGACCGGCATGCTGGCTCGCTCCTTTGCGGGCTTATTTTCGGCATCTCCATCTTCTGACCCGGACGATCTTTCGCTGTTCTCATCAAGAACACTGATATCACTATCACTTCCAACACGCATACCCTTTCTCATAAGCGTGATCTTCACGCCAGTTCCAGCCACTAGCTTGCGGCCCTCGTTGACGATCTGGCTTGCAAGCTCCCTGGTGGGCGCCACAACCACAGACAAAATACCATGCTCGTCAGGATTTGAATGGTGGTGTCGAACAATTTTGTTGATCACAGGGATCAAGAATGACAATGTCTTGCCACTGCCAGTGGGAGCAACGACCAGAAGATCTGGTTCAGAAGATTCTCCAAGAAGCAATGGAAGGGTTCCAAGCTGAACCTCTGTCGGTACGGTAAATCCTTGCTCCGCAACATTCTCTGCGAGTCGGGAGGAGATCTTGTATTTAGACCGAAGCTCCTTGAAGTCAAGCAGGGGCTCCGGGAACAAGCGTCTGGCACGCTTCTGCTCCTTCTTACTGAGAGTCGGCGCCTCTCCTTTCTTTGACTTCTTCTTTTTCTTCTTGGAATCTTTGGTAGATGTAGGCTGGGTTTGAATCTCTTCCAAGTCGCGCATGTCTGTAACCTTGATCTTGTGTGAATTCAAGATAGTGCGACGCTCCACTTCATCCATGGCATCGTCGTCATCGGATGCGGCATCCTGAGCAGACACTTTCTTATCGTCGCCCACGGTCGCAGCAGCGGTTTCTGTTACACTGGCTGCAGGGCGCTTATTTGAACTGAAAAAGTCGAGATCAGGGACATCTTCCTCATCCTCTTGGACAGCAGCGCCTCTCTTTCTTTTTTTGCCATTCTTGGCGGACTCCAGGTTGTCGGTCTCCGCGGTCCGGAAGAGCTGCGGGTTGGCTGCTTTCCCAGTGGATGGCAGACGCGAGTCTGAAGCCGACGATGTGGGCTTTAATTTTGTCGATCTGGTCAACAATCTGAACGCATCCATATCTTTCGTGGTTGAGTCGAAAATGTCGTTGATATTCTGAAAAGAAAAAAAAGTGGTCTGCCGACTTTCCCCCCGGACCAATCAGCGTCGCGCGTCGTATATCACCGCAGAGGCCGGGGACAAAACAACAAGAGAAGAATAATTTCCATTGGAATTGTTTCGGACTTAATATATATAGAATATTAGGACCACTATTCGCACCCAGCTGATCTGGATCATGGTTACAGAGAGCTTTAGGGGAGAATAAGGAGGAACAAGTCGAGGTCAATGGACTTTCAGATTACAACTGAGCGTATAGACAGTAGATTTTACACTTTCGTAGAGCGCAAAAGCATAAACGGCACAGGGAATGAATTGCAGTAACAGGTCTATCTCAGACAACAGTATAATCCATCGTCTATCATACACAGCGCGGGAAGATTAACATAGGAAAAAAAGGAAAGGACGATTCTCTTCTATCCACATCCGCTTAGTGCGCGTGTGCAGGCTCGCCACGGTAACCAACAATGTTCATCCGACCGATCATCTCGCCAACGGTGAAGAAGCCAATCACCTCAGCGGCAGTGACACCGGCGAGGGCCATCTGCTTTGGGCTGGCGTTGCGGATACAGGCGAGGACAGTCGAGGGGGAGGGGAGGGTCTTGAGGGCGGCAGGGTTGGTGATGAAAGGCTGGAAGTAAGACTGGAAGGTGGCCAGGTTACTAGGAGGAATTGTTAGACTGGGGGTAAAGGGTCGAGTACGGAGTCCGACTTACGGAGGAGCCATGTTCTGGCCACGGAACACCAGTTTGCCGAGCTCAATTCCAACCTTGGAGTAGTAAAGGGTAGGAGGGATCATGGCTATATACATTGATGGTTAGCTATGCACATTATGCAAATGTAATCCGCGGACTAAAGTCAACAAGGAGGTTGGGATTGGTGGTACGATTCCAACCGGAACAATCGGTCAATCATTGGCTTTCTCTTTGGACGAGAACCCAACGTCCAACGCTCCATTGTGATCATCCAGACGGGAGAAGAATTAAGAGTGTCCCTTACAATCGACGAAAGAGATGACCTTGCCGGCGGGTCCACCGATCTTGCGCAGGGCACCAGCGGCGTTCGAGATGGCAGGACCAGCCGAGGCGGAGACCTTGGACAGACCCTCAGAGGCCTTAGACGCAGCTGAGGAAGCAGTCTCACCAGCCTTGGAGGCAGCCTCGGAGGTGGACGAGGCGTGTCTGACGACGGTTCTCCGGGTTAGGAACTGCGATTGCCGCAGGACGGCACGGGTGGCGGCGGGCATTTTGGATACTGCGGGGGAAATGAGTGGAAAAGAAGAATTAAGCAAAATGCACCCGAAGCAGTCGCTAATAGGAGGGCAGTATGGTCTAATGATCTGAAGTATCGCGCAACGGCAGAACCAGACGAAGATTTGACGCTCGGGAACTTCAGGAATTGCTGGTCACGTGAGTCATCTTTTTTGCTCGCTCAAGTAAACAATATACTTTTCTGAACTATAGGGTTGGAAACAATTTAGGAATTTAAGAATTTATGGACTTATGGCTTACATATTAAAACTCATCCTGCTTGAATTGTGAATTATAGAAGTGGATAGAAACCTTAGCACCTTGTTATAGTATTGTGCCTGCATATGGCCCTATTAGTTGAATTATAAGCTGGAACTATATTCCGGGCAGTAGGAATGAGGCAATGCCTTTCTTTTCGTTCTAAATATACATAGGGACTTCCTTATCTGGAGAAATGCTTTGCAGAATGGGTCTGGGGGAAGAATGAGCATATCGAAGCAGTTGTCTACCAAATACAATATATATAGTTCAATACTCCGTTAACCCGTTCTTTATTTTTGTCAGCAAAATTAAATGGAAATATAAACTGAATAACAGACAAATGATATTCCAGGAATCAGAGAGAGACTATGATCGAATTTACTATACGAAGGAAGCGGCTGGCTCTATAAGTCAGACAGGATCACTCGACACATATAGAAGCTACCTAGGGAAGTATCTATATATGTAAAGAGCAATCATCTTAGGTGGTTACATACGTATGCATGATGCTACAGAAAATACTATCCAATTAGATATCTACATACCTGCGTCCATATGCATTTATGATCACATTTCAATTGTGACACTACGGAACAACAGTAGCAGCCAGTCCAATGGACAATAATACAGGATAAACCTGGGCTTAATCTTTGTCTCACGCGATACTACCTACATGTACGGAGTAACTAGTCAGATGACAATAATCGTTACGCATCTTCTTCTTATACCCATGAAATATCCGGGAGATTGGTCGTTGGACACCTTATGAGTGACAGGAAATATGCAGAGTATCCATGCACGGTAAGAGAAATGGTGCCTGGCTATGTATATTGTGCATGTAGATTAAGTAGAGAAGATATCCATGCCCAGGTGTAAAGTGAATAAATACATATGCCTCAGGCAATAAGAAGTTTGCACTATTTGACTCGGAAAAAGGCATTTCCTCCACTTGAATTTCACCTCCGCCGGAGAATTGCCTCTCTTGTTGACACAATGAATTCTTACATGCCTAGGTGGTACATTATACCACACTTACTTGAGCCACAAACACTTCACATTGTTCAGTTATGAACCGAACCAAGATAACACGAGGAAATGACCCTGGCGGAAATCAAAAAATAAGAGTCTTCAACAAATATTAACCGATAGCCGATCCAGACTCGGACCGAGAGTGAGAGCGGGTAAGGATTTCCTAATTCAGACGGAGAAAGCAGTTGAACCCCCCCCGGTTAAATCGAAAGCCCCTCCACTCCACTTTCTTTTGTTACTCCATATGTATCAGCGTGGGGTTGAACAGTATGAGATCACCGGACACTGATTTTGCGAGTTTGAGTATTAAAGCGGCTGCTTCCTCGCATTTTCGCGTTTAGGCATTTATTCACAATTTTCTTTCCTTCCCCCAATCTCCTACCTCCACGCTATACAATGACTTTCGCAACCGTCACTAAGACCAACATCGGTGTCTACACCAACCCAAAACACGACCTTTGGATCGCCGATTCCAGCCCGACAGCAGAGGACATCAATGCTGGCAAGGGCCTGAAGCCTGGCGAGGTCACAATTGAGGTGCGCAGCACTGGTATTTGTGGATCGGATGTGCACTTCTGGCATGCCGGCTGCATTGGCCCCATGATCGTCACGGGCGACCATGTGCTCGGTCACGAATCAGCCGGACAGATCCTCGCTGTCGCCCCTGATGTCACCCACCTCAAGGTCGGCGACCGTGTTGCCGTTGAGCCCAACGTTATCTGTAACGCCTGCGAGCCCTGTCTGACCGGTCGCTACAACGGTTGCGTGAATGTCGCTTTCCTCTCCACACCGCCTGTCGACGGCCTTCTCCGGCGGTACGTCAACCACCCCGCCGTCTGGTGCCATAAGATCGGCGATATGAGCTATGAGGATGGTGCTATGTTGGAGCCCCTCAGTGTGACGTTGGCGGCTATCGAGCGCAGCGGTCTGCGTCTCGGTGACCCGCTGCTTATCACCGGTGCCGGTCCTATCGGTCTGATCAGTTTGCTTAGTGCACGCGCTGCTGGTGCCTGTCCTATTGTCATCACTGATATTGACGATGGCCGCTTGGCCTTTGCTAAGTCTCTGGTTCCTGAAGTGCGCACCTACAAGGTGGAGATTGGCAAGTCGGCCGAAGAGTGTGCCGACGGTATCATTAATGCTTTGAATGACGATCAGGGTTCTGGCCCTGACGCCCTGCGCCCCAAGCTGGCCCTGGAGTGCACCGGTGTTGAGAGCAGTGTCAACTCCGCCATCTGGAGTGTCAAATTCGGTGGCAAGGTGTTTGTCATCGGTGTCGGCAAGAACGAGATGACCATTCCCTTCATGCGTCTCAGCACCCAAGAGATCGACCTGCAGTACCAGTACCGCTACTGCAACACCTGGCCTCGGGCTATTCGCCTGGTTCAGAACGGTGTGATCGACTTGCACAAGCTGGTTACTCACCGCTACTCTCTCGAGGACGCTTTGAAGGCCTTTGAGACTGCCTCCAACCCTAAGACTGGCGCCATCAAGGTGCAGATTATGAGCTCGGAGGAGGATGTTAAGGCGGCCACTGCTGGCCAGAAGGTTTGAGCGAAGAGATTGAAAAGGATGAGCCGTATTTGAGACCATCAGCGGGTTTCTGGTTGGAATCAAGAGCGGCCGTTGCTGTTGGCGTTGACGATTTTGTTTTATATCCATGAATGATGTTTAGAGGATGCCCTTGGGTGGAATAGAAGGCCCATAAAATGAATATTTTGACACAATTTTTGGTTGAATGTAGAAGGTAGAAATTGGAGAGGCACAATTCTTCAGGCAGATGACTAGGGGACCTTGCAGGTCGAAACCCTCTCGTCATTCTCGTCATTCTCGGGCTTAAGCCGGGCCAAGCCTTGGGAAGACCTTGGAAAAAAAAGCAAGAATAATGAAATGGAGTAAAAACTGGACCCTGCAGAATGGATCTGAGCTAATAGAGCTACTTTCCTGGGATAGGCCCAAAATAGGAATGACGGATCACAACTTTGGAAGAGGGAGCATCCAATAATTGCCCGTTTCTCCGCGCCACAAGGAATTGGCGATGTGACAGAGAACCGTCAATGTAATGTTATGCAAAGCCAGTAATCATGTGGCTAACAAATGCATCTCTTTCTAGCATCTCGTTGATCCATGTTGTATCACCCCTCAATTTCGATCTGGGCCAGTGCATCCCTTAAAAGGGTGCACCGTCCTTCTTGTTAATCTACGATCCTCAGTGTATCCTGTCGTGTATCTGTGTCTGTACTGTGCTTCAATGCTCGCCCGATTTTAAACATGAAAGGCACGTTGTTTCTCTTGGCTCGCCTCGTGGGTGCCGCTGTCCTGGGATCGATTTCACAGCTTGACAGTTGTCCTGGCTATAAAGCTTCCAATGTGAAGCAGTTAGGCCAGAGATTGACCGCTGACCTTGATCTTGCTGGAGAAGCCTGTAATACCTATGGCACCGATCTTCCAAACTTGAAGCTCCTTGTAGAGGCACAAACTGGTATACTATGATATCCCTATACTCCACCCCCAAGTATGAATCTATGCTTATTGCTCTACTAGAAACCCGCCTTCATGTCATGATCTACGATGCTGATGAGGAGGTTTATCAAGTACCAGACTCTGTTCTCCCCAGACCAGAGAGCGCAGAAGGTCATCAAAAGGAATCCGCACTTCGCTTCGACTTCCAAGAGAATCCTTTCTCATTCCGAGTCCTGCGCGAGGAGGAAGTGCTCTTCGATACTTCTGACACCAACATCATCTTCCAGTCTCAGTACTTGAATTTGCGCACTTGGCTTCCCGATGATCCGAACCTGTACGGTCTGGGCGAACACACTGATTCGCTGCGTCTGCCTACCACTAACTATGCTCGCACTATCTGGAACCGTGACGCATATACCGTGCCCTCCGATTCGAACCTTTACGGTACTCACCCTATTTACGTTGATCACCGTGGAGAGAAGGGCACTCATGGGGTCTTCTTTTTGAACTCAAATGGCATGGACATCAACATTGATAAGACTGCTGATGGTAAACAATACCTCGAGTATAATACCCTCGGCGGAGTTCTAGACTTCTACTTCATGGCCGGTCCGACCCCCAAGGAAGTGAGCGAGCAGTACTCTGAGGTCGTTGGTCTCCCTGCTATGCAAAGCTACTGGACCTTTGGAGTATGTTAATTCCAAATTGGGAATTTGAAACTGTGTTTTAATTAATATTCCACTAGTATCACAACTGCCGATATGGCTACCAGGATGTCTTCGATGTCGCCGAGGTAGTTTACAACTACAGCCGTGCTGGAATCCCGCTCGAGACTATGTGGACCGACATTGACTATATGAGTGATCGACGTGTATTTACTCTAGACGACGAGCGGTTCCCTATCGACAAGATGCGCGAGTTAGTTTCGTATCTTCACAAGCATGACCAGCACTACATTGTCATGGTCGACCCGGCCGTCAGTAACTCTGGTAAGTGTTGTAATTACCTGCCCCCCCTAAACTCCGCTCTAACGGTGAATGTGTTACCAGATAACGGTGCTTTTAAAAGAGGTCACGAGCAGGGCGTCTTCTTGCACCGTGATAATGAAGAGAACGAACTCTACCAAGGTAAGCTTACCAGCAGAAGTACGATATCCACTATTCCTAACAGAGTATCTCCAGGCGCCGTCTGGCCCGGCCTAACAGTCTATCCAGACTGGTTCAACAAAGACACGCAGAGATACTGGAACTCAGAATTCAAGCAATTCTTCAGCCCAAGGGATGGCGTCGACGTCGACGGTCTATGGATCGACATGAACGAAGCTTCCAATTTCTGCCCATACCCCTGCAAGAACCCAGCAGAGTACGCCGAGCAGAATGACCTACCCCCAGCGCCTCCGCCGGTCCGATCACCTCCCCGCCATATCCCTGGTTTCCCGGCGGATTTCCAGCCCGGGTCTTCTTCACCTGGGTCTTCTTCGTCGGGACGGGTAAAGAGAGGTGGCGCTGCTATCAAGGCACGTAGGGTAGGCGAGAAACGGAGCCGTGCAAAGGCAAAGAAGGTCGGCTTGTCTGGTCGAGACCTTATTAACCCGCCTTATCAGATCGCAAACCAGGCTGGCTCGATTAGCAATAAGACTATTGATACTGATATCATTCATGCCGGTGAGGGTTACGCTGAGTATGATACGCACAATATCTACGGAACCAGTAAGTCTCCTGTGTTCATTATCGGGACTTTCCTAACACCAACCCAAGTGATGAGCTCGGCCTCCCGCGAGGCAATGCTGAAACGTCGGCCCAACGTGCGACCCTTTGTTATCACGCGTAGCACCTTCGCTGGAGCAGGCTCTCAGGTCGGCCACTGGTAAGATTACGCAGAAACCCCACGCCAGCCTACCAGATACTAACTCGTTCCCCCAACAGGCTCGGCGACAATTTCAGCCAATGGGATAAATACCGAGTGTCAATTCCACAAATGCTAGCCTTCGCCTCGATCTTCCAGATCCCAATGGTCGGCAGCGATGTCTGCGGCTTTGCCGGAAATACGACGGAAGAGCTGTGCGCGCGCTGGGCAATGCTCGGCGGCTTCTATCCGTTCTATCGGAATCACAACGAGTTCGGCACCATACCACAGGAATTCTACCGCTGGCCTACTGTGACAGAGGCTGCGAAGAAGATCATCGACATTAGATACCGTCTTCTTGATTACCTCTATACTTCTTTCCATCGCCAGACCTTGACGGGGACTCCGTTCCTCCAGCCGCTTTTCTATGTTTATCCTGAGGATAGCAAGACCTTTGGTAATGAGCTACAGTTCTTTTACGGTGATTCCATCCTCGTCTCGCCTGTCTCGGAACAGGCCGCTACCTCTGTCGATGCCTATTTCCCTGAGGATCTCTTCTATGATTGGTTTACTGGTGCTGCTGTGCAGGGCGAGGGATCTGTGAAGACAATTAGTGATCTCGCTATCACGGACATCCCGATTCATATTCGTGGTGGGAGTATCATCCCCCTCCGTACGGCGAGCGCTAAGACTACGACGGATCTGCGCAAGCGCGGCTTTGAGATTCTCATTGCGCCTGGCGTTGATGGATCTGCGGAGGGTGAGTTGTATATTGATGATGGCGAGTCCATTCGACCAGATACCGCGGCAAACATTCAGTTCAAGTACCAGGATGGCAAGCTTAAGATCCTTGGTCGGTTCGGGTATCGTCCTAATGTGGTTGTTGAGGCTGTTACGCTGCTTGGGCAGAAGAATAAGCGTCGGGATGCTGGGTATGATGCTCAGAGACACAGTGTTACAAAGAAGGTCCAGATTGAGTTGACTGGGCCTGCTGAGGTGACTCTGTGAGTTTCCAATATAGCAGTGGCTGTTAGGGCTGTGGTTGGATTATAGCCCTTGAGTTAATTGTTGAGTTTGAGGACTCCTTTTTAGATTGCGGGATCCATGAATGCCTGGAGGTTATTTTTCCGGGGAACACCACATTCTTTACAACATAGGTAGGGCTCCGAACGCCACGTTTTCTTGTTTCACTCAATTTGGCCTGCAATCTTAATTTAGAGGTCTTGGACATCCATAGTTCGACGTAAGCGAGTATTTTTACTCGGGGTAAAATGAGTCGAAATGGTGATTGGATGGACTAACTAACGTTCCTGCATCTTAGTCCCATAGCCAAGCAGGCGAGTTAGCAATCACGTGTATAAATATGTAGGTATTTGGGCTGTGTCAGTGTATAATTAACGGTAATTACTTGAGCGTTTCAAAAGAAACCTCGAAGCAATAACCCCCTTTCATGGCCTTGCATGAGAGGGGAGGTTAGGAGGGGGAAGAAAGACACTGCCTTGAGACATAATGAAAATTTCGAGTCTTTCAAGTCTTGAAAGACAAGAATAACTCCACGGGTAAGTACTGCGTACCTAGACTAATAGAGGACTAAATACTATTCTATACCCAGCCAGGTACTAGCGGGCTGCTCTAAGGGAAAGAAAGGTCTCACTCAGCCCCGAGTGAGGTGGTATTGGCACTAGTTCAGGCACAGGCCGCTAGTTCCTGAGTCATCTGATAGGTAGACCCGTGGACTCAACTCGTAGAAAATTAGTTATTATTAGTATCGAGTTTGGGCAATTTTATGCGAGTACAGAGTATATTGCAGAACATATGTTGTATTGTACGAAGTAGTGGAAAAGGAAAAGGTCTATGGTCAAAGCCCTCATACTGTAGACTACGGAGGTCTCAGTAGGATCGTGTTCAAGTGGCCCGTGTTTCATGGTTGCATGGATGTGATAAGTGATGGGCATTAGTTTGATTAATTGGGGATTTCCAGGGTGATCCATACCATAATCCCATACAATGATGAAGCCATATGATTGAGTTAGAGTGTAATAAACGTCATGGATGTCATGGTTGGAATTGTAATATAAAAATCAGACCTCGGATGGAGAGGGTGAAAAAAAAAAAAGAACTTGGTAAGGCAACAATAGCCTTGGCGGTCGCTTAGGTTCCCAGCCTATTTTCGAAAAGGTGTCATACATAATAGTATGATGTATAATATTCTATTGAATTTTCTTTTATGGGCCCTGATGTAACGACAGTACTTTGTGCGATGTGATCATAATTACGCCTGAGTTCACTCTTTCCATAATCGCCCGGATCGGCTGATCAACTACTCCGTACTTAAAGGTCACATATTGTATAATATAGACGATTTAGGCATTGCGTATACCTACGTGTAGGGCAACTGCATACAGGGATGACTTTATTGTATGTACTATATTGTATACAATGGTCATTTCCAGCCTCATCCTTGTCTCACGAGCAAATCCGAGGGCCTCTCAACTCCACTTTCCCCTCATGGGAAGATCAAAGGGGTCCACTTGACTGGACAGTCTTACCTTTCTGTCTCAGCTCCTCCGGCCTTGCCACCCGAAATCCAATCATCTCCCATCAGTCACTCCCGCCTCCCTTTTTTTAGGATGTAATATATTTTCTTGTATACTATTGTGGAGTAGATAAAGCGGTGCCTCCCAGTCGTTCCTTCCCAAGGTTTTCACTATAATCCACTTTCGTTTCTTTCCTCGTTGCTCCCGACGTCTTGATATTTATATATTTAATAGGGTTCCCTTCCCTTTCTTTCTTGTTTACATATTCACTTCTCTTGACGCGTATCCTACTCCGTACACAATGCCGTCGTTCATGAAGTTTGCCGCTGCGGCTCTTGCCGTGGCTGCCCCTCTGGTTTCGGCTCAGACTTACTCTGACTGCAACCCGATGGAGAAATCATGCCCTCCGAACAAGGGTACGACCGAGTCCAACCTTCACTTTGACTTCACCCAGGCTAGTGCCCTCGACCAGTGGAAGATCAGTGGGGGCAAAGTTCCCACTGGCTCCAATGGTGCCGAGTTCACCATCAACAAGGAAGGAGATGCTCCTACCCTTGTCAGCAACTTCTACTTCTTCTACGGCGAATTGTCCATTGAGATGAAGACTTCTCATGGCCAGGGCATTGTCAGCTCCGCCTTCTTGCAATCCGATGACAAGGATGAGATTGACTGGGTACGTGATATCTCAAAATCGGACTATTAAACCCAACCACACATGGTAGAATGATTACTAACTGAAATACAGGAAGCACTGGGCACAAAGCCCGACACCATCATGACAAACTACTTCGGAAAGGGCGATACCACGACCTACGACCGTGAGTCTTGGGTCCCCGTCAGCGCCCCTCAGGAGTCTTTCCACACCTACACCATCCAATGGACCAAAGAGACTATCAACTGGTTGATTGATGGTAAAATTGTCCGCACTGTCAACTACAAGGATGCTCAGGGTGGCGCTCGCTACCCTCAGACCCCTATGAACATCCGCGTTGGTATCTGGGCCGGTGGTGCTCCTACCAACGCCCAGGGTACCATTGACTGGGCTGGTGGTCCGACCGACTACTCCAAGGGCCCCTACTCCATGTACATCAAGAGCATCAATGTCAAGAACGCCAACCCCGCCGAGTCCTACACTTGGTCCGACAAGTCTGGTTCCTCCGACAGCATCAAGTTCACCGGGTCCAACGCTGTGACCTCGCGCAGCACTACCTCCGAAACTGCCACCAGCTCCTCTACTGAGTCTGCCTCTTCCACTGACTCTCCTTCCACTACCACCGAGGGCACTTCCAGCGCTGCCACCACTCTGGCTACCAAGACCTCCAGCTCCTCGTCTGCCGAGTCTACTGCCTCCAGCTCTGGTGCTGCCGGTGCTTCCAGCTCCGGTGCCTCCCCCAGTGGCTCTAGCAGCTCTGAGTCTGAATCTAGCTCTACTGCCTCCCCCAGCGGCTCTGGCTCTAGCAGCTCTGGCTCCGGCTCCAGCACCGAGACTGGCTCCGGTTCCGGCTCCCCTTCGGGTTCTGGCTCGTCCACCAGCGCCAGCGCTAGCGCTAGCGCCAGCCCTAGCTTCAACGCAGCTGCCTCTGCCGCTGCCAGCTATTTGGGACCTGTGTCCCTCCTGGGTCTGGTGACCGCCCTGCTCCAGCTGTAAATGTTCCTTTGAGCGCTATGAATTTTTGACGCACCATTAATGAAACGCGCCTCGAAAGAGGGTACTTGGCTGGACCGGGTATGGTAATGGTTCACGGATGCGATTCTATTTTTTTTTTTCAGGATGTACCATTTTTTCCTCTTTCCGTTGTCCTTGGTGCCCAAATACTTGCAATCTATTCTTTAGGTTGCCTGGATATATTGATTGGCATAGTCCGGTAACGTGGGCGATTTTCTTTGGGCGGACATGATGTATCTATCAGCGTCATACATACCTTTGCCATCGAGCAAAGCAATAATATCAAGTCAATTGACTGTACGGATTACATACTTCCAATTAGTTCCATCGTAGCCCACAATCTAGATCTCTTCACAGCTTGTTTCCTGTTGCTGTATATTTCTTCGGTTTCCATTCCCATTGTGCTCGTATACCCAAACCCTATCATGTGTCTCAAGGTCAACATTCGCGTCGCATTCATGCCATATGCATAGTTATTTATTTTCTTGGCTTCGAGTTGCATATGCAAATCCCACTACCATCGGCCTCTCCGGACAAGAATACTAAGAATAGACACCGAGAATCTATATAAAACCAAGGTTCACACCGGAAAAATGTATTTGCTGTGAACCGTGGATCGAGACGTTGATTGAACTTCCAAGGTTGATTGTAATGGGCCTGGCCTGTATTGGCTGATGAGATGGTTGTAGTCGGATTGGTTGATCGGGCGACGATTGTGTCGCCGAACCATGGATGACCAAAAAAGGGTCGGATCCGTACATACATGTACGTACATAAATTGCATGATTTACTTGGTTTATTCCACATGCACTCTACTATGATGTAGAAATTGCGATTTTGATCTGTGTGTACATGGTACTCCGTATATTGTAGTACAGTATCCTTCGTAAAAACAAAATGCTGTCGTGGCTCATTATTGCATCTAACTCATCCCATCTGCTCGGATAGAAACGCTCGAAGCCAAAAAAAGTAACATGGACTCCCCAAACCAGACGGTAACTACGGCAACACCTTAAAGAAACCCTTTCTCTCTCGGACCCTTACCAAAATCCGAGCTTCCCCCCAACACGCCCAGCCCCCTGTAGAGACCTCAATTCACCAAGTGGACCCAGCCCCAGCCGCACGTCGCACATCCCTTAACTGGCGTGATAGGCGCAACACCGAGTCAGCAACGGGACGATGGTGCGTGGCCGCGACCCGGAGCAAGGCAAGAGTTGCCGCGGGTCGGGGTGTCGGTGTGGGTTCGGTGGATGCAGTGGAGGCCACGGCAGACGATGACGACTCCGTCAGTGCAACCGGATTGGCATCTGCATCTTCTGACGATCGCCCCCGGAACAAATATGCCCCGAACGGTCCTAGCGGGAGCGAGTCGAGCACGGAATATAGCCGGTCGCTGCTGCTGTCGTCAGACGAAGAGCGGTATTTGTGCAATGTTGGGCTCCGTCGTTCTTCGCGAGTTACAATTCCGTCCACCGCTTCGAGGTGGTCGTCTAGCGTTGTGAATCGCGTGTTGAGGGAGTCGGCTTTGCTGCGGATTTGCGCGCGCAGTCGGTCGAGGTACTCTTCGCGTCGCCGCATTTGGACCGCGATTCGTGTGTCTAGAGCTGCGGTGCCGCTTATTTCCGTTGCTGGCCGCGAGGCGAGCAGGCTGTCGATTGCCGAGCGAAGGTCTGCGCGTAGAGAGTCGAATTCCCATACTGCTGTTTGAACGGCTTGGTTGCTGCCGGTGAATTCGAGATCCAGCGCGTTGCGAGCGTCGGGGAAGGTTGATTTCAGTTGTGATTCTAGGTCGGAGAGCATGCTTTCGCTTTGTTTGAGGATTGCGGAGAGAGGTGTGAGGGCTTCGAGGGTGGTGTCGAATATGGATTCCAGTTGGCGCTGGGAGCTTGCGAGGGTTTCTTCTGGGGGTATTGCGGACGGGGGATAGGCGCTGCTTGGTGGGTATGTCGTGGAGAGGGTGATGCAGCTGTTGGGATAAAGAGTTTTGATGGTCGGGAGATGGCAGAGGTCTTTGGCTTGGTAGACCACCTCGGGGAGAACCAGCAGGTGCAGGATGATGGCGATCAAGGCTGCATTGATTGCTCTGCGGGCGAGGGCAGTATGACCACGAAAGATGGAGGATTTCACCAGGCCTGCTTGTTTGGTGGTGGTCGTCTGTGCAGACGAACCAGCATCTCCAAGTTTAGCGCCGGTCCGGTCCTGCTCTCGCTTCTTTGCGCTGTTCGGCATGGAGACTTTGCGTCGTTTTCTCATGCTTTCTGAGCCTTGCTGATTTGGAGACCGTACATATTCTACCCATGACCCTTCTGAATTAGGTGTTTCACAGATAGAGGGCATGACGAGCTCTGGGCCTGATATGGTCCATGATGATGACGATGAGGATGCCAGCGACTCTGACGTCGTGTTGGCTGTCTTTGTGATCGCTTCGCTGCTTTCATGCCGGGGATTTGAAGTTTTGGCGGGGTAGTCCTTTTCCTTCGAAGGAGTTGATGCTATCACCCAGGATTCGCCAAGAGCCGGGCGATCTGGGATACGAGGCTGTTCTGTGGACATCGTGTAAACATTTCAGCAAGATATGCACTTTATGTAATAGTTAATATGTTCCGTAGTTAATATCTCACGACTCGGAATCAGATGTTTTGAGTGCGACTGGCTCAAGCAGACCGTTGCACGCGTAAAGCGGTGGGGAAGAAAGATCGGAGAAACCGCCGCGGCCAAGGAATTGAGAATCTTCAGCAACCATGCGCTCACTGCTTCGCCTGAGATCGTCCCTAACGCCTGGCGATAAATTCCTGCCATGGCAATTCACGCGGTCGCGACCGCTGTCGTATACTGCGATTCGCCATTGCTCGTGTTCTGACAAACCCGAAGCTCCAACGGTACCTCCGACCGATCATCGAGCTCTCGGAACCGCCCAAGAGCTCTTCACATCTTCAGTCTACAGTCCCGGATCTCCTCTGTTCCTCCCAAATGGCACACATGTTGTCAACAAACTCATCTCCTTCCTCCGCACTCAATACCTACAATACGGCTTCCGTGAAGTCTTAACCCCAACCATCTATAAAAAGTCGCTGTGGGAGATATCGGGCCACTGGCAGAACTACAAGGATGACATGTATGAGGTGACCGGCCGAGGAGCCAGTGGCGAGGCAGATGGCGAAGTAGGTGAAGATGAATCCTACGGACTGAAGCCAATGAACTGTCCCGGTCACTGCCTACTCTTCAAGTCGCAGAATCACTCCTACCGCGACATGCCGGTGCGCTATGCAGACTTCAGCCCGCTGCACCGCAACGAAGTGTCAGGATCACTGACTGGTCTGACGCGCGTTCGTCGTTTCCATCAGGATGATGGGCACATATTCTGTCGGCGGCAGCAGATCAAGTCGGAGATTGCATCGGCGCTGGGATTTGTGGACATGGCTATGAAGACATTCGGACTCGGTCCGTATCGATTGGTCTTGTCGACACGACCGGAAACCGATTATATTGGGACTTTGGAGATGTGGGATAATGCCGAGATGCAATTGCGCGAGGCTCTGGACAGTACCGGACGCGAGTGGGCGCTGAATCAGGGCGATGGTGCGTTTTACGGCCCCAAGATCGACATCCAGCTCCAGGACCAAGCTGGCAAGTACCACCAGCTGTCTACTATTCAATTGGACATGAACTTGCCACAGCGATTTGAGCTGGAGTATCAGGTTGCAGAGAGTGAGCCAGACTACAATCCAGCCACACCCGGAGTTGCAACTCCAGTTATGATTCACCGCGCCATCTTCGGCTCATTGGAGCGGTTTTTAGCGTTGCTGATTGAACAGCACGGTGGCCATTGGCCATTCTGGCTTTCTCCGCGCCAGGCCATTGTCCTGACAGTTAACCAAGACGATGCTGTTGTGCGCCAGGCTCAGGAAGCAGCAGCCAAGTTTGCTGGTTTCCGCGCATTGCTGAATGATGGTACCGCGGAATCGCCCCGTCCACTGTCCTCTGTCGACTCTACTTTCTTGGTTGATGTTGATACCAGCGCACAGACCCTGGGCAAGAAGATTCAGCGCGCCAAACAGATGAAGTATAACCTCATCTTCATTCTCGGATCACGGGACCTGGCCGATGGTGGTATCACCGTTGATGTCACTGGGCAGATGCAGAGCAAGACAGATAAAGATGGTCAGACATTGCAGGCGCTGATTAAAGCCAGACTAGGTAATGATGCGCTACAGAACCCTCGAGCTGTTAAGCTCAGTGTCGACGAGGTGCATCCGCTGTTGGTCGAACTGGAGAAGAGCTTTGTGTAACTTTGTATATTGTATAAACCATGTGTGTTGTCATTTGAGCGTGTTTGGCTATTTAACCCCTGTGATTGTATATTAGACTGACCTTTTGCCGAATTCAAGATCGAAGCTCGAGACCAAACCATGCTTGCGGCTATCCGCGGAGTAGATGCCCCAGGCAGAAATATCTCCGATGTTCGGGGGCCCCTATGGAGACAGGGAGTGTAGATATCCGTTGCAAATGGCTGTAAAGTGAAATCGAAGGGAACCTAAATGATATAAATTGACATGGGCAATCTGCTGGAAGGCATATCAGGCTCATTATCAAGTCAATTGCAGATTCTCGCGCCCTAACTCGATCAATGTATATATCACGTGACTCCGCTGTCGGCGCCGAAAACTCGGCGTCATTGACAGGCTCATTTGAGTCACAGCATATTCCCCATTCTTAATTGGCCTTCTTTTCTCTTTTGCTATAAAAGAATCCCTGTGTCCATATTTTGAAAGCCAGTTTTTCTCCCCCCAATTTAATTAAATCAATCTTGAGTCTGCTTGGCCTAGCTATAACCATACCCTACCTTCTATCGTCTCTTATCCACTTGCGCCCCCGCGGTACCCCGCCAACATGCCGATGTATGTTGAAATGACCTTGACTCCGGTTTGGTGCTTCTGCATACTGATGTTTTAAAGGCTCAAGGATCCCTCAAAAAAGTATAAGGCTTTCAAGCCGCTGAATCTGCCAAATCGCCAATGGCCCGACAAAGTTATTGATAAGCCTCCTCGCTGGCTGGCAACCGATCTGCGTGATGGTAACCAGTCTCTGCCGGACCCAATGGTATGATATGATGTACTGCTCACCGCCATTTCTCATATTGATTGGATTGGTGCTATAGGACGGCGAGCAAAAATACCGTTTCTTCAAGATGCTTGTGGATATCGGCTACAAGGAAATCGAAGTATCCTTCCCGTCTGCATCCCAGACGGATTTCGACTTCACCCGCCGTCTGGTCGAAGAGCCCGGCCTTACACCCGATGATGTTGCCCTGCAGGTCCTGGCTCCCTGCCGCAAGGATCTCATCCGTCGCACAGTCGATTCCCTGAAGGGTGCCAAGAAGGCTATCCTTCACATCTACCTCGCAACGAGCCCCTGTTTCCGTCGCATCATCTTCAACATGGACCGCAAGCAGAGTCTGGAGATGGCTGTCAAATGCACAAAGTATGCCCGTTCCATCACCAAGGACGACCCCTCCCAGGCTGGCACAGATTGGCAATTCGAGTTCTCCCCCGAGACTTTCTCCGATACCGAGCCCGAGTTCGCCGTGGAGGTCTGCCAGGCTGTTAAGGCTGCCTGGGAACCCACGGCGGAGAAGCCCATCATTTTCAACCTGCCCGCCACTGTAGAGATGGCCACCCCCAACGTCTTCGCTGATCAGATTGAGTACTTCTGCACAAACATGACTGAGCGCGAGAAGTTCGTTGTCTCAGTGCACCCACATAACGACCGTGGCTGCGCTGTTGCCGCGGCTGAACTGGCACAGATGGCCGGTGCGGAGCGTGTAGAGGGTACTCTGTTCGGCAATGGTGAGCGTACCGGAAACGTGGACCTGGTCACTCTCGCCCTGAACCTGTACACACAAGGTGTCTCGCCAGGGGTCGACTTCTCGGACATCAACTCTGTCATCAAGGTGGTAGAGGAGAGCAACAAGATCCCCGTCAACGAGCGCGCGCCATATGGTGGTCAGCTCGTGGTGTGTGCATTCTCTGGAAGGTTTGTTTTCTTTCCTCTTTCCCAGTGTGTAGAACTATTTTTACTAACCCCTTTTGAAATCCAGCCACCAAGATGCGATCAAGAAGGGCTTCAAGCTGCGCGAAGATGGCGAGGGTGCCGACGAGGAAACCGAGTGGACAGTCCCGTACCTGCCCCTGGACCCTCAAGATATCGGCCGTACCTACGAGGCGGTCATTCGCGTCAACTCCCAAAGTGGCAAGGGTGGTGCCGCCTGGATTATCCTGCGCAGCCTGGAGCTGGATCTCCCTCGCGCCCTGCAGGTCGAATTCAGCAAGATTGTGCAGGAAAAAACTGAGGCTGTCAGCCGGGAGCTGAAGCCCACCGAGATTGTCAACCTCTTCGAGGAGGCCTACCACCTGAAGTCCAACCCTCGCTTCACCCTTGTCGACTACAGCATCACCACGGACCGCTCGCAGTCCCCTGCTCCTCCTGAGCCCGGTAAGGCCCTCAACACCAAGAACCTCAAGCGTCGCTTCACTGGTATTATCGAGATCGACAACGTCCAGCACGCCATCACCGGCGTTGGCCCAGGTGCTATCTCATCCCTGGCTACCGCGCTTTCCACCCTTGGTATTGATCTCGACGTCCGCGACTATAAGGAACACTCCATTGGTCGCGGTCGTGACACCAAGGCTGCTACATACATTCAATGCACAGCAGCCGGCAGCAATCAACAGGTATGGGGTGTTGGTATCCACCAGGACGTGGTACAGGCTTCCCTGATTGCGCTGCTCAGCGCCGCCAGCTCGGTAAGATTTGATCTTGGAGATTTGTCTGCATCTCACCACTAATATGCGTTTAGTTCCTCACCTCCCGCGCTGGCTCTCCTGCTCCTTTCCGTCCCATCCGCTCCAACACCCTCACCGACGAGGATATCCAGGCCCTCGAGCAGCTGTCCGGTACTCCTGATGCTGCCACATCTAACGGCCGCCTGAGCGCCAAGGTCAACGTCGAGCACTTGACAGCACAGGCTGAAAAGATGTAAATATTTTTTGTTTAAACAAAAGTAAGGCTAAAAGTGATATAGCAATAATGTCAATACCATGATCAATTTGAAACAATCTATTTTCTCCAACGACACCAACCACTATTTCTACTCAGATATAGTATCATCGACTTGGTTGAACATCTCATTGCCCTATTTATGCACATCAACAGATATTTCCAACACGTGTCAAGCCATAAAGAATCAGAGACCTCGAAGCTCACCACTCAAACAGCTCGTCCAAACCCCATCCCCTCTTCTTACTGGCCCCATAAGAATTGAACTTCTGCGGTCCCTCCGCCGAAATGATATACCCATGCTCACAAGATGAAAACGAAACCTTCGGCTGATTCGCGTAGAAGGTATCGAATCCAGAGTCCAGAGCATCGGCAAGACTGTTCACTTTGCCGGCTGGGTGCAGCTGCTTCCAGGGGTATCGGCAGGTGTCCCCTTCGCAGGACTTGAGCACGAGCATCAGTGCGTCTAGCCGTGCTATTATTTGTGGTAGCTCGCGATTTGCGATCTTGTAGTTGGGATGTTTGGCTGGGTGCGTGCCTAAATTCACGGTTTGATGGGGGTCGTTCTGTTTTAGGGTGTTAGGGCTTGTCGTTGGATATACTGCAGGACAGCACCTTGGACATGGCTTACCTTCAGATCGAAGAACTCTTTCTCGTTTGTACACCATACTGAATAGTATAGACTATAGTCATCGGAAACCAGTCTGATACCCTTGTATGTGTTTCTCTGGTAGCTGTTATGTGACTGGTCGAGCTTGTCGCTGGCATACCCGTAGATTCCTTCTGGTACAGCCTATGTTCAACCTTAGCGGGTTGGTTCAATATGCTCTTGCTATGGGAATTTCTCACCAATCCCCAGTACTCAATGGCAACATGCTCGGTCCTATTGTCCGCCGTGCTGGCGGCAATGGTAGTAGGGATCTTCTTGCCATCCAGCCCGTCTCGAGTCGCCCCAGCTATATTCAAGAAAGTGGGAGCTAGGTCCGTATGCGAAGTGATAGCATCCAGAGTCTGATTCTTACCGATACCAGGGCCTCGGACGATGAGAGGGACGTTGATATCGGTTTCTATAAGAGTTAGCATGACTACACACCGCAGACAGTGAAGACCAACTCACCATAACCACAGTTCTTTCCGGGCTGCATCCGATGCTGACCCAGATGATACCCGTTATCCGTCGAATAGAAGATATAAGTATTATCCAGTTCCCCAACCTTCTCCAACTTCTCAACAAGCTTCCCAATCATCTCATCAACAGCCTGCAGAGCCCGCAACCGACACCGCTGGAACTCATCAATATAATCAATATGCGTCTGATTCAACTCGGGTACATTCTGCACCCAGCTAACCGCATTCTCAATCAGAGTATTAAAGCTTTCATCACGCGGCGCCCGCGCATCCTTAAACAAATCCGCATGTCGCGGCGCAAACTCCGGCTCACCGAACCAGGCCGCGTTCCGCGTGGAATCGTAAGACCCATTCGAGTGCGGCGCATTCGGAGCTACTGTCAGCATCCACGGCTGCTCGTGCTTGGCCGCTTCGTCGATGAAACCCTCTGCTTTTTCGGCGATCACGTCTGTTGAGTACTGTCCATCGTACTTGACTGGCGCTGCTCCATTGCGTGTCATCCGTGCGTACCAGTATCGGTATGTGTACGGATCTAGGAGGAAATCGGAGCCGTTGAACCCTCGCACGTAGGGGTCGTTGTAGTTGTCTTCTGTGTGGGCGTTCCACATCTTGCCCACGTAGTATGTGTTGTAGCCTGCTTCTTGCATCCAGAGTGGGAGATAGTTGTCGTTCCAGCCAGCTGAGACTACTTTTGGATAGCCACCGTAGGGAAGTTCAACATCTGTTACGTTGGTGTTGTGTGGCATGCGGCCGGTCCAGAGATTGGCTCGGGAAGGACAGCATAGTGCAATTGAGCAGAAATGTTTGGAGTAGGTCGTCCCTTGTTGAACGAGGGTTTCCTTGTTAAGATGTTAGATCAGGGAGGGATTGGAGAAAGTAGGTCTTGCATGGAATGGGAATAGACTCACCTGCAGCTTGGGCATGTGCTCTAAACCGCCTACATATTTACCCTGATCGTCTGTTAGAACGAAGAGAATATTAGGCCGCTTGGCAACAGTCAGAGTTGTCAATAGCAGCAGTCTCAGTAGATTCATGGCTGTTTAAATTGATGTTATTTGTCGGACTTGAGAACTGGGAGGTACTATATACGTTCTTTAGCTCCTCCATGTCCTGCGTCATGAGAAAAGGCAGAGTTGTGTGATTTCTCCATAGAATTGCATATTATCAGCGGAATAGAGGTAATACCGTGCAACGTATATGATCGGCATGCTAGTGATAGGCTGAAGTTATAGGGGAAGTCGATCAGTCGGGGTACAATACAATATAAGGACAGACGTGGAGTATAAAAAGTGATCGGCGATGGCGAGCTTGTGGACGTGGATGGTGTTAGGGTGGGCCGTATCTTTTAGTCCAGCACATGGAATGATGATCAATAAGATCAAAGAATTTTATCTACAACATTCGAAAGGGAGATATACTGGATATGTACAAATTGCAAACATAGAGCTAAGGTATTGGGGATAAACCGGATAAGACGCAATGCTAGGGAGAAAACAAAAGATCAAAACTGTCAAGCAAACACGGCCCAAGCAGCCTTTTCAAAACAGATCACTTTCGAATCTGTACAATGAAGGCGCTCAATCCAAGTTCAAGCCTCGCAGTTGCCGAGTGGGCGGTGCAGCATTGTTGCTGCCCGTGCGGTGGACGTCGTGTCCGCCTTCTGCACCTAGTGCCGACTGGTACATGAGAGCTTCTTGGGGCCAATCATCGATCGTCCCGCTGCCCTGTGTGCCTGGACGTGCTGGCTCAGCATGGGCTGTGCCAATCGCATGGCCGCTGCCGTTGCTCCCTCCCTGATGGCTAGGAAGCGACTCTCCCATCGAGGGCTGTTCACCACCAGGATATCCATACGATTGAGACTGGACAGGGGTGTCGGCCATGTCAAAACTGAACCGGAAATCACGGTCCGTGTTGGAGGTACCCGCAGCGGATTCCAATGTGTCGTAGTGCTGATCGTCAAACTCGGTTACGATCGTGGCGGACTGTGGCTCCTTGATGTGAGGCACAGCGGGGTTAGGCTTCGGGACAGGAGTGGCAACCACGCTGTTGTCAGTGGCACTGCCAAGTTCATGCGGTATAGACCCGGCTCGGTCGGTGTGAAAACTAGCCGCCGGATGGCTAGTCTCTTCCAGTGTCACCCCAGCTGGAGAGCGAGGGACCCCCGCGTCGTCCGGATTCACTGCAGACTGTCGGATGCTGGTGCCCACTGTGCTTCCAGCCTTGGACACTCTGCTCATACGATGCTGAGGCATGTCCGCAAAGGGGTTGTCGCCCTCCAGGTCGCGAATGCTGAACTGAGCAATGGTTCGCAGCTTCCGGGTCACCCATGAGGCGAGAACCTTTCCGCGCTGCTTCTCGCCCAGACGCGAGCGGGGGAAGTCGCCGTGGGAGACGAATGCGACAATATCTGCAACAACCTGGTGCTCCATGAGGATAGCATCAACAATGACGGGGACGAGAGCGGCTAGATAGGCCTTGCGGGTAACCTCGACCACGACAACAACCAAGCCACCGGCTTGGAAAATAGCACTGGAAATGTTATGTTAGCCTCTATTACTGATCTGCGAGGAATGTCATTTACTTACCATCCTCCATTCACGATGTTGCGGTGGCAACTCTCCACGGAGTTTTCAATGTCCATAGGGAAATGGTTGAGTCCGTTGACCTCGAAGGTCTCGCCGATGCTACCAAGGAGGAACAGTACTTGCATATCAACTGGCTGGCCGCCAGGACCGATTGGCCGAGTAACGGTGTGAAGGAAACCAAGATCACCGGTACGGACATAAGGCACGCTTGGGTCGCCGTCTGCAACCCTGCCGTTCAATCGCTCGGAGTCAAATTCTTGCTTGGATTTGTAGAATCCCTGAGCGCAAGCGTCGGACTGGACCCAGATTTCACCATACTCTCCAACATGCGCGAGAGTGCAGGTCTCCGGGTTCACGATCGCAATCTGTGTGTTGACTGGTACCATACCCGAATCCTGCAGCAAAAGCGCGGTGGGATCGGCATCCGGGTCCACGGGGTAGATAAGACCTTGACGGAGGCTTCGCAAGTCGAGCCATAGCTCGATGGGCTCAATGCACATGTATGATCGTGTGGTAATCATCGGGTTGAGAACATGCGAGTAAATGACGTTGATCGAGGTACGATCCAAGCTGGCATTGGCGAAATGTAGGCGTACCTTTCCATCTGTGTGATCGGATTAGCTTCTCTTCAGGGCTGTGGTGGCGATGACACGTACAGATATCCGTTCTAGGTCGGCCCTCTGCGGAAATCATGAGGTTTTTCAGTTCTTGAAGCTGGAAGCCTTTTCCAGCCATAGCACTCATTGCGTAGTCCAACATCTGACTGGTGGCGTAAGTATCCTTGATTTTGTACCGAGCAAGTGTTACGAATAGGGTCATTGGGTTTTGTGCGAAGTCGACTGGCGAAACAAGATACGTAGGTGCACCTAAGATAATATGTCAGAACGGAAATCTTCATAGATTAGCAGCAGACTTACCGACGAAGATGCCCATCAGACAGGTGTGGAGAAATCCGAGACCGAGGGTACTTCGGACGCTTCCAAGCACTGGCCTCGAGCTTGTCATTTGGCAGGTTTCTTTTTGAACCTTGCACATGCCCATGATTGTTTCATGAGAAATTTGGACCGAGATTCTTCGCTGATCTGGGGTCCAATAAGTCCAGACCATAGCGGGTAGGGTGCCCTGGAGCCAAGTATCTTTCACAGTGTAGCCGAGCTCGCGACATCCGTGGGACTGCTTCGAGGGCTTTGTGGTATTGTAAATAGCAGGAACACCAATGCGAAGGACTTGGGCGGACTGCTTGATATGCTGCGACACAAGCTTCTGCCTCATGACATGGTCTACCTCGGTATTGACGATGATGGCCTTGACATTGAAGTCGCTGATGACGTGCAAGAATGCAGGGGCATCCTCTGAAAGACGGTTTTGGTCGATAGGAGCCATCGGGATGACAACGGCACCTAAGCACAGACAAGCATGAATGGCATAGATGTACTCCTCCGAATGGGTGTACATCAGCACGAGATGATCTCCTGGTCGTACCTTCACTTTGTTCTTGAGGTAGGTCGCCACTGCAGAGACTTTGAGGTCAAATTTCTTCCAGGTGACGCCCTTTCCTTCCTTTCCACGGCCATCGATAGAGCAATAAGCCAGTTCCTCGGCTTGGCGCGAGACTCGCCATTGAAGAAGGTCGACGATCGTGTTGAAGTTGTTCAATGGGGTGGAAGTTCGGTCATCCATCACCACATCGCGATAATCCACACCCGAGTATTGCTTTTCCTGATAGGCAAGCAAGTCTTGTCGTGATGCCAGAGCAGTGGGGGACCAGATCCCACCTTCCGGGTCAACACCGACCGGCAGATTCATCACTGATCGTTCGACTCCAAACTTGACATGCACCGCGTGAAGCATACCGGCCTCGAAATCTTTGCGGCAGAGCATGTTACCAATTTCTTGTCTGCCGTTCTTGGTGACGCGCGGCAGACTGTTCGGGGCTGTAAGTAGAACGCAGTACACTCGCAGATGATGCTCTTGGTACAATACCTCCATACACCTGTCGGCGAGCGAATCAAGGAGCACCGAGTCGAGCTGCCTTGGTGGACCGCCAGAAGTTGTTGGCGCCGTCGAGGCCGAGTAAGACTCCAAAACAATAACTGGAAGATGTTCTTCATTGACAAACACATCAAACGCAGTACAATCATGGATTTTAGGCACCTTCTTAAGAATACTAACAGTTAAGTGTTGAACGAAGAAGTATCGATGTTCGACAATCTCCTGGCCGTGCTCAACCCACTCGACCTTTTGGCGCAGACGATCCTCGTAGAGACCGAGCACGAAAAGTCTGCCCTCAATCACACATCCGAGCAGACCAGTGCGGAGGAACTCAGGTTCCACGAGTATCGGGGTCGGATTAGTCTCCTCGAATTTGTAGGGACGAGCGTGGAATATGGCCTCTGTGTGTTTCGGCAATGCCCAGAAGCCACCGGAAAGAGAGGGTGAATCAACCCAAATCTCTCCAATAACGTTTGGCGTACAGAGAAGATTGGTCTCCGGATCAACGACGGCGAGAGTTGCGTCGGGAATTGGGTAGCCGAAAGCGCCAACGCGTACGGCGTGCGGCATACTGCTGGCATACTTTCGGGCGTCCTCACCCATGGCCAGCACAACCACTTCATTGCTCTTCAAGGCCTCTTTGTCTAGGAGGACTTCACTTAGCTCATTCTTAGGGCTTTGCTTGGTCGTCGAAACTCGCGATCCACCGCCCAACAGACTGCTTCCGAAGCCAGTTTTAGTTTCAGACTTGGTAAGGCTCTCATCTTCTTTCTTAGCGTCGTCACGGGTGGCTGGGTCCATTTCATGCGTCAAAGAACATCCCATTCGCTCTTCACCACCGAGCCAATCGCGCATACTAATGACCATACCTCCATGTTCTGGCAAGCAGAGCATTGGTGCCACAATTTCTCTAGCCCGTGGGTTCCTCATTGGACGAAGCCATCTGTCTGCCAGGATCTCATGGAACTCAGGGTCAAGAGTAAGTGTATCGATGAGACAGAGTTTGACGCTGCTGAAATTAGGCTCCGAGTTTTTTTTGAAATGCCTTGTCGACATCGGATCTTGCTGGTAGTTGTAGGTAGCGATCTTCAAGCCAGAGTAATCGGTCGCCATGACTGATGCCCTGTACTTGGTGATGAGGTGGGCATATAAACCGGGTGTTTCTACCGCCCGGTCCTCGTGCCAAACGGTTGTGTGACCACCATAAACGGTGAAAAGAATGGCTAAGATCATACCAATTCCTTGTCTCGGATCGAGGTAACTGATGATAGTCTCTCCCTTAGTGCCATACTGCCTGGCGCTTGACTCCGCAGGAACCGTAGAGATGATCGCACTCAGACATGCCATTTGGTGCATGATAGTCCGGTGACTCATCACAACACCACGCAGATCACCCGTCGGGGCCCTCGCAAACTCAATATAGGCCAAATCAGGGACCTGCAGCGCAGGCGTATCGTCCTTCTTCTTTGGATGGAAACTGCCGAACTCATTCGTCTTCCACCACTCAACTCCCCGCGGCCAACTCAGCTTTTGTGCTGTGATATCGCGTTGGAAGTTCTTCAAGTTGTTCTCGGTTGTCAAAGCCAAGTGTGCCTGGGTTGAGGTGAGCACGAGATTTAGACTTGTGTAGTCATCTAGACTGTTGATAGGCACGGCAACGACTCCTGCGATAAAGCAACCTAAAAGCGCGACAGCGAACTCGATAATCTCAGCTTCACGGTAGATGAGAGCGACGCGATCTCCGCGATATAGATTACTCTTATCACGAATGACCTGAGCAACCTTCTCTGCGCGGCTAGACAACTTTTCCCACGTTATCGATGCAACCTCCTTGCCCTTTGCGTCCAGCACCCAATATGCTGCCTGCTTGGGGTGAGCTCGAGCACGATGCCGTAAGACCGTGGGAAGATTGTCAAAGTTGGACATGGGGACATTCTTGTCGTGCGGATCGTTCAATGCGAAAGGAATCTCTCGGGGTTCGAGGGGAAGTAGGTGCTCAATAGCTGGTCCATGATGAAGTTCCGCCGCGGCGGGCATCAATGGCGGGGCCATGTTTGCTGTTGGCGAAAAGGCCTCCCCAGACTGAGAATAACGGTGGAAGCCGCCTCCATAGCTATCCCTATAATCATCATGCTGTTGCCCCGCAAAGTCGGAAAAGTACCCCTGTTGGGAATCAAGCATTGTTGACTGTCGCGTGGGTCCTCCCGACGCTGGATCATAATGTGCCATGCTGTCGTCCGCGTACTCAGGTTGAGCGTGTTCGGCGGGGACATACTCCTGGGGATATTCCTGGGCGTACTCCTGAGCGTACTCGGGCTGAGACATGTACTCCGGCTGAGAGTTCGGGTTGAACGCGTAGTTCTGACTCATTAAAGTCGCCGTTCTGGAGCCATCCTGGCCTTGTGACCCTGGAATCGGGGGTCTAGGAAGGAATAGAGAGTCGTAAGAGCTCCCTGAAGGCGCGCGATCATGGGCTTGGAGCATGCCTTCTCTGCTATGAGATCCTAGCGATGCATGCGACTGATCCTGTGTATGTATACCGGCACCTTGACCATATCCGACGCCTCCGCTGCCCTGTGAGCCATTGTAACTGTCTGCGTAAATTGGGGAAGCGATGTGTGGCAGGGAAGATTCGGCGGTTGGTGGGCGAACGCTCAAAATGGCCGGCGGGGCCCTTCCAGGACTGGTTGGGGATGCATCATAGCCAACATTGGTCTGTGTATTGATCTCAAGGGGCTTGTTGGGACCGAAATATTGCGAGAGCAGGACCGTACGTCGCTTCTGGTATCTTGTCGTTGTCAGTTCCTATGCATCTGCTGGTCCAAAATGCCCCTGTCGAAAGAAACGTATATAGGACAAGGAACAATTGGCTCGTCATACTGCTTGTGACCAGGGATGGCTTACCCTTTCTCGGTGATATCGCCCTCCTGTCATGGACCATGCATAAGCAAAAGGATACAACAAGTGCACAGGATGTACATACCTCCAATTCCCGATCAAGGTTCCGCAAAGCGGCCTGTATCTCGGGGGACTCTTCCGCCATTTGGACGGAGGGTCAGAAAGCCTCAATTCGGGGAAACGTATCAAAAGCGCGGGGGAGGGATGGGGAACGAAGTCAAGGACACCTCATCGCAATGAGCGTCTCGAGGGCGCAGGAGAAGGGTGGCTTATTTGCCAAGTGCAGCCCTGATAGCCGCAGATTGTATTTACCGGGGTCTAAGTCGAACAACAGTCAATCCGTCGTGTCTCTGTTCTCCGCGCAAGACACTCGCAACGTCACCCGCTAAGGCGGTCAAGCGAGCCGAGAGAGCGTGAGACATGCGATGGAGAGTATATACCTCCAAGTATGGTTGTCTCAGTTATATATAGAAACCCAAAGAACATTTTACATCTATACCATGGAGCCTACTGCATCGAGTTTCGATGAAAATTGTGGCGTCCAGGTACTGTCTGGGTGTATCGCGTGTCCGTCCAGGTTCGGAACTACTAGGAATGAAATACCTAGGTACCAATTTACACTAGTTCAGACTAGTATTTGGATGGAGAATTTTTGTCTTCAATTTCACAGATATAAGGCTTATATTAGATCAAAGCCCAAGAGTGTCCAGTAGAATCAGTAAACAATCATTGTGGTCAATATAAGTAAGGCTGGGATTATTTTGGTTTTCCCCGGTGTCAGGTGCTGATCATTACAAAATTAGATTCCTGAGGCATAAAGGAAGCAAGGCAGCAAGGCATAAATCAGATGATATCCACTCTCAGCCTACCCTAATCACATGACCCCCGCACAACCTAAGCGAGTCACACCAATTTCTTTCTTGGATACCCGGAACCTCATCGACGTTCAACCACCAAACGACAACCCGGTCATTTTCCCACGAACCCCTCCCGCACAGTCAACATGTCCGACAACGGGGACGTCGAGGTCGCCGCCTTCCCTGTCCTGCCCAAGGAGGTTCTGGCCGAGCAGGGCAGCATCAAGCTGTTCAACAAGTGGAGCTACGATGATGTCGAGATCCGGGATATTTCCCTGACGTGAGTCTTTCTACCAGGTCGTCTATGCGCCGAGTGAATTCCTGTTGTGTGCGAGAAGAAAAGGAGTTGAATTGGTGGAATGGCAAGGCTTTTTTTCGACAACTTGAAGGGGGATATCGAAATTCTGTATTGGAGGAAACACAACACGCCGTGGCACTGGTTTTTCTCTTCGCACACAGCAGGAAATAACAGCGCACACAACGACCGGCAATTGCGCGACTATCAGGTTTACAGAGGTGCTGACCCGCCATCACAGCGACTACATCCAGATCCGCTCCCCCGTCTACCTCTCCCACTCTGCCGGTCGCTATGCCGCCAAGCGTTTCCGCAAGGCTCAGTGCCCCATCATCGAGCGTCTCACCAACTCCCTCATGATGAACGGCCGCAACAACGGAAAGAAGCTCCTCGCTGTTCGCATCGTCGCTCACGCTTTCGAGATCGTATGTGCCCCTCGGACCAATTCGACCATTCTACCGTCCAATCAAAGTACTAATCTTCAATTCAGATCCACATCATGACCGACCAGAACCCTCTCCAGGTTGCCGTTGACGCCATTGTCAACTGCGGTCCCCGTGAGGACTCCACCCGTATCGGTAGCCAGGGTACCGTCCGTCGCCAGGGTATGTGAACACTGTTATCTTGTCACCTTTGATATCGAATACTAACACCGTTCCAGCCGTCGATGTGTCTCCCCTCCGTCGCGTGAACCAGTCCATCTCTCTGCTCACCATCGGTGCTCGCGAGGCCTCTTTCCGCAACATCAAGAGCATTGCTGAGTGCCTTGCCGAGGAGCTGATCAACGCCGCCAAGGGTTCTTCCAACTCCTACGCCATCAAGAAGAAGGACGAGCTCGAGCGTGTTGCCAAGAGCAACCGGTAAAGGGTTGTGTTGGATTTGTTCTCCGTTTGGTCCTCTGTTTGCGTATACTGGAGTGGACGGGGTTTTAACCGGGATTCAATGGATTCGCATGCATCTGCAAGGCTGTACATAATGTGATACAGTCAAGGAGGAAGCACGATCTTAAAAGGGAACGCATTCGGACGGTTTTCTTTGTAGTTGTGATGCGATCATGAAGACCTCGGGTCGTAAAGACCTATTTCCTAAAAAGAAAAAATTTCTTTTATTCGTTTTTGAATGGATCTAGCAAATATAGATTGTAGAATAATTTATGATCGAAATGATCAATGCCTAATGTTTACTCCGTACAATTTGATAGTTCTAGCCAAATCTGATATTGCCAAGGTTGAGATTTTCCATCGCTTATCGATACGGAAACCACGGAGGAAAAAAAAGTTTCGGACCTCCTACCCTTTCCCAACCACCACGTTCTCATTTCCGACTTCAAAATGGTGAAAAGAAAGCTTGGAGCCTTGGAAAAGGTTGAGGCTGACCTGTATGTACATCTTGTCTGAGCCGATGCGCCCAGGATCAATCGATCAGAGGCTTCAAGTCTGTGATGGCTAACATCTTTTCTTTACGATTCGCAGGCCCAATTTGCAGCACAAGATTCGCAGGGATCCCAAGTAAGTTATACGTAGAGGTTTTTCTATGATCTATCGCACTCGATCGGGGATTAATTGTTACTTTGCGCTATTCAGGTCTTATATCGAAGATTTCCGCGCCCAACACTACCAATATGAATCCCATCGCGAGATTTACATGGCGGCGCCCTCATCTGCTACGGATACCGGCCTGATTTCTCTTCGCGATCTCATTGACTTCATTTCCCATGTGGCCGACTGTTACCCAGGAATCTGTAAAGACTTCCCGCAACAGCTCATTGACATGCTCATGCAGCACCACTTGGTGTTGGAGACAGAGTTGCGGGAGAAGCTGGTTGGAAGTTTGGTGCTCTTAAAAAAGAAAGATCTTTTGGATTCAGCGACGTACGAAGACCCGCTCCCATTACTTCCCTACTGTCGATTCTAATCGCTACTACAGGCTACTCCACACCCTCTTCCCCATCCTCGTCTCTACACCCAGCAAAACCCTGCGGGCTCTGCTCTTCCAGAAGATTCTCTCTGAGCTGCGAACTGCGAATTCAAAGACCACTAACCACAAGCTGAACCGAACTATGCAAACGGTTCTATTCAACTTGGTCACATCAGACCGCACATCAGCTAAAGGTCTGTGGGCGATCAAGATCACCAGAGAGCTATGGAAGCGCCAAATCTGGACCGAGGCTAAGGCCGTTGAAATCATGAAGGAGGCAGCCTTGTCGCAAAATGAGAAGGTCATCATCGGTGGAGTCCGTTTTTTCCTTGGTGGCGATAAGGAGCGCGAGGAACTGGAGGACGAAGACAGTGAAGAAGAGGTCAACGTTGGCCAGGTTAAGCACCAACTTACTATCAACAAGAAGACCAGAAAGAAGGCCCGTGTCGCCGAAAAGGCGATCAAAGCCGTCAGGAACAAGGAGCGCAAAAAGGGCAACCCTAGTCCCCTCAACTTCTCCGCGCTTCATTTGCTGCACGATCCCCAGGGATTCGCGGATAACATGTTCTTCAAGCATCTCCAGAACGGCAAGTCTAACTTGAAGCTGGAGCAAAAGCTTCAAGTCCTACAGCTAGTCTCCCGACTGGTCGGCTTGCATAAGTTGCACATCATGCCGCTCTACTCTTACTTCCAAAAGTTCCTTACGCCCCGCCAACCTTCTGTGACTTCATTCCTGGCATCCCTGGCCCAAGCCTCCCACGACTTGGTACCGCCTGATGTACTCGAGCCTCTGGTTCAGAAGATTGCAAATGAGTTCGTGTCCGAAGCATCTGCAGGTGAAGTTGCGACGGCTGGTCTGAATGCCATCCGCGAAATTTGTGCCAGACAGCCTTTGGCTATTGAAGAGACCCTGTTGCAGGATCTTGTGATGTACAAGAAGAGTAAAGATAAGGGTGTCATGATGGCCTCCAAGGGTCTCCTCAGTCTTTACCGTGATGTCGGTGCGCAGATGCTGAAGAAGCGTGACCGTGGCAAGGAGGCCGCAATGAGTCTGCGCGCTGGTGAGAGACAAGAGAGACGTTACGGTGAACAGGCAGTCGGCGAAATTGAGGGTCTGGAACTCTTGGCCAAGTGGAAAGACGAGGAGCGCCGCAAGAAGAACATCGAGAATGGTCTCCCATCTGATGCCGAAGATAACGAAGACGAGAATGATGAGGCCGACTGGGCAGCTTGGAACGTCGAAGACGACGAGGACAGTGATACCGATGGAGAATGGATCAATGTGGAGCAAGATGTTGATATTGTATTGAGCGACTCCGAGGACGAAGGCAAGCCGGCATCAAAGAAGGCCAAACAGGAAGAAGAGGCCAAGAAGGACACCGAAAAAGAAGCGGAAGCTGACAAAGCCATTGATTTCATGAAGCTGGCCACCACGCGCATCCTCACGCCGGCCGATCTCGCCAAACTCACTGAGCTTCGCGCCCAGGCGGCAGTCGATGCAACTCTTCCGGGAAATAAGGGCCGTGTCGCTGCCCCATGGACCTCCCGCCATACCGATGACCCATTGACCGCTGGTGAGATTGAGGGTCTTGCTGCTCTGTCTGCCGCCAAGGCCACTCGTGAGGAACGTATTGCCCATGCCAGGGAGGGCAAGACCGACCGTTCTGAGCATATGAGCAAGGAGGCTCGTCGCAAGGAACGCAAGGAGGAGCAAGGAAAGAGTACTACCAACAAGGAGAAGGCTCGCAAGAAGAACTTCCTCATGACGCTGGGCAAGGCGCGCAGCAAGAACAAGAGAAGTTTGGTGGAGACCCGTGCTGTGCTCAAGGCCCATGTCGATCGTGGCAAGAGAGGCGGACGGAGAGGAAACGTTGGCCAGTGATGCGTCTTCTATGTCCCTTTCTTTAAAATAATGATTGTTCGTTATATGCAGTACATTACTTTTGTCATTGCAGGTCGCAGGATAGACTATAAAGAGCATATACTTACCCTCAGTTATGACAGCCCATGGATTTGTATCGAATTCCACCAGTGATTACTCCGTCCTATCAAGATAAATGTATAAAAGAAGTCAAGTAATTAAATGTCCACAAGTAGTCCATAATCTGTGCTATATTGCTGTGTTCGTCGACGCGAGATGAGTGGATAACGTTATGCGTTGATCAACGCGTACCGTGTTAAGTGGCGTCCCGTTGCCTGAGCAGCCTGGTCCATTTTCCATTTCCCATTTTTCTTCCCCTTTACACCACGCTACGTCACTACCTCGTGGGCATTTTGAGATTATTACACTAAAAGAATTGGTTTCTCATACCTCATTCGATTCGAAGACATAATCCCCGTGTCCCAAATCCCATTTCCAAAATGCCCTCCATCAACCGACCGATGCCACCCAGCAACAGCGACTTGTCGAAGCGCCGACGCTTCCAACCTCCTATCACAACGTTCTTCACATCCGCCTCGGAACCAGTGTCTTCAGATACACCTGCAGTATCGCACCACCACCATTATGCCGCAGAAACCTTCTCTGCCCACCCCGTTGTGCCCGCCAAAGTTCAGTCCTCTCTTCTGTCTGTCGGAATGCGGGTCCGGAAATCTGTCGCAGAAGGATACAGAACCCAAATGTCCAAGGCAGAGGAAAAGGCCCCACTCCCTACAGCTGTTGCTCAGACTCCTGGCGCTCAAGCCTACCATGGCAACCGACCCTCGGAGCTGTCGCCGTTTTCTGGCGCTGGTAAATCCTCCTTCGGCCGCGACGACCATCTCGTCACCGACGATGGCGACGCATACTCGATCCCACCAAGCAGCCAAGACTCGGCTGTGTCATTTGCCTTGGGAGGTCAAAAGCGGGCTTTGGAATTAGATTGTGATATTCTCGTCGATGAGGATGTTGATGAATTATTCAACAGTTTCGGCGCATCCTGGAATGAGAACTCACACGGACGGACCATCCTGTCCCCGAATTTAGGCCAAAGCCGTCGTATTCTTGCTGTGCGTCATAGCAAGATTGAACAACCCACTATGGACATGGATGACTTTGAAGAAGCTACGTTCCTCCGCCGCCGCGAGGAAGTTGATGCAGAGGATGTGCGGATGTACGGTGCTTGAACTGTTGGTCCTCGCTTCTTATCTTCCTTCCCTTACCCTCGGAGCCACTGCGTGGCGTGACCTACTGTCTTCTTGCTTGTCCTTGGGCCTAGAATCGGCTTGGTTTCTTCTACCGGACTCGTATTATACCCACTGTTGTTCTATTTTGTGCTATCTTGTCTTGTATCATTATCTTTTTTTTTTCCATCTGCAGAGCAGTGAATGTGACTTATTAAGGCCGTTTGTTCATACTTTTACATCCTAATTATGCTTGTAGTCTACTTTGTAGTCTACTCAACTATAAATAAGCTCGACTAGGACGGTGGCTTCTCCGCGTAATCGGAACTATATTGTAGACTTAAACTTAAACCCTCCTAGTAAATGCTAATGCTCTAATAGTACATCGATCAAGGTTCAAAGGCACGGCGGCACTATATTCACTCGTGATAGTGTTTGGGCTTAATAAGTGCCTAAGGGTCGTCGGGGGCGCACCGGACCCGCAAAAGTGCGGCGCTCTGCCAGCCATAGACCCTACCTCCGAACAGAACCGATCTCAGGGTGATAGGCTGTCAAGAAGAAAAGAGAACTCTTCCCAAGACCCCCGCCGACGCCTCCGTATTCAGTTACGTTGGCGTGGAGAATCCACATCTAGGTGCCGGAATGTTAACCGGCTTCCCTTTCGGCACACGGCGCACGAGGGCGCCTTTCAAAAGGAACTTCCCTATGCCTTAGGATCGACTAACCCATGTCCAACTGCTGTTCACACTTTTACATACTATCTCTATAGCAGTTTCTCTCTTCTTCTCAAAATCAACCAACTTCATTATTTCCGCTACTCTGTATCTCAAGATTATTGGAACTCAAATTCTAACAGCGATTGGAAGGCACCTGCTTCAACCCCAGATGTAACACCCACCAGACGAAACCTCGGACTAGCTGTCTGAAATAGGCGGACAAAATCGCCGACAGTTCGTTCGCGAGCATCATGGGCCGCCAGCATGAACTGGTCCTCAATCCTGTGGTCGTCAGATTTAGGGTCACATTGGTATCGAAGGACGGAACTTACAGGATCATCTTTTCCGTTAGAGTGTTCAGTCGCTGAGCTGGTGGGTCGGGCAGAATGCCTTCACTTATGAACACTTTTGCCCCTGGCTTGATTGCAGGCAAAAGGGCCTTGAGAATCGAAACCGAATCCTCGTCATTCCAATCGTGGAGAATATGCCGCAAAATGTATCCGTCTGCACTGACTGGCTGAGGGTCGAAGAAATTATGGCTCTGGAAAGAGACTCGCGATGCAACTCCTGGCTCAGCAGAAAGCAACACGAGCTTTCTTCCCATGTCTAATGCGTCGACATTGTTGTCCTGGACGATAAACTCAGCCTCGGAAGCTAATGGTGCAATTGCTAAGACTGTATGCCCAGATGATCCACCGATCTATGGCCAAGTCAACGTTTGGACGCCCGTAAGTGGAGATAAAGCCCCGGGGTGAGAGCCAACTCACATCGACAATCGTCTTGGGCCCGAAACTGACCCAGTCCCAAGCTGCTCGAAGACGATCCATGGACCACAAAGGCGTGTTGACGCGACCAATGAGATATTCGTGATACTTCGTGTTCAAGTCTTTCGAATGCGCAAAATACTCGAACAGGTTTTCCTCCGTGTTGTATGCGAGATTGAATGCAGTCTCCGGAACCTTGTCAGTATTTTTATCTTCCTTCACGACCATCACTGATGGAATAGACATCAGAATTTTCTGCAGGAACTGGACCCCAAAGTGAACAACATTGCGAAGGTGACCATTGTTATGTAGTTCTGACGATGCCGACGAGTGCGCAATCTGATTTGGGGCAATCTCCCGAAACAGTCCATTTGCGATACCATAGCGGATACCCCGAGCGAGGACATCTTCAGGTAGACCGGCTGCGGCGGAAAGATCTGACATCGAGATTGAAGAGTCCAACGGGACTAGTTGTGGGATTTGAAAACGCGTCAAGAGGTCCAAGTTGGCAGAATCCCCTGCCTATTGCCTGAGTTTAGTCGATCTTCTTGTGCATCACTCATGTTTACTCCTAACTTACCGACCACGCTAGACTAAGAACATGATCCGTTGGGCCCATAGCCAAGTAAATGAGATCTTTCGCTGCCCGGATGAGCTCATTTCGAGTCTTCAAAGGCGCTATCGTTGACAGATCCGAGCCACCGGGAGTTTCAATACTTGGGCCAACCCCGTGTTCTTTAGTAAGTTCGGCCAGTTCATTGGCCTTCGCATAGACCGTCGAGGCCAGGGATTCTAACGTTGAAGACGACATGTTTAATACTTTCGAAGGAACAGACAATTCTCTCTTGTCACGGCCGAGACTTTGTGTCTTTATGACGGGAAAGAGAAAAAGAAAAGTTGATCAGAAGATATTATCACGGTGGTTCTAGTTTATCCCCCAATGTCCGTCTCTTCGGAGGCATTATATAATTTGGTGATCCATGTAAGCAAAGGACCGGGGCATTACTGGTTCGGCTACCTTATACTGAGCTCACGAGCAAAAATTGAAGCAGATTGTTTTGCAGGAGCAGAGAGGGGTCGGTGACAAGATTTGTGCGCTAGTCTCATGTCGGCGACTATCGTGGGAATTGCCCTTTCCCGGCGAGATTTCACGCCACAGGCAAAACAACACATACAGATTATCTAGCCGAGAAATTCCCCAGCACCTTATGGTGAGTGTCTAACGTAGGATTTTGACAAGACTCTTTTGTTTTTCAAGTTTCCAAATTTTGCGATGACTGAAGCACAAGAACGCTAACCGGGGTCTGCAAGTGAGCAATGAGAGATGAATTTCATTCGACGTTGCGCAACCAGTTGTTATCTGGAATTCAACGTGAATATATTGTGACCAGACGAAGACTAAAGTACTTTGAAGACCATGCTAGGGATAGTTCGCAACAATCCACTTCTTTCCACTCAGCTGCTGTGGGTTGAACTTATCGAAATGTCGATTTAGTTACAACCATTTTAGATGGAAAGGAAATTTGTCGAGAGCAATATGAAAGTTGAGATCGGAAGAAATCTCAATGCCGAGACTGAGAAATACTGTGTTTACTGTATCAACCAACGACAGCCTGTTCGCTAGGTGTTGAGTGATGATCATGGGAGCAAGCTGGGCTTCGGGCTCTCGGACCTAGTAAGTGCTCCTCAAGGAATTTTATGGACTCTTCGAAAATGTTGTATCTATTTTAGCCGTAGGGTCAGTTTGAGAAAGCGACAGCGATGTAAATATCAAGACATACCCGAAGTCATGAGCCAACCGTTCAGTGAAGTTTGTAGGTACGTCTGAGTAGGCTACATTGTATTCAGATTTTGCTGCAAACCCAGGGAGATAGATGATAAAATTACCTGAGCCAGGAGGATCTACATGATTGCGAAGTTCCTCCAATATCACAGCCTCCTTACCAACGCGCACGCTCGACATGATCTGGACCCTCGAAACTCGAAGCTTTCTAAGCTTTTCGAACAGAGCCATCCTGCTGGGCACGTCTTCAGGTGAATGAATCTTTTCAAAAAGGATCCCCAACGCGCCAGCGTCTTCGATGGCTTGATTAGCCCCCTGGCCACTAAATGGAAGCATCTGAGAGACTTAAGCCACTACGTCAACGGAGAATGGAGTTTTCAACCCTACCGGATGAGCAGCATCGCCAATAAGAAGCACCTTTCCACGCGTCCAATGAGTGATAGGCTTATGGATGTTGAGTGGCCACTTTGTGATCTTTGGGGCTTTCCTGTTGATGTAAGTCATTGATTGTCGTGATTAGAAGGATATATATCATGTCATACTTGACGAGGCGCATTAGGCACGGGTGGAAATGAGCAAATTGCCTTTCCATTGAGCCTACCAAGTCTTTATTTGGTTAGCACTCTTGTTCATCGAAGTCCCTTTTTGCACTTTTCTAACCGTATTCATCGCCTGGAACGGTGTTGTGAATTCCCACGAAATTTTGATATTCTCCGCTGGGATAAAGATTAGATTTGGATAAAAGACTGGAAAAACTGTTAATTAACTCACTTCTGACAGTCGTACCATACCATGTGCACAGCTGTATTCTCGTCCGAAGTATCCGCCAAAATCGATGGCCCATGACCCTTCTTCGCTACGAGTGAAACGTAGTCCTGGTCATCACGAACACTCTCAGTCGGGATCTGGAATCGGAAAGCACTAAGACCTGTTTTGAATGGTGGTTGTGGATGTCCTTCGAGAACCAGAGGCTTAAGAATGGAGTGAAGGCCGTCTGCACCTATGATCAAATCTGCTTCAACGCTTGATCCATCTTCAAGATGAAGGATTCCCGCAGCCGGCTCAACTGTTAGCACCTTGCGACCTAGGTGTAACATAATATCCGGGAGGCCTGGGAGTTCCATCGTAGCGATCCGATGAAGCTCTCCATGAAGATCTGCTCGTTGCATAGTATGAAGCGGTGCGTCAAATCTCTGCTCTGTGAGATCAAAACTAGCCACGGAGTCGAACGTCCGTCCGTCGCGGAGCTCAAAGCAAGACTGAGGCTTACTCCGGGCATTTTCACAGGAGAAGCCCAATGCAGTGAGAACTCTAATGCCATTTGGCGCGACGACAAGCGCAGCTCCCAGTTCACTGAGAAACTGGGATTTCTCAAATACCTACTCCAGCTGTAAGCGGAGAAAAAAAAGAAATGACAAGCATCCCGATTCCTTCTTACCTCAACGTGGTGTCCTGCAAGGCGCAGCGCCGCGGCTGCACTCAGGCCACCGATGCCAGCGCCGACAATCGCGATTTTGAGAGGCATAGTTTTATCAGATATAACAGAATTACTGCAACTTGAAGTGCCCCTCTACCGCGACTCAGGGGTTTAATAGGTACTGGGTGGTATTGAGTGGACCTTATAGAGATGTGATTAAAATCGCCGACCCAGCTCCCTATCACACCGGGGACTTCTTTCCTTCAAATTACGCAATATAGGATGGTAAAATAAACCGCGGGATAAGTGGTATTATACACAGCGATGTGAATACGGTCAGTTTGTATATTTTCAAATCGAAGAAAATTATGTTGAGGCCGAAATCGGCTGAAAAGAACATCATCAATCATTCTATCTTCAAGATATGGCTATCTTGTCCAAGTATGCAGATATTTAACGAAGAACTGTGCAATTTAAAACCTCCTATTCTTCGCTTTGAGAGGAGTTTCCAGCACGACTGAGCGCCTCTGTAATTACGGCGCCTAAGAAGCCAGCCTTTAAAATAATATGTTAGCTTGGAACGCGAGGCAGGAATATTCAAACTCACGTTTTGATCTTGAATCATGTTGAAATGGTTGCCTTGCGTATGTCTGATCTGAAGCTCAGTACCCGGGAGGAGCTTGTCCCAGCCCAATGCATCCAGCGGTCCACTTCTTGTGACCAGCCACTCCACAAGTGGATTTTGGTAGTCGAGATGAGTATTCTGCCAGCAACCATCTAGTTCCTTTTCAAGGCCCTCTTCTGCCCATATGAGCATAGTTTGCATCGACCCAGTAGATGGAAGAGGACTAGGCGAATACCCCTTGACAACATTGATCGTTTGCAGGAAGTGTTTTCTGACATCTGCACTCAGAGAACGACGTCCTGCAATCAAGTCCAAGAAAGAGGGAGGCATAGCAGGATAATGTAGAGGGCAGGGTGAATCGATAATAATCAATACATCAACCTGTTCGCCCAACTGCAGTAGTTTCCTAGTTGCTTCGACGGCGTATAGACCGCCAGCAGACCATCCACCTAGCAGATATGGACCGTGCGGCTGTTGTTCACGAATTACCTGGACCATCATCGTCACTATAACCTCCATGTCTAACTGAATCTCACTGGTAGAGTACAGGATGGGGCTGTTCAGGCCACAAACTCGGACTCGAGGTGAAATCTGGGGCAGCTTTGCATATGCGCTCGCAAGACCACTGCCATCAGGGAACAGAAAGAGGGTTTTATCGTATGAGCCGTCTCTCTGGAGAATGATAGACGAGGGAAGCGAGGATCTCCTGTTCGCGGAATGCGAAGAACTGACACTCGAATTGTCTGGTCTCGACGAGTCATGCGAATCATCAAACATTTGACTCAACACGTCGTGAATGTTTGGGCCGGTAGCAGACTCAAAGATGTCGGATGGGAGTAGAACTCCGATCTTATCCTCCAGGGCTCCGAGTATCGAAATTGCCATCATTGAATCGAGACCAAGTGTTGATAGATCTTCAATCGCCAGAACCTCTTGAATATCGACACCTATCTCGCTCGCAATAATCGTGTAAATCTCTTGGAGCTTTAAATTGGGTGAAGGGGTGAGTGGTATGTCGCATTCGGTCGGAGGGGAGGAAATGGGTGACTCGGAACTGCTTGAAGTCGGAGTCAAAGGCATATTGTCTGTCGATTGGCCAGGTAAACACTGCAGGACATAGTCGCGGAAATCACCGAAGGTAGGTAGATCAGCGAAACAAGACGACGGAAGTTGCAGATTGAGTGAAGTTTGAATTCGTTGCAGGATTGTCATGGACAGCAGTGAGTCTACTCCAAGCCCAGCAAAAGCGCTGTCATCCCGAAGTTCATCTTCGGGGATGCCAATCTGTGAAGCAAGTAGCTTCTTGAGACTAGAAATAGTTGACGCCCCGCTTCGTTGTTGTCTTGAGGCTGAGCTGGGCATATTCTCCACCATCTTGTGTTTTGTCACATTTCCAGTATGCGATATCGGAGTTTGACTGGGAGCTGAAGAGGAAAGGATTCTTTCAAGCACTGCCCTTGGTATCCTCTTGAACTTGACATCACCACATCGAGCAATCATCCGGTTTCCTTGGAAGATCGAAACATCGCCGACAAAGACTGTTTTGTCTTCGGGGAACATCCTCACATGTGCGCGGTAAGGAATAGCTGGGTCAATCTCTTCAGCAATCTGGTAACTGCCAATGCCATGGGAGATATAAGTAAACTCGCGGGGATTGACTGTTCCAATGGCATTCATCACAAACCCTGCGATTTGTGCCAAGTTGTCAAGCCACAGAGGGCAGCAATAGAATTTTCCGGCGTCATTGGCTTGATGAAGGCCCAGTGAGACCACAGCTTCCAACTTTTCCGAATCCACAATCACCTCCTTCATGCCTTGATAGCAACTGTCGTATTGGACCACATTTGAGAAGAGCTTGTAGACCATTTCGTGAGAGATTTGACTTGGGAGTGTGCCTCGACCGGACTCGAGATCTTGGATTCTCTCGAGAATCAGATAAGCATTTTTATTCCAAGCACGGGACCATGAATCGGAGTCTCCAAATACAACTTTGCAGGTTGCATGAACCTGGGAAGCCCCGGTTGAATTATCCAAAGCTTCTATGCGCATAATTACCGAGTCAGACTCAAGGTCTGCTTCTGCTAAAATTCGAAGCATCTTGCTCTCCGTAGGTCTGGTGACTGGCATTACGACAGGGCTCTTCATGTCCAAATCAAGAACATCCATCCCTGACACAGGGCAGGGGAAAGAGAAATGTCTCCGGAAGTGATCTGCCACAGTGAGAGCAATGTCTGCGAAAACTCCCTGCGATATTGGTAAGTTAAATACATCAATTGAATAAGGAAAAGGAATTCCAGTAAGCTTGGCTAGACAAGTTGACTCACCGACGGACATAACGCGATTCCATTCAGAACATGGCCTGCAATTAGCTTATGCAGATATGGATCGGACAGATCTGACTCGAAGGTTACAGTGGCATTTGACCCCTGAACAACTGAAGAGATTACTCGCTGCACTGTTGTTGTCATAATCGAGGAGGCCTTCTCTGACGAAAGGGGCACATCGTTTCCATGACGTTGTAAGAGCCAGTCATTCCGATACGGAATCCAATAGTTCTTTTCATCAAAAGCGTATGATGGCAAATTGAGCAGTCTGGGAGTGGAATTGAAAGCGTTGTAGTATTCAGTCCAGTCAAGTGAAAATCCCTGGTCATTGAGAACTGCCAATGATCTAGAGATGGTGGCAACACAGTTTTCGGATCGATGAAGCGACGAAATGAATTGATTGCTAGAATCAAGGGTGGGTCGAATCATGTTTAGGCAGACTGGATGAGGGCCAAGTTCCAGAAATGTGGATTCGGTTGTGATTATGCCATCCTCCTTCGCAGAGCTAAGGGCTTTCGAAAGTTGGACTGGCTCTCGTGCGTGGCGCGTGAAATAACTTGGCTCTATCTTATCGCCGACTTGGAGAGTGATTCCAAGTAATGTTGAAAGAAGAGGAACTCGCAAACTGGAGATAGGGATTGAAATGACCTCTTTATCGAATGGTGCCAGTATCGGGTCGACCTGAGAGGAGTGGAAGGCATATGGGACATTCAGCATGGTGCACGGTATCCCATTCGTCTTGAGTAACCTCTCCGCTTCTTGAATGGTGGCCGTCGGACCGCTGACTACAATATCTGATGGTCCGTTTAGGCAGGAAATCTCATAATTTTGCACTCGATCAATCAAAATACTCTCAACCTCGTTCAGGGGTAACTTGACAGCCAACATCTTGTGGGTCGAAGAGGTGCACAGCTTTTGTAAAAGGGTTGCGCGTCGACCAACGAGATACAATGTATCACTTGCAGACAAAGCACCGGCGGCAAACAAGGCAGCATATTCTCCTAGACTATGCCCAATCACGGAAGAAGGCTTGATGTTCCATGACAGCCACAGTTTGACCAGCGCCATTTGAATGGCTACATGGCACAGTTGAGTTTGAACTGGGGTGAGTGTATCAAATTCCTCTTGTCCAGTGACAATCTCTTGCACAAAAGAGGGAAATCCGTGATCAATAGCGATGTGCTCGAGTGTCATCAGGTATGATCGGAAGGTGTGGTTGGATTCGAAAAGGTTCTTCCCGACGTTTGATGAGAGACAACCCTGGCCAGTGAAGACAAACACCAGATTCTGTGATTTGCTGGAGGGTTTGAGGGCTTGGCGTTGGGATGTCGCGCGTAGGGCCTGCTTGGCCTGCGTGATGGTTGAAGCAACGATAGAGACCCGCAGCGGGTATTGCACTCTTCGTGCAGTGGTCGTATAGGCGAGATCCTCGATCAAAGTATTGGGATATTTATCGAGATAATCAGTCAAATTCACCAGGTTCCTTAGAAGAGATGATTCGGTCTTCGCGGTCACGCTCACCACATGATCGCGCTGCGGCGAGGTTGAGATCGGAGAATCTGAGTTAGAGCCGCCTTCGGCGAGGAGAAAGCTCGAATTCCCACCCGCGGCTCCGAAATTATTGATCAGGATTCTTCTCTTTCGACCAGATACCTCAGGAAATGGAATGAGCTTGTCCGCAATTCTGACCCCTCTCTGTTCCAAGGGTGGAAAAGTGCGGTTGATTCGACCGCTCTTGATGCCAATGTGTGGTGGAATCTGCTGCTTCTGGAATAGCAGTAGACTTTTAATTAAAGCTGATATTCCAGAGGCTGACTCTCCATGGCCAATGTTTGCCTTGATTGAGCCAACGTAAAGTGGGTTTCTTCTCGCACCGGAGTTGGACTCAGGAGCCAAAACATTCAATATAGATGCCATCTCGACAGAATCTCCCAGTTGTGTGCCTGTCCCGTGAAGTTCGACATAATCGACATGCTCAGGCTGAACGCCTGCTTGAGACAAAACCTTTCGGAACAATGTCTCCTGTGCTCCAGCGTGAGGCTGGGTGATTGATGCTGCATATGCTGAATAGTTTGTGGCAGATGCTTGGATGACACCAAGGATATTGTCATTATCGGCCGTGGCAGCATCAAGGCGCTTGAGTACAACACTTGCGACCGCTTCACCGCGACAGTAGCCATTCGCTTCGTCGTCAAACGTTTTGCAGGGCCCATCACTCGAGACAAAGTGCCCGCGGGAGAGTCCCGCGTACATATCAGGGCTGTTGAGAAGCATCATGCCTCCAACAACGGCTGTGTCGCACTCGTTGCTCCAAATTGATGCACAAGCTAGATTTAATGCCGTAGCACTAGAAGCACAAGCCGTGTCGACGCTCACACTTGGGCCGCCTAATACGACAGTTAGAAAGACCTGTAACTTTCTTCGAGGGTAATTTTTATGACTTACCAAATTGGTTCGCACGAGAGACTCGACCCTGTTGCAACGCGTCAGCTGCTATGATTTAATTCAAGGTAGGAGGAACGGTCAGCTACTCACAGGACCAAAAGCACGAACGACGCCAGAAACGTAGTAAGTGTCTATCTCTTGCACAACGTTGACATCTTTATAGTCATCCGTCGTCTGCCCAAAGAACGTGCCAATCCTTTCCATCTGCGTTGATGATGTGCGGCCCGGTACGTATCCTGCCATCTCCAGTGCTTCGTATGCAGTTACTAGGGCCAATCTCTGTTGAGGATCTGTCTGCATGGCTTCCCGCGGAGACATATTGAAAAATCGAGCATCAAACATGCCGGGACTTTTCATGAAATTCCCATATTCTGTTGTGCTTTTGTTCTTGTCTCTGCCATCCTTGGAGACATATTTGGCCGGGTCAAATCTATCACTCGGAATCTGCATTATGTTAGACCAACGTAAGGTAGTCAAACGTAGCACGAGAAATGTGACTTACCACCTTGCAACAGTCAATACCTTCCGATAGTATCTTCCAGAGCTCATCAACACTTTCGGAATTGGGGAATCGACCTGCCATTCCAACAACAGCCAAAGGTCGGTTCAGTGGTTGTCCTTCTGTACCTCCACCCTGGCGAGAGGAGGCATCACTCAATGTAATATTGAGACCTGTATTGGTGCTCAAGTTGTTTGCAAGTGCTTTTTGGTTATGCACTGGACCAAAACATTGAATCTCCCAGCGTGACAAATTATTCTTCGAGATTGAGCTTGCAGCCCCCTGACAGAGTGCCTTCCATGCGATTGGATAAATAAGAATATCTTCCACTGCCCGGCCCAGCACCTGCTTGTGAGTGCCCTCGCTATACGTCTCACCATTGGAACCCGACAGAATATGGGACCGAGACTTATCCTGTTTCAGTTCTGAGAACTCTGGGCTCAAACTTTCAATCAAGCTAATTACATCTTTCGATTTGTATAGATGTGGAGCATGATAGGGGGCGAAGAGAGGGATTGGCCTTCCAGCACGACTCGGATTTTCGGGACCAAGCTTTTCGAGGAGGATGTTTTTCAAACTAGCCAATGTTGAAGGAGTTCCTTGCGCCGTCAAGGTTCGCTCAAACTCAGCGGTTATGAATGCTGTTTTCCGAGATGGAAGCCGCTAGAATAGATTAGCTTACAAGCCTTCATTTGGTTCGCCGGGGTGCTTTACCAGTGCTCCAATCAAAGAGGCCAACTCTGAGCGTTCTATAAATTCCTTGTCCACGGAAAACGACCAAGGAGCTTCATCCTGGTCATCCTCCAAGTCACCCGCAGTGGTGAAGACTAGTGACCCTAGTCGAATAGCAAGTCTAAAAACTTCTACTCCAAGGGAGACAAGCTCCAGCACACTTGTAGACATGCCGACTGCCGACGCCGACAATTGGCCGACGCAAAGACCAATATGTACCGAGTTATTTGGGTTAGGAAACTCCACTTGCGGATGACTTTCGTACCATCTTTGCCTTTGTCAGTACATCCTAGGGTCCGCTGGAATCGGCGAATTCACTCACAATATGCAGTTTCCCAACTGAACAAGAACAAGCAGCGCCGGGGATAGAACCTTCAAGCTACGTGATGCTTGGTTTCTCGGGTCCAGGAAATCAAAGAAAGACGTGAAACTCAACGCATCATGTCGAACACGTGGTGGAAGATGTTTGACTTCCCCATGAAGCACATTTTGGCATGATGATAAAAATTGTGAAAGCAGTGTGTTTGTCTGTTGGGATCTCAGCAGTTGAGACAGTGCTGTCGTTATCGGCAAAGAACAATCCCCAAAGAAAAGTATCTTTCCAGTTGGCTCCATTTTGTGAAAGTCTTCTCTAGGTTGGTCGTTGAAATTCCAGACCAAGAGTTTAGATATCACACCTGCGTACTTTAACTAAGAATTCGACAACTTCTATAGGAATACCAAGACCGAGACCAATGCCTCCGCAATCCTTCACCAATCTCATCTAATGGCACTCACGGGGAGTTGTTGACCAAGTTCTTGGCGTCGCTATCTTATTTTAAGGGCTTTCCGGCGTGATACTCGCCGGGGCACCCACTACTGGATCATGAAACTCGACGCCACTGAAGTTAGAGTAGCGCTACATAATCCCACGATAATCCAAGAAATCGCCGAGAGTTTTCAAACTCATGGCTGCAGGAACATCACCTAATATCCCAGTGATTGGCCAGAATTAATGGAGCTTCGTGGTGATAACCAATTCGGTCTCTCTTTTTGTCACATTAACTAAATTATCTATCAGTGTTCCAATGTTTCTTATTAAACCAGTGCGTATCCTGCATTCCTAAACCTTGAGCCGTTCATGTCGCTTTCTTTCTTTTTCTATTTCTATATCGTAAAATTTCTGGCTCCTTTTTAATATTTTCGAGCAAAGAAGCAAACATCAATGAAAACTCACTATTATTGTTTTATCAGAATATGGATTTGTGCACAAACTGATTGAGACACTGCTTCTTTCCCTCGTGTATGATGGAATTCCATAGAATTCCTATCTTCGTTTGCGTGTTCTTTCATGTTATTGTCTATTTAATGTTGTGGTCGTGCCTCAGGCATCGACGCATCCATGCCTTTTTACACAGTTTCAGCCCACAGTAGTTTCTCTCTTCTCCAGTCAACATCATTGTCTCTAATTCTTGAGTCTCAAATTTTAACAACATGCTGAGGCCTTTCTGTAGAATCAATGAATCTCTTCTATCATTCATCACTCTACTGTACTTCCAGCAGATAGTCCATCACAAGCCATATTGGTTCTCAAAACTACCACCGTAGCCAATGAAAGAGGTCGAGGGAATGACAGGTTGTTCCTTTGCGTATGCCATTTTATTTCATTTGGTTGAATGCTAATATTGCCTCCTCCTGATTATACATTGGCCAATCTTTCAATAGTTGGGGCTCTTGTGCTGCAGCAAGTATAGGCTTGGGGTTGGAAGTCATGGAAATATTTATGCACAAAGAAACAAAGAAAACTTTTGTTGAATTACACAAGGCAAGCAGGGTAATTAAACTCGTCGCTTTTGGTGTATAAGATGGGGTGAGAACAATATGTGTATTCAAAAGAGAATGTATTTTGTCTGATGGTTTTTAACTGAGAATATGCTGTCCTTTATGGGCGAGAACTCGGGTCACGCTCAATATGGGACTTCGCATACTGGCCCCGACGCGCCGGGTGATCAACAAACAAAGGAAGAGGGTTCCGTAGATGGAGTGCGTTGGACGTATCATATTCTCACCAGGAAGGCAAGAATAAGCGATGTGAATCCCTCAGGGGGTCTTTCAGTAATTGGAAGGTAAGCCGTAGGGGGAGCGCATAAATCGGCCAGTGGCGCAGGGAATTCCAGCAGAAATGGGCTGTAATCCTTTCATGCCGCTCTCTGTCTTTTTCATCTGTCATCGTAGCTAGCGCTATTTTCGTCGACGTTTCTTCCTTTCTTGTCTTTAAAATTATTGTTCGATTGTGAATTTCATATCCAAGATGCAAAATGATTTCGGACTACCATCTAGCTTAAACCCGGAATCCGTCCGAAAAATTCTTTTGTGGAGGGCTACAAAATAGAAGAAGGCAGAAACCTGAAGTTCAAGTGATTTGAAGAAAGAAGAAGCTATCTATGTGGGTTTGGGGGACTGAAAGGGCCCGGGGTGCAGAGCCTGAGGCACCCCTCAACATCTTATGAACACGATTTCAATTGACTATAATTTAATTCAAGGCAACTAATTATTCAAGAGACATATCAAAACTCCTTCCTCTATCTCCAATATCGCGCACTGATTCTCGATTGGGCAATAACAACCGAGTCCCTAGCGCTCAGCGTAGCCTGCGAGATGAACTTTTTCCAAGTAACCGAAAATTCTAGTGACTTTTCAGAACAAAGTGATTGGATAACTTTATCTCCTCTCCCCCCAATAGCTCTGTCGACAATCACAATTGAAGTCAAGCCAGAAACCAAACCCAAGATCACAGACTCACCCGATCACACTTTAAAGCTCTTCGTCCCCTTTCCCAGTAGGGGAATCACCCGAGCTAGTGGCAGGTTTGGTCTCATTTTCAGGTTTCTTTTCATTGGTTGCCCTCAGTTCAGTCTGCGCGCGCATTCGATCGGTCATGGCATCCAACTGTCGGGCGGACTCAGCAGCATATTGGCAGTGTCGGCGAATAGCCGGTCCGTACTTGTAAAAGATCCATGGGAATGGCAAGCAGGCAATGGCAAGGAAGGCCGAGATAGAGGAAGCCCAATGGATTCCAAGATTCTGATACATTGGAGTGGTAAAGAGAGGGCTGTCGGAGTTCTTGGTCAGCTCTATACATCATGTTTGGGAGGGAAGATTCTGAAACTTACAATGCTGCACCGAAAAGAGCACGGATAACAGCGTTACCGGCCAGTGCGGATGCGGCGTAAATAGTATAGCCATCGACCAGATAGTTCACAACACTTAAAAAGATCGATACGTGAGAGAAACCAAAGAGAACAGTTCCTATCTCGCATACGATCCAATGGATACTAGGGAAGTTGGTCCATGCAAACCAAAAGAGTCCGATTGGAAGGGTGACTGCGCCAACCATAGCTGGGATCAATCGACTTTCCGGGGGAGGACGACCATAGGGAGTGCGATCGGCAACCTTTTTGTAACGGCCGTCATCAAGGACTGAATAGGCACAGCCGAGGATCTGCCCGATCATCATTCCTAGGAATGACAGACCTGAGGTGTTCTGTGGCCATTTGAGGGTATCTTCGAAGACGATGGGGAAGGCGGCAAATTCCATGTACATGGTTCCGTAAACTGTTTATACATTAATTAGACCTTGATTGGATAAAGCCACAAAGAAAAGAAGAAAGGGAATACGTACTGATTGCCATGTAAATAGACAGCAGCAGGACGATCGGCTCCATGAAGAGCAAGATCCACGGTCGAACCATAGTCTTAGCAAAGATCTGACCGGCTGTTCGGTTGGAGTCACCTATAGCCAGATGGCTCTTGTAGACAGCACCAGTCATTTTGCAGAGCTTTGCAGCGCGCTTCTGTAACAAAACCGGAGTATAGGTCTCAGGAATGCAGGCAATGCCAACCAGGAACACCACTGCATGAAAAATAGTGGTAAGACCCTGCACCCATCTCCAGCCTTGAGAAACAGCCAAAAAGTCACAAGTTATAGGCCCAAGACTCGGGCCTAAGAAAGGGGCACCAATGAACGCGATGGTTGCTAGTCCCCTGTCCCGGGCTGTATACATGTCTGAAACCACACCGCCGGCATTTGAAATTGCGGACGAGCCAAATGCACCAGAAAGGAATCGAAGGACAAGCAATGTGGCGATATTCGGGCTTGCAATCGTTGCTCCAGCAAACAGTGTAGTCAGACCGTAAGTAATGAAATAGATCAGTTGACGGCCGAAAAGCTCGGATAGCGGAGCCCAGATTGCAGGCCCGATCGCGAAAGCAAGAACAAACAGTGAGGTATCGGCAACCACTAGCTCAGCGCTGACTCCGAACTCCTTCTGTATTTGGGGGTTGGCTGCTGAAAGAGCGGACGAGGCGAATGTGATGGACAAGAAGGAGGCAGCTTGGAGTAGTGTGATTGACCACTTGAGCCAGTCTTGCATCTGATGCGGATCACGAGAATCTTCAGCAAGCCAGTCAACCAAGTAAGGATCTTCTTCTGTGCCGCTGCCCTCCCATTGATGGTGGAGAACATCGTCGGTGATGGTATCTTGGGACAGCACTAACTGGTACAGAGGAAGTCTGTGGCGGTCGCTGGACTTTTCGGTGGCTGACATTGCTAGTAGTGTGGGGACTCAATACCTGAGCCGTGAGGGAGTAGAATAGAGGAAGCTCCGAGGGAGCTGGCAATGGTTAATGACGTAGATTGTGTGGGAACGGCGAGTTTTCAAGTAAGACCTAGTACCGGCGACAAAATAAAAGCGCCGGGCGAGCGAGAAAATAATAATGAGACTGGAGGCGATTGGAAGGGGAAGGGCAGATGGGCTGAAAAATATAGGTTGTTGGAAAGTACTGAGAAATTTCGCAGAAAATAAGGGGGAACCCCAGTTTTTCCATTATTAATGATTGGCAATTACCAGGGTGTAGATTAGAAATCAAATTTAGACGAGTCCGGAATGCGAATCCCTTTGTTCATTGCGCGCGCTTTCTGAAGCTGTAATTTTGTATAAATGACGATGCCAGGATTTTCAGGCTATGCCAAGCTTTAAGGTTATGGTTAGCCGCTGACAAATAGGCCAATCAAGTCATTTTCCGAGGGCCCCACTATCTTGTTCCCGCTAGTACCCGACCCGCGTTGGCGGCTAGTCTCAATCCGGCTATTATAGATTGCGACGGAAAAATCCGACGATCACATGGAATATCTACAGGTTGCTTCAATTATCCATGCTGTTGTATATCAGAAACTTTGAATCATGGACTTCTTGTTCAGCATTATATCGTAAAATACATTTGTCATCGATGAATGATGGTCCGAAGAGAATCCTCCGTAGCCATGACCAATCTTTGTAAATCTTCCAAGACGGAGTGAACCGGGCGTTTGTCACTGGTCCCAATGGCTACAAAGGGGCTCACATGCACTCGCTTAACATAGTCAACCATAGAATCATAGATCCGCTTGATTTTACTAAACGTGCGAGCGATCAGCACGTCTGTGAGAAAGGCTTGCTCATCGTGCGGAATTTGAAAGCTGCCAACACGGATAGTATTGGGGGTGGGGCCATGGGGTCGTCGGTCAATAGACTCTACACCCGCTTGGTTGAATAGGAGGCTTCCACTCCATGCTGAAGACCTGACAGGCGATGACCGTTGCCTTGATAAAAGAGATTGCAGACCTTGAAGTAGACTCCGAAGGCCCATAGCCAGTATTAAAACAGCCACCGAGTCTTGATCACGTCGGCAAGTAAAACAATTGGATAGTTGCTCCCACAGAGCCTGGCTATCCTGGGTTGCCTGAAGAAGTAAAGGCACTGCTGTCCCTGAAAGCTTACACTCAGTCTTCTTCAGCTCACATAAAAATCTTGTCTGATGATCAAGACAAGAGCAATAATTTGGGTCCTTGTCGTGATTTTCTCCAGAGAACAGCGGAAGCCGAACATCCTCAGTGAGTGTCGATGCAGGATCTTGAGAGCCGCCAGAACCCGTTTCGAGAAAAGAAAGATCAACTCCGGGCATAGTCCGACAGAGGTCATTCTCATACGACTAAATGGACAGGAAGCATTGTTAAGAAGTGTCCATTGATTTTGCTATGCCTCAAGTGGGGTTGCGTACCGTTGGCATTACAGGCGTAGTGAAGTCGTCGTAGCGAAATCCAATATCACTTCCCAACTTGTCAAACAAGCCACCAGCCTCATCCCAAGATTTCTCCGGCGTTGGAAGAAAGCCGCCCTCGTTTGCATTTGGTAGGTTGTTCTCATTCAAGAACTCAGCGAGCGTATCTTCTGTTGATGAAATGATCGCTCTAGCACTCCCAGCGATCCTTTCCGCTGGCATATTATCATCGAATACTCTTTCTCCGTTAGCAGAATTGGTTCTAGACCTCTCTGCATCGCTGATACTGCCCGTTCTTTGGTTCCCCTGTTGTGTCTTTCTGTTCTTGGAGCCTTTAGGACGCCCGAGCCTATTAGGTTCGCTGTATAGACAGACCTGTTTCGATTTTGCACAACCAATACAGGGATCACCACCGGAGCATTTCATCTTCATGCCGTGACATACATCACAAGCAGCCCGAACTTTTCGCTGGTTGTTCACTTCCATATTGAACGGGGGTCTGAGAATTGCGTACAGTAACAGGGATGGTAAGGTCCAATTGACAAGGTTACCCGTGCAAAAGAAATATGTTGGGACACTACACTATGTAGGGGCTCGGAGGAAAGGAGAGAGAGTTGATTCCTACAGGAAGCTTGCGCTTCTGGCCTATCAAGCTAGCTACTAAGGGGTTTGATGACTGCATCACTCCAGGCCTAAGGCCACCACAACAAAATAGTTGCTGCATCTCAGGTTTCATTGCATGTTGACTAGATGAGAACCCGACACCCCTGGTCCATTCATTCGCAACTCCAGGGCTAGTTACCTTCTAAGGGTGGAGGCTGTTCTTTATCGCTGTCTCCCGCCTGCGACCCATTGGAAGCGAAGCCGCCAAGTGTCAGAATTACAATATCCTTGACCAGATCTTGATCTGTCATTCGATGCCACATGGTCAAAAAGTGGAGACACTCTGTTGGAGTCCCTTTCCCCAAAGTACGAGAAATGATCTGCAAGGGTGCCGGCCGCATTCCCGCTTATCTCTTGCGTCGAGATAGTCTCTTCCCGCCTCTTTTACCTCAATTGGACGATCAGCACATTTCGTGACATCATTGTTAAACCTGAAGGATTCGACCCTAGGCCGTTTTGTGGATTTCATGCAGCCATGAAAAGTCGAAAGGATTCTGGATTCACTGTTAGCAACGGACCTAGCTCAGCTTCCTTCCGAGACTGTAAATTCACATTTATGCGTCGCTTGGACTCTATATCATTGATTAGATCTTTCATCTGGCCCATGGCTTTGTCCCAGCGTTGAGTTCACAGGACGTTAAATTGTGATTTCATACTTCAAGCCTCGTATGGCGACATGCATTTAATTACCGGTTTGGATGACGCTTCATGCAGTCTGCAGATTGATGGGTTCTGCGACTTATTTGGCACGGGCACAGCACGCCATCAGCTGCAGATCAAACAAGAAGGTAGAATTGTGAACATAGTGTTGTACTCTGATTGGTGCTATTGCTCTCTGGAAAGTGCCAATTGGCTTCCTCGGATCTCATTTTGGCATAAAAAGCCACCAAGACACGGGGTTACATTGCAGACAATATAATTGAGAGATAAGCTAACCGCTAGCTAATAGAAAATAATAAATAAAGGAAATAATGGTAAGATGAAATCAACTATTCTTTGTGATTCTACAATAGTATTGATATTTAAATTACCTGTTAATAAGAAGCCGATATGCTATGGCAGAGGTCTCAATTCCCGCCGACCATGCTGGTGATCTGTCATTAGATATATGTTGGCTGTCTGGATAGAAGGAAACTCGATTTCATTCAAATACGTAATGTTATTCAGTGTTCCCACTTAAAGATCATTCAATGTCTCGGTCTAAGCCGAAACCAATGCAAGCCACTTCGTATAGTTGCAGGACTATTTGACCTGCGATACCATCTGATTCAAAGATGAGCACTGACAGACGCAGGTTCCTCTCGCTTAGGGAACCTCTCCCAAGCCTCGGCAAAACCCGCCCCACGGACAAAATCGAAATGCTTAGTTCCGTCCATAGGCTTCAAGCTTGCCGAATCAATGGCAGCGATACCAGCCGTTAAGAACACTGGCTGTTTGACCCTGAATTCAGGAAGGTGGTTATATGGCTTTGACGTATCCTGTGAGTGAGCCATGCATCGGATAAGCTTTGCCATATGACCATCATCTTCGTGGTAACATGCTCGGTCGAATACCTCGTCCCATCCTTGGTTCGGTAATTTGGACACATGTGATGCAAGCCAGTCTAATCGAAGCTCTGGGGCCCCCTGCGATGCGTAGGACATCAAGTAAACCCGACCGGTGTACTCGAGAAGGCGGGCCTTTTGCTCATTGCTGAGCGAAGGTTCTGCAAGGAACATGGTGTGGCCGATGCTTGAAGTGACGCTGTGCAAAAGAAAGAAGTCAAATGCACAGATATATGGAGGGCGCTGAGCTCCAGCTGTGAGATACACTAACGTTGACCGAGTTCTCAAATCAGCTTGCGTTGATGCAAAAGAGCTAACTGTCTCTCGATTCTCCACGCGTGAAATAACACGTGTTACTTACCTGCTGTATTCTGCAGTTCAGCCGTGGCTCGTTCCAAGTCATTCGGGTCAACGCGATATCGAGCAGCGACACGAGTAAGTTCCGGAGCTGCATTTTTCAATACCCCGTCGCGGGATGGTTCAAGATCCAGACACATCTCTCCAGTGATCCTGCGCTTTTGCAAATGATAGTACGCACTTGAGCTGGTGCGGATCTTTTTGTTTGACCTTGCCATGTCCACACAAGTACTAAGAGGAAGGGCAGGCTCAACCTGTTGCTTGGAGAGTTTCTCTGCACTTGTCAAGTAGTCTGTATACCACCAGTCATGGTGCACACAGGCTTGAGCAAATCCCTCGGCTAATAGTCTTGCCTGTTTAAACTCCAACGCCATCCCAATGTGAATAATGCCATGCACGTATCCTAAATCACAAAAGTTAGTATAAGCAGCGCTCTCACATTGCACCGCCGTGCGCTACCTCACTCACCCATATAGATTCGACAGAGGATATCATCAGCCAAAGCAGTCCCATTGACAAGGTACTTTTGTATAACCGCCTGGTACCCGATACGGTTGATCTCGTGTTCAAAGAAACGACAGAAATTCATAAAGTTCTCCTCTCTGCCAAGACACCGTTTAAAAACCAGTGGATCGCTCAAATCATTCACTAGTGTGTCTTGGATGGTGAAAGCTTCTCGCTGGTAGAGACTATTACGATCATGCTGTGATCGAATTGTTTCTGGCTTTCCGCCCAAGACCCAGACAGTAATATCATGATGAACAATATGATTGTGGAAGTAAACCTGTGGCGCCAGTGATCAGCCGTCAACCCTTTTTGATATTCACAGAAGAGCAGTGAATCCTTATGACCTACCCCTTTGTGGTCTTCGGTAGTGGTGAAAATATGGTGGTTGTTGTGATTTTCTTCAAGGACTTGTTCGAGCATGCGGCACGACTCTTGGGTCAGATTTTTGGCATGGCGTAAACCAGCGTTGTTTACTGGATGAAAACGGAAGTGTGATGTGGATTCCAATTCGAGTGCCATTTTCAGTGGTGTTTGAGGTAGGCTAGCTTCGGGTAACAAATTGCTTTCTAAGGGCGTGATGACCTTAGCGCTAAAGATATACTAGACTATGAGGGGCAAGCATTTGAGCTTGACTATACACGAGGAGTCTAGCGAGCATTATCTGATGTCCTTGATGCAACCAGGCTCAATAACAATTTTCTTTCGGCGATTATCGAATTCATTTCTAACTGAATGGTACGTAATGAGGGCTTTCGCCATATGGGTGAGCACGGGGAATTATCCCGGTTTTTCAAATGTATAGAGGAGAATCATTGGATATCGTTCGGTGATTTGTCAAAGTACTTGCTGGCGAGATCTTGACTACGCTTCATAAGCAATGTGGCCTCTGCATAAAAAAAGTCGCCGGTTTGAGAGACAGAAGTATGCAGCGGGAAAGCAAAACACCACGAAGATTTTTCAAGTGACTGGTAATCACTCAGAGCTAAAGTACCATCTTTTATTCGCATAAATACAATGGGTTCTAAATAAATCAAAGGGAAAAATACCTTTCACTCTTGAAAATTCATTCCTGATGCCACTGAAAAGTCATATACGATTTCCCGATCCCGAAATCCCAACAGACCTCACAAAAATGAAGCCAACATACCAGAAGCTACTCAACAAACACGTCCTCATCATCGGCGGGACATCGGGCATGGGATATGCGGTCGCCGAGGCTAGTCTTGCATCCGGCGCAGACGTTACAATTTCGTCCTCGAACCAGACCCGCATCAACGAGCGGGTCAAACAACTTCAAACCGATTACCCATCACGAAGGGTGCAAGGGTTTGTCTGTGACTTGTCACGCGACACCCTCAAACAAGACATCGAAGACCTGTTCAAGAAAGTCGGCAAATTGGACCACATTGTTTTCACTGCGACGGAACCACCCAAGTTGTTTACGTACGACGAGTTCACGTTAGAGTACTGGCGCAATGCAGGCCAAATGCGACTTTTTGCACCCTTTTTTGTTGCGCAAGTGGGATCCAAGTATCTGAATCCTGGACTTGAGTCATCTATCGTTTTGACGACGGGGACATCCTCTGAGAAACCTATTGCAGGCTGGCCGGTTGTTGCCTCATACGCAGCCAGCTTGAAAGGCCTTACTAGGAACTTGGCTTTAGATTTAAAGCCGATTCGTGTGAATATTGTTAGTCCTGGGTTTGTCGAGACGGAGTTGTGGGATCATCAGGACCCGGAGGCAAAGAAGGGTCTGTTTGAGTGGGTTAAGACTGCCACGGCATTGGAGAAGATTGGGAAGCCAGAAGAAATCGCCGAAGCCTTCCTGTGGCTTATGAAGGATACAAATGTCACCGGTAGTGTTGCGGAGACTAACTCTGGGATGAAGCTGGTCTAAGTCTGTGTACTTACTCTCTTCGGTGTTGGGGTTCTGTATTTAAAACAGAGTAGTCGATTCCTATGGAGATGGACGGACGGAAGAAGGAGAGAGAGGAAGAGAGAGAGGAAGAGAAAGAGGAAGAGAGAGCTATCTAACTATCTACATGTTGGATCTGTCACCACGTTGATGCCTTAGGAGGCAAGCATCCAACATTAGATCCTAACTAAGTTGGAGGTAGTTTTAGAAATACGTTAAGCGGTGAACTATAGAAAATGTCCAGGATCCGTATATGAATGGAAGAAATATCAAAAGTTACAATGTGACAAGAACTGGTACCTGCAAGGCCTAATGATACAGGAGCACATCGACTGGCAGCTTCATGTGTACAGAAACATCCAGCCAGAGATATATTGCCTTTGGGACTTCGCAGGACAAAAGGTGCTTTCGTAAGTAGGTGACGAAAGGCTTCTGTTGATCTCCCAATTCTCACCACTTCCATTCCATCGTACAAAAGAGCAGATCCTCAACTCCGGTCTGATATGCCTAAACGTTGGGAAGTGAGGGATAAATTGCGATATAGCACTCGCAACGACACTTTCAGGCCTTACATGATTAATCATGTCATGTGTCGCAGATGTTGCCGTAAACGATACAGACTAAGGCCTTACTACCCACGAGTTCAGAGCAATAGTGAACATGATGCTCATTCGAGTGAATCATAAACCCTTTCGGAACTGCCATATTCATACAGTACGTCGTGCTATGTAGCACTGGGCTCACTAGGAATTATGCTTAACTGACATCCTCTTTTTATAGATGCTGGTCCTCTCTTTCCTGGGCCCATAGAAGGGGAGAATTATTCAAGCCGTGTATTATGGCGAAAATATCGCCTTACAACATTCGCAACTATGGACCTTTGAAGACCCACAGACGGCGTCTGTGGAGATGTTCGTTCGGTACAATTCAGGACAGCCGGTTGGCCTGGAGATGTCTACTCTGTGTTAGGTAGTCGCCCATTTTAATGCTCACTGGGACTCAAACTCTCTTCGTTTTAATCTTTAGCTTCCGTCCATGGATATGGTAAAGATAAACGTCCGACTAAACTACCTAGATATTCATTCCATCATTATCCATGGATGGAGTATATCATGACCAGCCTTGGAAGTCTAGCGACTTTATCGAATATCCGTTTGCGAGCATGATTCGCGTTTCTTAATTTCCCCCAGACCCCTTTCTGCCTTTTTTTTTTTCGTGTGGTTTTTGTGATCCTCCCCAAATCTCGCCGTGTTTGGAGATGCAGAGCGATCCGCAGCCCCGGCGAAGCAGGACATGTTCAGCATCGGCTGTTTCCAGACCTTCTAGATGCCATGTGGTACATGTGTACGAATGACAGACCACTTTTATTGCAATCAAGGCGAGGGCTGTTAGTAAGACTTCGACGGAGAGTACTAGGTACAACTTTCCCAATGAAACCTTGACGAAGCCTTATGAGACGCATTTCCTTTGTCACAAGAAGCTGGATAGGCCTAGGAATCTGGCTGTTATTGGTATGGAAGTAAGAGGCAAGTTAGGGAGAAATTAGACAGAAGTTAGAGGGAGTGAAAGTAGAGTAAGAGAGAAGTAAAGGAAAGAGCCAGGGAGTTAGATGTGCCTGCCTTCAAGTCTCGAAGGAAAGAGCGTGGACTTGCCTAAACGTCCCATTTCTAGTCATCTGCCAGTCTCATTCTTCACTCTCATACTCTTACCTACAATTCTTCCTGCTTTGAAAGCCAGACTCAAATCTCATCGAGAATGTCGTCCTCCAAACTGACTTCGAAGCATCCTATTCCGAAGAACCCCAGCAGCTGGAAAAGACGTACGGAAATGCTGAACATCCTGGATACCCGTTGAGCCGGCTTGACAAAGTTCACCCGGCGTCTAAGGTGATTTTGAAGAGCGGTTTATCTGCATGAGAGTGCTCTGGCCAGATCTTAGACCGGCCAGGGACTTCCCCAAAAGTTTTGATGAAGCGATAATGCGCCAGATCGACGATACCATGGCTAACTTCCTCGAGTTCGATAGATACCTCGCGCATATTAAAAAACGAAACATCACGTTCAATGACCGAGCAATGGGTGCCTTTCAGCTGGTCATGCAGTCGCAGCGCAATGTTTCAACGGATCGCAAAGTCTCAGGCATTGAGTCCGATTCCTCCATCACCCAACGTTCTGCTCGGACACAGTACCAACATGGTCCCTCTGCAGAAGGAACTAGCAGCTCCGCAAGCGCCAGCAGAACAAGCGATACTGCATCGGCCGCCATATCAGCGAGCGACACCCTATCGGCCGGCGGTATTTCAGCAGCTGCTGATTCTGATATCCCATTCAGACGGACCAAAGATAAGCAGCTTGTAAATGACCCTCTTTTGCTGTTCCTGCAGGCTCTGACGGTCCATCTACCTGATATGCGATGCGAATGGTCCTCAATTCGCTCTCCGTTCATGAAGGCATCATTTGGGAATAACACAATGACTGCGCGCATTGACGGGTGTCTAGTGGGAACTGATACCGATGACATCTTCGCCATTGCCGAGCTCAAGCCGAAGGTCCGAAACCGCAATGCATGGCCTGAGCTTTTGTGGCAAGAGGCCGCTGAGATGGTTCCCTGGATACTGCACGATGAGGAGCAACCCCGAGAAACTCCCATTGAACGGTAAGTGAACTTGAATCACACCGTGGAATAATTGCATCCTTACTGACCTTTATAGACGCATGCTTGTCTCGCAAGACAACCATGAAATCTGGTTGACTCTTGCCCAGTACGACAAAGAATATGCCCAGTACCTAAAACAAGAACCCCCAACTCCCACACGACAAGACCCTGGTCCTTCTCAAAGACCTTTGCACTTCATGAGGATGCGTGAATATGGTCCGTGGAAGATTCAGGGTGCGATTAATATGAGGGACTCGGCGAAAATACTTGTTCGCTGGGCTTTCGAGGCCACAGACGTCATTGACAGTTCTAAGCCTCGTGATGCATGAATGGTCGAGGCTTTCTCGGTTGCGCCTGTACCGGCGGTTTTCCCCTCGCCCCCGGAGCATGGTTGCGCCCTTGCTGGCGGCCTGCCCCGGGGTTCGGGTGAAGCCCTTGGCTGTCAACAAGAACGCCCAGGACCGACGGACTTCCCTATCTTTCGACCAAATCAACAATATCGATCAAACGGCTAGACCACCTCAGACGTGGCGGCCAGAAACAAATCTTAAAGGTTAAAGCCCCTCAAAATGACTGCATCCCCAGTTTAAAGCCACCCATTGTTCGGTCATCGAGCCTCTTGTTTCCCTCTTCAATATGGCTGATGTACGCGTCGAATTCGGAGAAGCCCGCCATCGTCCGGGAGCCCTGGGCCCGCAGCGCCCACCGCGGAGACAATCACGCCAGTGCTGCCTATGTTTATTTGATATTAGCATTGCTGCTGAATAAAGCCTGCAAGTCGAAAGGACATGGTACGGATTTCGGTTTCATTGGCCGACCTCCACTGTAGTGGAGATGCTTCCTCCTATGAGAATGACCGAGGAAGGAGTCGGAACTTGGAATTCAAACGTATCCAACTTACTAGGCGCGGCGGCGGTGAGGTGGCATTAGGGCTTGCGAGCTTCGGTCTGGTACGGTCGTCAAGTTTATATTCACATCTGGGTAGTTGATGAGGTCACCCTGGGTCTGTTGCATTGAAGACATAAGCAGGTTGGGAGGGTATACCGATGGAAGCTTACATTTTCTTCAACGATAGAGCCACTCAGGCGAGGCCTATTAGCTTGTCGAGTAGTCCCCTCGAGAGTGAAGTAGGGGTTATCCCACCAGAGCTTGACTTTCTTCATCAGTCAGCCGCAACCAGCCAGATTTCATGGCGTCTTGTGAGATGGGGAGGCGTCTAGAAAAGTCAGTACGACACGAGCATACCAGTCTGTTGCGAGGTCTTACTGGAACGGGAGTTTCTCGGACATTTTCTTCATCATGCAGTATGCAGGAAACCATCTCGGCGGTCTCCTGCCACAGAAGCTCAGGCCATTGATCCCGATCTCGAACCATCGGCCATGTATCTGATCTAATTCCGCCTACCGGAGCAACACCGGACAAGGTCACCAACCTTAGTTAACCACCCTAGACGGCGATGGTCCTGCATCTGCCCAGGTGGTCACTCTTCGCTACCTCAGCAATGGCGAACATGTCGGGGTTACCTACGCCCATAAGGCTTGTGGGCGAGGCCCACCGGCTGGACAGCGACACCAGCACTGCCTATGTCTGTTCGAATATTAGCATCGCTCCCCAACAAAATCAGGGTATTCAACTTACTAGGCGCGTATGGGGAGGCAGCGGGAGGGGGACAGACAGACGAGGCGGCCAGGGCCGTGGTGACGGGCTGGCACGGTTGTCAGTACTTCACATCTTGGACTGAGGCTATGCCCATGGGGTGACCACAAGACGCGGCCATCGATAAGGATAAGACTTACAGGGGTCTTCTTTTTATCAGCCATCTTTCTGTTGCTTATTTAGAGGAAAGGAAGAAGAATAAAAGGAAGAAGAAGAAAAGAAAGAAAAGAGGGAGAGGCAAAGGGAAAGGATAGGAAGGAGTAAATATAGGCAAGAGCACTACACACTGATACCTAGTACCTGCAGGACTGCTATACCTGCTATTACGCCCATCTGAAGTATTATCCTTCACTTACATATCCTTTAATTTGTATTCACCCCTTATCAAATATCACAATGACTTACTTAAAAGCGCTGATCATTGGAATATTGAGACTCTGCCAGAGACTTATAGTACTTACATATAGTCCTGGAGGGTTGGAATCCTAAACCGATCCTCCTCTCTCTTCCATTAGTATCTCCCTCACATCGATATAATCCTCATCATCCTTGTCCAAAATAAAATCTTCTTGTAGTTTATCAAGGATCTCCATCACATAATCCTGACAATCCCACTCAACAGTCTCATTGTCCACAGGCACGCTTTGTGCAGTGCTCTTCACTCTTTCAACATCATTCTCTCCAAGCACAGCAATGAAGAACTGACGTAGGAAAGTTCTTGATTCCTTTGGGTTTTCCATAAACGTGTTGCGTTTAAATTGCGGATGCTCGCCATCAACTTCAAGAATGTGATGCTCTTGGCCCTTCTCGATATGCAAGGCCCAGTGTAGGAAATTCCCGTAGCGCGGCCGGTAAAACACAACAAAGAGCTTTGGGGACATCCTATTTGCTTGGCTCAGCATCTTAGCTATGTCTGTTGCCATGGGGTTCACCAGTTCCTCCTACCTTGAGGTGGTGCGTTTCCAATAGGGGTGCAGGCAGACAGTATGTTGAATTCCATAGGTAATAGTCCGAGAAAAAATCCAAAAGAGAGCAAGCTACATATTTCATGTAGGTATCCGGTCCAATCATGTATGGTTGCCTAATTCACATGCCTGATGGATTAGGCTTCTAGTCGAGATACTTAGGAAGGCCGATTTAGAAGTACCCATGTAGGGACTAAAGGAAATCGACTTTGCTTTTTACCATTGTAAAAGCACAATCAATAGTATGACATATGAAGATTGGGAACAAGCCCTTGATAATATTCATCCTTAGACATCAGACGAAGTGGAAGATACCATGAGACGCCATACCTAGGTACACTGTACACCCCAAAACACCATAAACATTAAAGTCATATCCTCTCAGCCAAAGAGATACTTCTGCCAGCTCTGTTTCCAAGGCTTCCAGGTCCCCCCAAACCGATGGTTGATACAAGCTTGCTGACTGTGGAAGTTCTCCGCTCCAGAATGCCGCTGTCCATTGCCCCAAGCGTTGACAGGTAGAACGCATAGCCCTCCCAGTAGCTTGCCAGGCTTGGCCTCGGAGCCCTCAATACAGACAGGCTCTTGAATCCCATGGAAAGGCGCCCACGTCACACGCTGTACAGACGACGTCGAGGATGAGAACTCAGCGTCCGCATCCACAGACTGCTGGACTAGCCGGTGTGTAGACGGCAATGCGTCCGATAGCACATCGAGAATGGCATCTGTAAACACGCCCGGACCGGTAATCTCCAGCGTATCCATTTCGTTGTATCTCCCACTCCAGAAATAGCTCTTGTCGGCTCGGTGTTTCGTATGCGACAGTACACGGACGATGATCTCTCTTAGCAGCGGGCTGAACCGTCGAGGCGCATATATCGCGTACTGGATGAAGCCGTAGCGTCGGGCCCAGTGCCAGTCGCGCATCTTCTGCGGCGAAGCGAACGGCTCGTCGATCTCAATTCCGACGACTAACGAGACATTCGTGCTGACTGTGTTATCTTTGAAGATCGAGTCGCGCAGTGACGGACATGATTTGATGCTTCGTGCGGGATATACGTCGAGGTCTGCATAGTAGCCGCCGTAGTACCATAGAATCAAGTAGCGGAGGAGATCGCCGCGATGGACGGAGTGTGGGTATGATTTGTAGAGGCGGGCGATGTCTGGGATGGATTCGAGAGTCTCGAAAATGAATTTGTCGGCCCAGTCGGCTTGTACAAGCTATGAATTCGGAAGTTAGTCGCTGTCGCTCAAACTGGTATTTAGTTACCAAGATAAGAAATTTTTTTTTCGGTCTTACTTTGTATTTCCATTCTGAGTTCTTTTTCTCGAATTGGATTGAGTCGTCGCTTCGCTGGCTGACACCCGGTAGCATAATCTGCCACAAGGTGTCCGTCGCATCCTCATCGGGGCGCATTTCCCTTTCTATCTCCATGGCGCGTAGCGCATTGGAGAGCTTGACCTCGTATTCATAGTCTGGATCCGCGCGAAATCTAGACTGGTGAAGATATCGTGGTCGGTCTTCCCCGTACTTGTCAGTGCGGGGGTCTAGGCTTGATGTTGGCGAGGGCACAGACTTGAAAATAATGAATAGCGTCAGAATCGCGGCCACCAGGACATATTTATGCCGGTGTGGAAACCACAGAAACACGCGATTTCTCATGGTGAGTGGTGAGAGAAGCCATAATAAATACGAAAGATCGTCCAAGGGTATAGGAGTGAATTTTCTTTGGGCTGTCAGCCTTAGCCCCCAAAGAGACGGGAAGGTTCTGGTTTCACCTGATTGGTGTAACTACGATGGACCCTGGATATTAACCATAGAAGGTTTGGTGAGCTTAGGGAGATTCACTTGCGTTAATTGTGATATTTTGCAATATAGAGGTATAGAGAACTCCGCGTAGATATTGGATCCTCCGTTATTTTAGATCTATAATCTCTAATTCTAAAGAAAGTGAATAGAACATGTCATAAACATTCTTGTTTGATTCCAATGTGGGGTTGACCGCGTGTGGATGTCTTGGCAGGGTCTTGGTATGGAGCAATAGCGCACGAGAGCTCCAAGCTTGGCTATGCTTCTTTTGTATAGCATCAAATTATAAATTTGGTTATTTTAAAACATAGAAGGCCTGTGAATCTCATAAGCATTACTTTTCCTCTCAATTCTTTTAACAGCAGACATGCATGGCCTTCATTGGTTTGAAAAATCCTCGATTCTTCCGAGGTCATCTTCAACACCCAAACACGTAAAAAGCCTCGAACTTCGAAATCACGTGTCATAAGAGCTAAGCAACAGTACTGTCGAACTCGGGCGGACGCCTCTGATCTCTCTTTCCCTTCAACTAGCCTTCATCTTCAGTTGTACCACACCGTGTGCGGTCTCTTCCGTAAGGGAGATAGCAAGGCCTCTGCGGGTGCGTGACCTCGAATAAGCGAAATATGAGACGAACATAAACTTACAATCTTGTTTAGTACTATGGCAAACAACACAAGCAGCGGCACAGGTGCGCTCCCGAGACAAGTCGCAAGACAAATCAGGCAACAGAGCCAAACCCGAGGGCGTCCAACGACCCGATCCGGCGCATCAAACACTCAGCACAGTGCCTATCGAGCTGCTCCATATCCCAGCCCTATCCGACCTGGTATGGGTAGCAGCTGCTACGCCACTGCACCCCATGACGTGGAGGACACCTTCGAACCTGATCCTATGGAACTTGATCCGATGGAAATTGACACCCCTCCCGAACAAGAGCCTGCACCAGCCACCGCCGTCGCTCGCAACCAGCAATCCGAGGAGAATGGCGTTCATCGCCACATCTTCTACATCCCCATTCGACCTCGTCCTATGCCAACTCTAGATCTCGACGTGCTGACCGCCGCTCGGGCTGAAGTGAGCCGGCTGCAGAGAGCGGGAATTCCGGTTATGCAAACCTTGCCAGAGCGACCTGGACCTCATCTCTACATCCGTGTTGATACTGACCGGGCGAGCCGTGATCATGCACTTACTGATGCCAATCTTCGGATGGGTACCATGCAGGACATGATTCGCGATGGCTTTGGCTGGTTCACGGGTTTGCCTTACCGCCACCCGCATTTCGAAGTCAAGTTCCTTCGTGGTCGGCGGCTCTAGATTAAGTCTTTGTTACTGGGTGGGTTTCTGATCTTTATGAGCACTGTTTCAGGGTTAGAAGTGGAATTGATGAGCTTAGTATGGGGTCTCGGTTGAGAGGGATTTAAGGCACCTTGCCAACTGTGTTCTTGGGTGAGCAAGATTCGTTAGTGAGATCTTTTGCCTGTTGTTCCTTTTCTTCTGCCTCTTCTCCTCTTTATCTTGCTTCTTCTCTTCATTCTTACCTCCAGATAGCCACAGACACTATTCTTAATGATGTTCACTATCATCCATGGATCATATAAACCTACCTAGGTGCCTAGGTACGAGATCAAGAATAGAGTAACCAATGATATTCCACTAAGTCCCAGAAACCAAACTAGTGAACTTCGCGTGATTTTCAAACACCATAGCCTCATAGCCTCATAGCTTCTATAACGCCATGACAAACTCCCGCAATGCAATTCGCACCCAATCCCATCAAAAGCAAAATACCAACCTTCAATTCTCCACTGGACGCGACGCTAATGTAGTCTCGCTCTTCTCACGCCCCTGCCAAGCCGTTTCAATAGCCTGGATAGTAGGCCAGACCTGCTCACGAGCATGCTCCCGACTGACGCCCTCCTCGAGCAACTTCTCGTAAGGCGTATGGACATGCCGAATATGCGCTTCAACAGCCAAGAGCGTTTTTCGGTCGTCACTGATCATCGCTGTCCGCCCTACACGCCCCGATCCCTTGAGGAAGGCATGCTCTAGGACGATTTTGAGGGTTTCCTTGGGCATAAGCGGAAATTCGTTCTTCAGGAGTTCTCGGGATTTGGACAGATCCTTGGCATCGCGCACTTGCACCGCATTGGCGCGTGATTCTTTTGTTGCGGCAGCTGATTCGAGAACTTCTGTGTGGATTTCTTCGGGCACTCGGATTCCCAGGGTCCTTTTGCCCGTGCGGTTCTGTGGCTGTTAGTGTTCCCTTTCTGGATTTGAAACTCGTGGTTTGGATGGGGCCATACGTAGACGACATAGACAATTCGCCCAGACTCTTTGGTCTTACTGCGGCAGTGTCGAGTGATGTAGACATCACCCTTGGGGACTAGAACGTATCCATCTGGCAAGGGTACTTGCTCAACGATGTTCTTGTTTCAATTTTTAGCGTGGTGTCCTTCAAAATATTGATACAGTTCAAACCTACCTTCTCAAGTAGATCATCTGAGACAGGAATGAGAGCTGTCCATGTTTTCTTGGGTTTACGACGCTTCGCCGTCTCGTTGAGTACTTCGGTGAGCGGTTGGACTGACGAGCCTGCATCTGTCGGACGTGCATGGCCTTCCCGAGTGCGAATACCACGGTTCTTCTTTCTCACGCGGGGCTTGCGTCTGCGAACTTTGGGTTTAGTGGTCGGTGCCATGTTGAGTGTTATGGAGCCAAGGAGATTGATGAGTCGATGGTTGACACAGTGGTGAGATGCGACTCGCACGTCGATTCCATTGAGGAGGACGTTCTGGCAGCACTGAGATTTGATTGTCTTCAATCTTATCTTTGGACCTGAAACGCTTCAGTGTCTTTGATACTTCCACAGTTTACGGTCAAAGCAGACCAGGAACAATGGCTGTGGAATTGTGGCACTGTGGCTGAGTGGAGCCTCAATTTCGTGCCTGTATAATCAGGCCTTTGGTACAACAGTTCGTCTTTCTCCATCTACGAAGTATAAGAAATCAATTATAATCAGATACTGACACCACATATGCGCATTTACGCAGTGCACCACCATACTTGAACTACTACAAAATACAGATCGGCGATTTCTGATCTCCGCGTTAGAATCCGGCTATTACTGTTTTAGACGAACTCAATCACTACACCTGCTCTCCAAAAGTGTAAGTAGCTTCCCGATTTATTGCGAGCCAAACCAGACGTCAACGGACTGGTCAAGCGCGACCAAGTGGTGATATCACACACGAGATCAGCATAAACTGGAGAACCGATTATCCGGGGCTCATTGGTCGGATCCATCAGCCTAAGACAGATTCTATGGGATAAGATTGGGATCATCGGATCTCCATATTGTGAGATCGGAGTTGAGTTCTGATTCAAGGTCTAATCCGAGACACTCTCCAACGTATTTTGAACCTAATATCGATGTATTCCATGCGGAATATAGACAATCCTTAACAAGAATCAAGGCAAGGCGAGTAAGAGCATGGAGCAGGGAGTAAAATAACTTTTGGGCACAAAGAGATGCCAAGAGGGCTTTCCAGGGGCTCAGCTCTCCAAACCCTGTTAAGTCCGTACCCCAGTTGAACACGGGGTTGGATTTAACCCCCTTTCATCCACGAGGGGGTTTTGCTCGAAGTGGAATATCCGGATAGCGTGATATTCTGATATTCTAAAGCTATGAAGCTCTGAAGCTCGAAAGCTCCAGCATCGGCCCCTCCATACAACATATATGTGTATATCGCATGTCCGGAGGCTCGGAGGCTCCACAGCTCGCATGTCGTCATTGGTGAGATTTGTTCCCTTTGATCTCACCCCAGGGCTGCCTAGAAGAGCTGGGCCGGCATCCCCGACGGCTCAATCGTGTCCGTATTTGTACTCTAGATCGGCACGAGACAAGGGGAAGGTCTGACTCTGACCTTCCTAATAGCTGAATACATATGCTGGAGTACTTAGATATCAACCGAAGATATGATTCATATCTTGTTCCTGCATGAAGTACACATTGTATTTGGTACATACTCCCACATCGAAAGATGAAAGAGCTGTGGATCTGTGGATTCTATGGAAAAATAAAAAAATCCGAGTCCCCACGTAAAGAAATAAAAGATAAAAAAGACAAAAAGAATAAAAAGAATCGGAAAAAAAAGTAAGGAAAAAAAGGGAACCGACAAACAAAGCAAAAGAAAAACATCCCTCCTCCGACTCTCCTTCCAATACCATCCCTTATAAATCTTTACCACACAATAATGGATTAACTCCAATGATCTTACTTGATATCTCTTCCTCTCATTCTCAATCAATTAAAGTTGCCTGGCAGCTTGATCTTCAATGGTTACTGGGTCTGTGTTGCTGACATGAGTTGGGATCACCCTGTCCACAGGTATGCATTCTCCCTTGATGAAACCCCCTTGTGGAGGTGTCATATTGTAGAGCCCTCCATTCTTTTTTCTTTACAATCTATACTATATGCCTATGTGAAAGAAAGCTCATGGATTCGTTTACGTTCAGCTTCAACTATCCAAACGGTGAACCTCAAACTCCGACGAGGACTCCGAACACCTTTGACTCGTTTCACACCCCAAAACTCGAATCCAGCTTTTTTGATCCCCGGGTGACCTGGGATACCTCCGATCCATATGCCTCCAGCCCAGAGCTCCTCCGCACACCGCAGAAGTTTGGTCTAGGCTCGTCGAATTCACAGAAAGGTCACAATGGGGAGACTACCGGTTACAAGGGGAGGTCCTCGGACCAGACCGATACGGCCAGACGGATTCGCTCGGTGAAGCCTCATTCGAATACGGGCGAGGATTACCCTCGGACAGTTGGATCGGCCAAGTCAGCAGCCTCAATGCAAACACCGCCGCCGACAAGTGCATCAAGACGAAAAATTCCCGAGTTTGACCAGCCCGATGGACATACACAAGGAGGAACGCCGGGTGTGGGAGGTCATTTGGAAACACCCAGTCGTCTTCTCGGAGCGTCCCCTCGAATGTTTGGCAATCTCCAGTCGTCGCCTGATCTTTTCCAACTGGCTTCATTGGATCCCACGAGCTCGCCTTTCTTCCCACAGCAACGACTGTTCTGGGATCATGATCTAGACAATACAGCGAGCGAGATTCCCTTACCCAGCAACGGGAACAATTCCAATGCTCGTGAGACTTCTGCCTTTACAAACACACATCACATTCCCCAATTACCAACCGTTGGTGGTTCAGTTGATCTTCCTGACTTTGGCAACGGCTTTGGAATTTCAGCACCACCACCCACTGATGCTGCCCTATTTCCTGCGCCATTCTCAACCTCTCCCCGGCTGCCGGTCACCAAGGCGGAGGATCCAGCTCTGTTTCTCAGTTCCCCTGCTCGGAGATTCGGAGGGCCTCAACTTACACCAGAGACACGGTCTCTTCATGGCCTTCGACAGCCCTATCACCACCAGGCAGAAGAGTCAAGAAGGGAGGAGCTTATCCGTGCACAGGCCCCAAATGGCCACCGATCCGATCCTTTCACTGCTTTCCCGAGCGAGAGCGAAGAGGAAGATGACGACTACACGCCGAGGGGAATACGACCAGGTCTAACCCGCAGCGTGACCCATCACGGCCTGTCTAGCTCATCCCGGCCGGTCAGTCAAGCCGGCTTGATGGCATCCACTAGCGGAGTCCGGAAGAGCCCATGTAAAGGGCGTTCGTCCCCAGCAAAACCAATGCGCCCAGCCCCCTTGACACGATCCAGTTCGATGGCCACCGGCACCTTGGCGCGCTCATCGTCTGTAGTGCTTCGCATCGGTCGAGATGGACGTGCAAAGGCCGAAATGGAGCCACTCAGTGAGGCTCCCACAGGGTTGACCGACCCCCTAACCGGCATTGATCTAGATGGTTCTACAACCGAGAGTGAATCAGATCCGGCTGAGTTTTCGGAATATCCGGTGCTGCATCGTGCTCAGTCATCCTTGTCGCTCTATGACAGCTCAAGGCGTCCCCTATCCCGGAGTGATTCGGGCTCCCGGCCTCCTTCAAAGGGCTCCTATGCTTCCACCGTCGGCTCATCACACTCGGGTCGAATGTCACCCTGGGCTGGCTCTTCTAGGGGAGGCGGGCGAGCCACATATCGTGGATCTCCTGATATTAAGCGGACACCCAAACGGCATTCGTCTCTGCTGCACTCGGACTCGACCTACACTCGGAGTAGCGTAGCATCAGACCTGTTGCCCGGGGAGGACGAGGAAAGTGGTGATGCTCAATCTGCGCTGCGGCAGGTCCTTAAAGAACGCGGCCGGGGACCAAGACCCGCCACTAACGCGTTTGGCAACCGACTCTCTCGATCATCACATACCCTTGCTCATCTTCGTTCATCGCCACCCCGCCTTGGCAGTGATTTTGACATCCATCCCCGCCACAATGCTTCTCCCACGACAATGACTGACCCTGATCTTGCAACCCCAAGCACAGAGCGTCACAGCAACCCCAGTAACGGCACACGATGTGTCTGCCGCTCGATGGATAACGGTGGCCATCTGATGATTCAATGGTGAGTTCCAGTCTTCATCGGTCTTGATTCCAAAGTCGGTTGTGCTAACTTCCCTAGCGAATCGTGTACACACTGGCTGCATACCAGATGCGTTGGATTGGAGCGTGCGAACCTGCCCTCTGTCTATGTCTGCGTCTTCTGTGCTCAAACACCGTCCCGACAAAACCGTGCCCGGACAACTTATGTTCCCACGGGGCAAGCCCCTCCCTCTCCCTTGGCCCATAAGTCATTCCGCTTCCGGTAAACTTGGTGCGTTGACTACCGTCTTGGATGCATATATATCTTGGAAAGACCGGTGCCTCTTGATTTCTTTTGTGTGATTCTTCGCCAACTGGGTTCTTATACTCTGCATTAGCCGGGCCACCCTGCCCCATTCCATAATTGCCCTTCTGAGACTCCATTGCCCCCTTATGATACCTATGTACTATTCCCTCACGAACCCTGGACAAAACCAGAATAGAATCATTTCTATACTTCTCCGCACATCTTCTATTGTTAGTGTTCTAGCCTACAGAACTCCCCACATATCGGGGTAGCGAACCGGTCTCGGGAGAGGAGCCGGCCCGGCGCTGGCCTGTCTGTCCGACTCCAAGAAGGGTGACCCGACTTATTTATTTTCGGAATAGCCCATCGCTCCCTCTTGCTCAATCTACCTCTCGACCTTACGCTTAGCCTTCTAGTTAACCAAGCCTCCCCGCGTTTAGAATAGGCCCTTTACAAAACCCCTACCAGGTACTTGTGGATATTGTATAGATCGGTTGCGGTCTGATTGGCCGATCCACACTTATCGGCTCACCGCCCTTTTATCGAAAAAGCGCTTTTCTCCCCGCGGAGTCATATTGCCTTCCTCTTTTTTTGCGCGCCATTCACTCTCTTTGGTTCATTCCAGTCACTTGTGCTTCGTCACTCATTCGCTCCAATGTCTGCCTCTCTCCCTGGCAGTCGGGACCTGCCTGCGTCGCAATATGACCTGAAGACCTATTGGGGTCGCGTGCGCCATGCCGCAGACATTGCTGATCCTCGGTAAGCTCAAGAGATCGGTAGCACTAAGAGGGTTGCGCAGCATATACTGATCATGCCAACTATGTTAGGACCCTGTTCGTTTCGTCCGCCGGTCTTGAAAGCGCCAAGAGCCTCATTGCTTCTTACAAGCAGAACCGCATCCCAGCCATGACACCGGAGTTGTGGTCGGCGAAGAAGGTGGTCGATGCGACATTGCACCCTGGTACGGACTCGTTCAATCCCATAAGATAGCCATTGGCTAATATAGACCCGACCAGATACCGGAACGCCTGTTTTCCTGCCATTCCGCATGTCCGCCTACGTGCTCTCCAACTTAGTTGTCACAGCAGGCATGCTGACCCCAGGATTGCAGGTGAGCGCCTCCCTACGCATGTCCAAACACATATACTTCTGAACCATATACTAACAATACAGACAACCGGCACGCTCCTCTGGCAAATCGGTAACCAGTCCCTCAACGTCGCCGTCAACAACGCAAACGCCAACAAATCTACTCCCCTTTCCTTGTCGCAAATCGGCAAGTCATACCTCATGGCCGTCTCAGCCTCCTGCTCCGTCGCAGTTGGTCTGAACGCCCTTGTCCCCCGCCTCAAGAGCATCTCCCCAAACACCCGCCTCATCCTTTCCCGCCTCGTCCCCTTCGCCGCCGTCGCCAGCGCCTCCGCTCTGAACGTCTTCCTCATGCGAGGCGAGGAGATTCGTCGGGGCATTGACGTCTACCCCGTCCTGTCAGAGGCTGAGCGTGCCAAGCGCGAGCTCAACGAGGACGCCGAGCCAATCCAGAGCCTTGGCAAGAGCAAGAAGGCTGCTACTCTTGCCGTCGGTGAAACTGCTATCTCCCGTGTCCTGAACGCTACGCCTATTATGGTTCTACCCCCGCTTATCCTCGTTCGCCTCGAGAAGACAGACTGGCTGCGTGCCCGTCCCCGCATGGTTATGCCTATTAATTTGGCGCTTATTCTGGGTACTTCGATATTTGCGCTGCCGCTTGCGCTCGCTGCGTTCCCGTCTCGCCAGTCTATTAGTGTTAATAGCCTTGAGGAGGAGTTCCAGGGTCGTGGGGGCGATCAGGGCATGGTGGAGTTCAATCGCGGAATGTAAGTTTCTGATCTTCGGCGTTTCGCAGCGTGCATATTACATACATTGTCTTTGTATAGGTCAAAGAATATATAGATCCAGTTTCCGTTCATAAATTTCAATTCTGTTCTTCTTATAGACCGTTCAATATTCAATATATAGCCACTCTACCCTTAAGAATCCGCTCAGCCCGCTCCGCAATATCCAGCAATTCATCATCCCCCCAACGCCGGCCCATCAGCTCCAACCCAACAGGAACACCAAGCACAGCAGATGCAGTCTTAGGGCTCCATCCAGCTATATTCACCTTGTTAGTCCAATCTTAAACGCCGAGCAGAATCGCCTACCAGGAATACAAATAGCAGGCCTCCCCGTTAACGCAGCCAAGACACCATTCCGTCCAGACTGCAGCTTCGCACCAATCTTCACAGGGAGCTGTGTCTGGTGCGGATATGCCAGCGCGTCGATATCGTACCTATCAAAACATTGTTTCACAGACTCTTTGAGCGCAGCGATATACTCCAGTCGACTTCGATATGCCTCGCTCATCAGTGAAAATGTCTCCGGATCCTCCAATGCAGCAGAGAAAACGTGCGTCATGGCTTCTAGATCGAACTCGCCGCTCTGGGCAATAGATTCCAGTGATCGGTGCGGTGTTGACGAAACAAGTGCCGACCGCAGGAACTCGTCGAGATAGTGCTTGAACTCGAAAGCCTGTGTATCCCCCTTTGCAAACAGGGTTCCATAGCTCCAGTCTGGATGACTGGATGGGGCGAGAGGTACCAAGACGATATCCGCATCTTGTTCCTGTACAGAATTCAAACTCGACCGGATAATATCCTGCACGATCTTGTTCTCGGCGATATACTCCGATTCCACAGATTCATCCTGGAAATAAGCCTCCAAGACTCCAATTCGAACTTGACGACCAGTCCGCGGTATCATTTCAGATGTATCCAAAGAATCCCCCTCTCCCCCATCCGGCCTCTTCATAACCCTATACAAAATCCTCACATCCCCAACACTCTTCCCCATCGGCCCAGCAACATCCTGTGTCTGGGAAACAGGTACAACTCCCACACACGATACCCTCCCCGTTGACGGTCTGAACCCCACAATCCCGCACGCAGACGCAGGCGACCGCAGCGAGTTCATCGTGTCTGTCCCGCACCCCGCGAGCCCGAAGTTCGCCGCTAGCGCTGCGCCAGTCCCGCCAGAGGATCCGCCCGGTGTGCGGGCCTTGTCGTATGGGTTCAGGGTTTGCCCGCCGAGCGAGGAGAGGGTTGTTCCCTGCAGGGCGAATTCGTGGAGGTTGGCCTTTGCTAGGATTATTGCTCCTGCGGCGCGTAGCTGGGAGACGACTTCGCTGTCATCTTTTGTACGTAGGTTTTGGAGGGCTTGGACGCCTGCACTTGTTGGTAGATCTGTCGTGCTGTAGTTGTCTTTCAGGATGATGGGCACGCTGTGTAATAGTGGGAATGGTTTGTTGGTTTGGTTGTATGTGAGTGTTTCGGTAGCTTTCTCTATGGCGGTTTCCAGGGCTCTGCTGTTTATGGTGATGAGGGCTTTGAGGGTCCCGTCGTGCTGCTGGATTGCTTCGAGATATTTTTTTACCAGCTCCGGGCCGATGGACGGGTCTACACGGAGTAGTTCATGGAACTTGGTGATTGTCATTTCTTCTGCTTGCCATGCTGGAGAGTCCATGGTATTGAGTCATGGATTGGAGAGAGCCTTGGAGGGGTATTGCAGTTCCCCGAATGTGCATGTAGTGTGATCCACGCACGCCATACATAAATATGCAATCCGATTGACGGAGTAAAGTCTTGCTATTGCATGTTTTCCCCTGGATTTGCAATGTTAATTGTAATGGAACAAGTGAGCTTGTAGCTTCTATATAAACCCCCGCGGTGCAAGCGGCTTCGGCTTACTCCGCTCCGATGTATACAAAAGAGACCAAGACCAAAGGGGTAAAAGAGTCCTATACAGATCTGAGAAGAGTTAGAACGTTGAAACGAAACACATATATACACACACCATACGGTTAACAAATGGACGCCACAAACAATCAAATGGTATAATCATCCAGACTTAGCCTAAACCCTCCAGGGCCCCCAAAGCCGGATTCCATAAACAGGACGAGAAAAGCAGAATAACATGTAACCGGCGCCTTTAAGAATGGGATAGAAGGATAGATAAAGCAAATAAGGTAAGACCGGATAGCATCGGGGGATAGGTCCGTCAAGGACACATGCAACCGTTGCTCAAGGGTCAAGGGTCGAATGCCCCTGCCATGTGGTGTCACAAAGACAGCCGAAGCCTGCATGAGGTGATATCTGCAGGAGTCGAGGGGAAACCAGGGACCGCAACGAAATTAAAAAAAGAAAGAAAGAAAGAAAGAAAGAAAGAAAGAAAAAGAAAACATCGTGATCATGATTTTCCGAAGTGCAAACACCATTCCGTCCCATTCGCGATAGAGAAAAAGATTACCCTCAAGATATGAGCCTTCTATCCATAACTGGATCCTGTTCACGCCGGTGAATTCCCTTCTGATGCCGTTAAAAAGCCGAATAATGGCCACTGTAGTGTGCAAACTCGATCTGAGGCCTAGGTGCGTCCTTGGCGATGCAATCCTTGGCCGATCCGGTAGGCTTCCGTGCCATCATCGACGAGTGTCTCCTTGAACCACGGGTGCTTCAATGCCTCCTTTGCAGTGATCCGGCTCTTGGGATCGTAGACAAAGATCTGTTGCAACAAATCCAGGAATGAACGGTTGAATGGTGTGTTTGTAGGGATAAACTCCTATAGTTGACGAAATCAGTCAAAAAGCCCCATAAACAGATACTGGGGACACTTACTGTCAAAGATTTCATCGCACGCACATATTTCCGCGAGGCCCGGGTCGTTTCATTGTTGGGATAGTCGATCTTGCTTCGGATGAAGTACCTGGTAAAGTTAGTTCCTGTTACAGAAGGATTGAAGAGGGCATATTTACTTGGAAGCAGAGTTGCTACTACCACCTCGGCCACCCGCCATCACTTTCTTCACCAAAGCGGTGTCGATCCGATTGCCAATTACGGATTCCATCATCGCCAGGTGTTCAAGGTTGTCATGTGTCTGGAACAGGGCGTCTCCGGTGAAGAATTCCACCAAGATACACCCAATACTCCAGATATCACATGGGAAGCTCCACCCCAGGTTCAATATGATTTCGGGGGCCCGGTAATGACGGGTAGAGACGACAGATGAGTGATATTCGTCATCGAAGGTGGCCGAACCGAAGTCGATGAGTCGGATTTCGCCATCGAGAAGAACGCGGCGCTGTCGCGCGTTACGAGATGTGGCGTGGGAAGAGGATGGTATAGTGCGGTTGTAAGTGAAGGTCTGATAGGCGTTGCTGACGAGGAGGATGTTTTCGGGTTTAAGGTCGGTATGGATAAGGTTTAGGTCATGAAGGACTAATAGGTCAGTGGTCTGAGATATAGATATAGAAGTGTTGGGGAACTTACAGGCAACACTTGTGAACAGCTGCCGGGCAAACTGCTGGATCTGACTGCTCGGGAATGGCACGAAGCCATTCCCCTTGAGGAAATCAAATACACTTTGTCCTAGTAAATCAGTGACAATGCAAATATGATTCCGGAAGTCGAAGCAGTCCCGAAGGTGGATGCATTTGTTGCGGTTGCTTTTGTCGTTCGAAGCCAGAGTTGACAAGACTCGCAGCTCAATTCGGGAGGCGTCGCGATACTTTTGGATCGAGCGTATGATTTTGACTGCACAGCGAGACTTGCGCTGCTTGTCGTAGGCTTCGACAACTTTGCCGAAGGTACCTTGGCCTAGAAGTTTGATCACAGAGTCTCGAAAGGAGTTAGCATAGTCGACAAGATACTAGAGATATCTCTTTTACTCACATCGATCTGTCAACGGCGTGTCAGGTGTGACGATGTAATGGCCATCGTCATCGTCAAACTTCTTGTTCTGGGAACTGGTATACTGATCGAGTAAATTTTGTCAGCCTGGCAGGAAAGAAATGGTAAAGATGATACACTCACATCGCGAACGACCGGTACAGGGACATCCTTTGCTTTGATCGGCGGCTTCGGAGGTGGGACATAACTCAGGAAAGCATCACCTGCGGTCTCCAACTCTCGTCGCTTCTGCTCGTCGCGGGTGGATTTCCGAGTGGCGCGTTTCCGCTTTTGGCCGACAGAGCCATCCTCATAGTATACGCCATTGCTCGCCCCCGAACTTCCCTGTGAACCAAGCGAAGTTGGAGCTGTTGTGTGTAAGGATGCGGTTCGATCGGTCGATAAGGACGTGGCGGAGGATTCCTCGCCGTAATGTTGGGGATTGATTGAAAAGGATGGGCGGTCATAGTGGCCCAGGTCATAGGCGGTTTCAATCCCCGTCCGTCGCCTCTTTCCAGCGGGCTGAGGAGCCACAGGAGGTGGTCTGCCAGAAGTAGTTACATGAGGAGCTGGGGCACCATTGGATGGCTCTGGACCAGGACTGTCATCAATCACAATGACTTCCTTGGGAAGGCCATTCTTGTAGAACTCGGTCCAGTCTGGTTTCTTTCTCCGACCCCCAACGGAGGGAGCCGCGCTGGAGCCACTCTGGTGGGTCATAGCCGACGGAGTTGTTGTCGCAGGGGGGATTCTCGGAGGTTGGGTATAGGGAAGGGTAGTCGTTGTGGGAGAGGGGACGGAAATGGCGTAGGGATTCGCGAGGCGAGTTCCTGCGGCGGTGGTCGAAGTCGGGTAGGAGGTATTCGGTTGATACGAAGGGTGGTGAGGATATCCGTAAGCCTGATGATGAGAAGGATGTGTTGCAGTGGCCGTGGACGGGGTGGACATTGTGCACGAAGGTATCCCGTCAGACTAACGGTATGAAGTTTGTGGAGAGAAGATTGGTTTAATTTGTGACCGATGGTTGATATCGCGCGTCACTCTTCCTCGATGAAGACTGGGATCTCAAGGCAGGACTAGCCAGCCAGAGAGGAACCTAGCCGACAGAGATTGAGGTTGACAAGTGTGTCCGGAAGGAGATCTCTGGAGAAGTGAAGATGACGAGCTGAGGCGGTCGGGGGAGGGGGGAAAGACAGTTTCAAATGCGTTGCATTTCCTCGACAATTTGAAGACAAGGAAGTAAAGCAAAGATCATTGGGTTACTTAGCGACATCTGCGGTAAACGAGGTGGGGAGGGAAGGGCCTGGAGGCAAAGATGAGTGATGATGGAAGAGTCGGAGAGTTGGGACCCGTTGCCGATCAACGTGGATTTTGGATTTTGGAGATTTTGTACTATTCTATTATTCTTGTTATTTTCTATATATAATTATAATCGCTGCCCAATTTACTTAATTAATGGCTATTGATTGTTTATATTATTCCTTTTAATTTGTGTTCAAGGCTCTAAATCATTAAATACCTATGCTGTACGCTATTCGCCTCTTCTTATACATCCAGAGGTCCATGCGCCTCTAGGGAGAAAAGGCGGGATATTATCTCCTCATTCCAACACATCCATGAATGTAATTAAAAGGATTTAAAGTCCTAGAGGGGCTTTGAGGGGCCTTGGACCCGAAATGGAGCATCGCGTCCAAGCCCTGGCTTAGCCGAATCCAGTCCACAAGGAACGGAGAAACTCGATGGTTAAGAATATCAAGAACACCGAGAATACCAAGATCAAAGAATGTATCAGACCTTACAGCCCCTAGGAAATCTTAGGAAATCCCAGGAAATCGCCGATATTAAGACTCTCTCCTCCCGTATACCACCTGACATTCCAACTGAGTCAGCATCTAGATCAGGAAATACGCAAGCCCATTGCATATAGCATAATATAGAACTAAAGATGAATTAGTCTTCAGCGGGCTCTTGGTTTAATATGAGAGAAAGGGAAAAAAGAAAGAAAAAACTGGGAAAGAAGGGCTTGCATAGAGACTAGGAAAATGACATCAATATATATCAATTGAACAAGACCTCACAATCTCTATATGAAGGTTGCCTAGTCACTGCCTGTTAGGTTAGGTTACAATTATTATGTCAATGCAAATAGTCCTAAATTCCCGAGTAAAAGATATCTAAAAGCGAGGCAATTCAGAAGTAAACACATGTAGATGCTAGTGTAGACTAATCACAGACAATATATATCGACCATCCAATTGATAGTAAAGAAAGCCTTTGACCGTTGCCTTGCCTCTAAACAATTAGTATTGCCTAAATTGGATATATTTAGGCCCAACCATATTTAGTAACTTGATATATCTACACTGGCCTAGCGTGTGGCTGTGAGAACCAGAAAGTAGCGATCCTCACCAGGACCACGCCTCGGACTTAAGGATTATAATCTGGAAAATCAGATACATAGAACATAGGATAGCCATGGCAGGGATATTATGATCCATAAGTAAATCCCATTTATTGCCTTGCTAGTAGACTAGCCAGAGGGAACATATCCAAGACAGACAAGGGAATGGTAATTTACTAGGGTACAAGAAAGTTTCCTCTCAAACATGTATGCTCAACCTGTAGTTGAAATTAAAGATCATGGCCTGACAACCTGACAACCCCCATAAGCCAGCCAACGCCACCATACACGCGCAGAGAATGCAAGAACTCCTGATGCCCGGAGCCACAGGGCTCCCATGGGCCAAAGAAATTAGGGGCACAACCTTGAAAGAAAATAAGATTACAAACATTTATGAC